GTATAAACCGATTATTAAAGAAGAGTTTCTGTCAGAACAAAGTTAAAACACATATAGCCTAAGCTTTGTGTTTTTTATTCAGCCAGACGAATAAAAGACGTAATTAACTCCACAAAGACTTTTTACCTTGAATGCTTTAAGGGCTGAATACTCGTGGGTTTAAATGGCACGCTGTGATAATAGAGAAGTGACTTCTCTCGCTTTCTGTACCTTTTTCTCCTCACTGTCTCAGCACTGATTGAATAAGCCTTAGAAAAGGGCTTTATACAAAGGTCTACCTGGAGCGTTAATATGTTGCCTCTGCTTTTCAGTGCTTTGTGACTCAACATGATGTCTCTACTGTTTTAACTCTTGAAGACCAGTTTTACCAACACCAGTAATTTCTTAAGTCCCACAGCATTCCTGTGCTAAATAAACCCTTGAACGCATGAAGGATTGTCACTTTATTTTAAAATAAAATAACTAACCACAAGGTTGTGAGCCGTAAATCAGGAATCAGACAATGAAGAGCAGAAAGCTCCAACATTTCTAACTCAAAAATTAAATTCAACTTCGATGTGAAGCTCTTCGCCAAAGCCTATTGAGCAGCTGAGGACGTAATTAGGAGTCATATTAAAGTCGGCCTCACCAAGGTGAGCCAAGTCAGGAAAGAGCAGAAGCCTCAAAAGACTTTTATGTAGTCTCTTCTATGTTTTCTGTATGCTGGATAGATTTGGCAGCAGTGCATAGTTGGTTTTCTTTCATCCTGTAAGAATGTATTTCAGTTTTTGTAAAAAAAAATAAATAAAATGTCAAAAACAGTCTAAAGCTCACACTTATGTGTACTTTCTCCGTCGTATATTCAAACAAGAAAGAATATAAACCGATTATTAATGTCAAAGATTAGACGTGAAAATATTAGAAAGTGACTGAGGTTACACTGTGTTTGCTTGGCGGATAATTTTATTTCGTAAAAAGGGGCAGAAATCATAAGATTTTTTCTTCTATCTGCTCCTTTTCATTCAAATGTTTTTTTAATATGTTAATGTATCCTGTATTTGTTTGTGTTTATTTTATACATTGTGAATGAATTAAAAGATTTAAAAATATATACATATCTTAAACTGACAACTGTGATGAATGAATAATTTGAAAACCTTTTGGTAGAACTTTGATTGGATTGGTGTGAAGTCAACATAAAATTTATAAGTCTTTGAGCAACCAGGTGGTTGTTTCATAGCTGTTTCTTACTTTTAAAGTTGAAAAAGTTATGTTTTAAAAATATGTACATCCACGGGGTGTTTAGAGGTGTGCAGAATGAAGATACAGTATTTTCTTTAAAAGCTATATTTTAATAAATAAATAATAAAAAATTGGTTTTGACGGGCACGACACTGGGTTTATATTTACATCTACCAGCCAGTAGAGGGCACCATTGCGAGTTGCCAAACAGTACGCTCGGCACAGCGAGGCTGGCACTGTGGAAAATGGCGAACTCTGCAAGTAAAGCAGCTGCTTCTGAGCCCAGAAGATGTTGTTATCCTTCTCAGAAGAGGACCAACCATAAAAGATCTAAAACCAGAGTGAGGTGAAGCCTGCAACAGATGGAACCGAATAAAAAAGCTCACGTATCAACAATGTGTCCCGACAACTGGAAACCTTGTTCTATTGTTGCAACCACAACATCCACACACTAGATGTTGCTTTGATGTTTGTGTTCCATACCTGGTTGAATATGGTTGTATTTGGTGAGGATTGTCCACCTGGACACAACACCCTCCCTCGCTCTGATCCAAACGCTGAGGTATTAATAAGGTTGCAGGTTTCGGTTTTAAAGGATTACATGGAGTGTTTGGTTGTTTGGAAGTATAAGACATAAGGGCTTTGAATAAATAAATAGACAGTTTTCATGAAATGTCATACAAGAGCTTTTCTAAAGCATATTTGTTTTTTGTTTTTTAAGTTTGAGTTCACAGTTTGTGTTTCTTTTCTGAGCATTTTAAATGATTTTACTATGTTGTAGCTCCCTTGACAGCTTTAAACTTTTAAATTATTAAAGTTTGGTGTATTTTTTGTTGATGGTTAGACAATAAAAGCAGACAAGGAACAAAGAAAATCTAAAACTTACTTACACTGATTTTTTATAAATATTTTTAATGAAAATTTGGAATAAAATTAATTTTAAATGTGCAACTTTTTCATATTTTTAAATCATTTTCTTGGGCCAGTATGTGCTAAAATGACCCTTTACAAGGTCAATGAAATGTCACTCATACCCCCATTGCCCCCTGTGGCCAGAACACCGCATTTGCAACGTTAGACTGGATGGCCGCTTTGTTTGGATTTATAAAAATTAGAGCTGACATACCTGGCGCTGCACTCTGCTTCCAGCACATTTCCTACATATTTTAGATCGTGAACATAGCTGATTTGATTAATTTAGTGATGAATCACTCCCGTAGATACTAAGGGAAGCTGGGAAAAACTTTAACAGGTAGATTAAGGTGTTAAAAAGATGAATGCACAGCGAGGAGACAGTGCGGACACTAGGGGGTGCTGAAACCAAGCAAAATTGCCAAATGTGCCTTCAATGGAAAAATGTATAACTCTTATTCTGACACTTGCATTAAAGTTTTTTGAAGTGAGGCAATTAAAATGTGTGATGTGGGACAAACTGGTTCTTCTTTACTTTTCTGCTGAGACACACCAGTCTCCAGTTAATCAGTAACTGCGATGAGATTTTCTGCTCAGCTGAAAAGTCAGGATCAGCATTTTGGTGTCACCTGGTGGGAAACACCTGCTGCAAACACAAAGTCTGTCAAGCTTCATTTCTAAAATAGCTTAAATGTTTTCTGTCTAGTTAGATTTTCTAAAATATTACATTCCTTTTTTGTAGTCATCTCTGCATTTAGTGGATTTATTTTTGAAAATGTGTTTAGGGAAAATTAGTTGTTTCTCAAATATTTTTGTAAAATACTTTTTATCGTGGTTTCACTTTCTTTGAGTTTCCTCCATTTCTTTTATCTTTTCATTTGAACGCGTCTTCTGGTTGGTTTCCATTAAACCTTTATCGTTAAAAACAACTAGGTGTGCTCAAAACACCAAACACGAAAATTCATCATAAAAACAAAATCCATCAAATTATAAAATAGTAAAATAAAAAAAATATGTTCAGTAAAAAAAAATCTAAGCCTCTGTGAAGCAAATGCACACATTTTTTCATCTATTACTTATGACTAACTAAAAACATAAAAAATAACATTTGATTTTTCTAAATTTTCTATCAAACTTAAAGTTTAAAAAAAATTTACTTTTATTTATTAAATGGTAAATGGCCTGTATTTGATATAGCGCCTTCTAGAGTCCTGGAACCCCTCAAGGTGCTTTATAACACAATCAGTAATTCACCCATTCACACACACATTCACACACTGGTGGTGATGAGCTACGACATAGCCACAGCTCCTCTGGGGCACACTGACTGAGGCAAATTATTAGTTATTAAAAGACATAACACATTTAGTTTTTATATACATCAAAAGTAAATGTTTAAATCAATGAACAAATAAAATCAAATCTGAATTTACAACTGAAATACGAACCCACTTTGATGCGAGTTAAATAGAAAAGGTATTTAAAACTTTGTGAGCATTTAAAGTGGTATAAGACAGAACTGGTTTGACACTAAAACTAGCTACACACACACACACACACACACGTTCTGGTTAAACATTGGCTCAAAGTTTGCCTTCTGCCTTCTGTTGTTTTTACACTACAGGCCCACCAATTGTAGCGGGCATTATTGACTTAGTAATTAAAGTATTTTAACGTGGGGATTCTGTAATCATTACATATGCCGCCATCTGTTCCTGCCCTGCTGCACCTGAAATGGATTTTTCTCCCTGAGTAGATAATAAATGAAGACCAATCAGGAGAGGCGGAGGGAGGTAAGCCACGTCACCATCACTTAAACCTGTCACTGGTTTTCAATTATCCTGTTAATTTTACCATATCAGATGTTTTAAGGCGAATTTTGATAACAGAACCAAAAATGTTTACTATACCTTCATTATGTTAATGTTTAGATGCACGCTTTACATATATAATCCATTTACTGTTCATGTATAATAATGACAAACAACTAAAATAGTTGTTTTTCAGCTCTATAACAAAACATTTAATCCCGTGTAGATCATCATCTCATAATCCCATCCAGATGGAGTATCAAGATTCGTACCTTCATCAGAAACCTGCCATATCCTGTCCTATGATTGTCTACTGCCCTCTGGTGGAGGATCTAAAAGTGGTAAGGGCCAATTTTATTTCTCTATTACATTTAAATTGTTGTAGAATTATTTAATGACATAAACCAATTATTACATGATTGTTATATTATCATTAGACAATAAAGTTTTAGACACCAAATTTAGGTCATTTTTGGTCCATAAAAGAATAAAATTACTGAAGCATAAATTCAACAGTTTACAGTTTATATTAGAAGAGCTGGTCCACTGTTCCTTAACCTGGACAAAACCACATGGCTCCTGCTTAGAAGTTCTGAAAGGTTATCCAGTGTGTTGCAGAATTGGTTTTTGTTGTGTTCTGTTGGGGGTTCTTCAAGATGAGGCTTTGGGTTCCCTACTAAGACCGTTTGATCAGCGTTCACCTTGACTGAGAGTCTTGGTTAAAAGTCAGATTCCTTTCCAACGAGTCTTGGACTGACTCTGTTCAAAATGTTTTATGTGCAGAAGCCAGGAAGCAGATGGGGACTTCACCTAACATTACAGCTTTTTGGAGATTATGTCGTCCTGTTGGCCTTACTGAGCTAGGACCTCCAACTGGGATGAAGGCCTTAAATTAAAAAGGATGAATTCCCAAATGTGGGTTGGGAATGAGCCATGGCTCCAGCAGATCATGTTACAAGTGAAGGTGGGAAGGAAGAGCAGGAGATTGATGGATGGATCGTGGTCAGCATCTGCACTGAGACGGATGGACTTCTGGACACTTTCTATGGAAGGTGTTTCAGAGATGTCTCACCAGGAGAAGACCTCGACACAGCTCCAGGACTTGCAGGAGAAATTTGATCTTACAGCAGGCCTGGGAATAATTTGGAGAAAGAAGCTAGGGAGTCTTTGGATCTCTGCTACACAGTCCTAAAAAGAAGCTGATGATGAATGGATGTTATTTTAAAAAGGTTAGTGAGAATAAAAGAATAATTTATTCTTTAATCAATTTGTCAAACATTCACAAGTTTTTTGTTTACCTAAAAATGCAAAACTTTGCTTTCAGGTGTGAGTTGGCAGCAATAGAAAGAACATTTGTTGTATTTAAAGAAAAACCATAAGAGAAGATAGTAGTCTCTTAAAAACAAATCTGTATTTGACTTCATTTGGAGGACTTGGATATAAAAACCACACACACACACACACACACACGCACACACACGCACACACACACACACACACACACACACACACACACACACACACACACACACACACACACACACACACACACACACACACACTTACTCCTCACCCCCATGTCAAAGCTAAATGTCCAGAAAATAGAGTAGATTCAGAATCGATACCTCAGGAATTATGCATGACCATAAATGTTGTTGAGATCAACAATTTGCAGTCAGTGTCATAAACTGACCCACCTGCATTTAGCCTGATTTGATGTTTTATTAACGCCCATCTGGCCTGAATTTGTGTTCTGCTGAGTAGGCAGGAGTTTTACGGAGGTGTCCATTGAAAGCCTTTAGACAGAAATCCTCCCACACAAACAAATCCCTCCTTTCTGCCAGCTGGTCCTGTAACAATTAAAGGCACACTTTGCAACTTTTCATATTTTAAAATAATTTTCTTGAGCCATCATGAGCTAAAAATGACCCTTTACATGGTTAATGAAATGTCACTCAGACCCCCACTGTGTGGCCAGAATATTGCAGTTGCAACTTCAGAGTTGCAGGCTGCTCTGTTGGGCCTGACATACCTGGCGCTGCAGTCTGCTTCCACCATGTTTCCTGCATATTTTAGATCATGAACACAGCTGATTTGTTTAATTCAGTGATGAATCACTCATGTAGAAACCAATGTAGGCTCGTGAGAAATTTCAGCAGTTAGATTAAGGTGTTAAAAAGACAAAGGCACAGCAGGGAAATGTTTTGCTTTCAGTTTTACCACAGAGAATGAATAATGGACACTAGGAGGTGCTAAAAGCAAGCAAAACTGCCAAAGCGTGCCTTTAAGTAAACACTTTTGTCTGAGCCATTTCTGATTCTGTTTCTCAGGAAAGTAGTAACAAGTTTAAAAATATGTAAAAATCAGGCTGCATTTGCCATTGACCAAAAAAAACAACAACAAAGCAGCACACCGTGCCTCGTTCTAAAGGGACTCAGGAACAAAATACCCAGCTCTGGAAGCCTCACTTGAGTAAGGTCAGGGGTCACATTTCAACTATGGGAGGTAAAAACTGCCTTCATGAGGAAGCTCCAAGGCCAAAATCTTATTGTAAAGGGGATAAAAGTGGACTGTTGATTGTTATTTCCTTTGGGTTTCCTCATGTTGGAGGTAGACTGGGAAGAGCATCACCCAAACAGGAAGTGTTTCCTTTGAAAGGCAGTTGGGGTTTTATTGATTAAAGTAAGTAAACTAAATCAAAGCTGCTGTAATTTCAATTCTTGGCCATTTTTACTTTTTACCAAAGTGAAGAAATTCCACCACCAAAATAATTAGTAATAACTGGATTCTGTGATTGTATTTGCATGTTATCATTATTTTATTCAACAAATTTTTTTCTTCTTCTACATTTATCTATTTAAAACATGAAACCTTTAAATACAATAAAAACCTTTATAATGCATCTTGAACCTAGGGACCGTGTTCCTGTTTGATGGAACGGATCAGAGTCACTGAACACCCCCGTGGCCCATGAACACAGTGTTGATGGGTGGGAGCGAGGACACCAGGTCCGGTACCTCTGAAGACACCGCCCCACGCTGCTGAGACATCAGAGAATCCTGAGAGCCAAACGGAGAGGGAAGTCCGAACATGCAGGGAGCCGATCCCGATGAGGCAAGGGGGTGATCTGGAAGGAGATGAGAGGAAAGGACCAGTTTCTGTCAAAGGCTTTGGTTTGATTTTAAACTCAATTCCAAATGGTTTGTTGGATCTCCAAAAATCAGGAGTGCCTGAATGTTGTAGAGGTTTCTCTGCTTCATCACACCTGGTTTTAATTTGATGATATACAGGCTGAGGAGGTAATTTAACCACTTCATCAGGTATATTGGAGCAGGAAAACACCTAAAATGTGCTGGATGCTGCTAAAAAAAAAGGTGAGAAATGTACTGAATCAGCTAAATCGCATCCCATCCCATCATCCTCCTGCCTGTCCCGGTACTGACCCGGTCCAGTTTCAGTCTCACTGAAAAAGCCTCCAGCTGTTTTCCTTCCTGGTTCGGCCAGAATGTTGAGCGGATCGTGGACTTCGGAGAATGACGACGGAAAGGAACGCAGACGTCTGACGCTGCTGATGACCGACACGTGCTGGCTGGCCAAGTAGCTGCTGTCACCATAATAACCTGACACAGAAAACATATTAGAGTTTAGTTAGAGTCAGAATCTCAGAAAAACATTAACACGTCATAAACATTAATCTCGCTTTTTATTTTTTGTTCTGAGCTGAAACTCCAAATTTTTATACTATTGCCTATATATATATGTATGTATGTATGTATGTATGTATGTATGTATGTATGTATGTACGTATATATATATATATATATATATACATATATATATACATATATATATATATATATATATATATATATATATATATATATATATATATATATATATATATATGTTTATGTTTATGTATTTAGCAGATGCTTTTGTCCAAAGCGACTTACAAGTGATAATCGGCATGTTGCCCTTGAGGCTAACAACAACAGCAACAACAACAACAACCAATTTCCAGTCAGTCATAGGTGGCAGTGAGGCAGCATGATGAATCATAGAGAAGTGGGAACAAGAAGTGGACAGTAGAGGGGGGACGGGTGCAGGGAGGGTGCTAGTTTAGAAGATGCTCTCTGAAGAGCAGGGTCTTCAGGATATTTCTTGAAAGTCGAAAAGGAAGCCCCTGTTCTGGTAGTGCTTGGTAGGTCATTCCACATTTGTGGAACGATGCATTAGAAAAAGTCTAGATTGTCCTGAGCGTGGTGTAGGCACTGCTAGCCGACGATCCTGTGATGATCGGAGCGGCCGGGCCAAGACGTAAGCCTTTGCAAGAGGATTCAGGTAGATGGGAGCCGTACCATCTCGGACATTGTATGCTAGTGTTAGCAATTTGAATTTGATGTGTGCAGCTAGCGGTAGCCAGTGGAGCGCAATGAACAGAGGGGTGACGTGTGCTCTTGTTGGCTGATTGAAGACCAGAAGCGCTGCTGCGTTCTGGAACATTTGAAGAGGTCTCACAGTACAGCCTGGAAGACCAGTTAGAAGGGCATTGAAGTAATCGAGGCGGGAGATGACAGTAGATTGCACCAGGAGCTGGGTGGCATGTTGTGTTAGGTATGGTCTGATCTTTTGTATGTTATACAGGGCAAAGCGGCATGAACGAGCAACAGAGGCAACATGATCTTTAAAGGTCAGGTGTTCATCAATCACAACACCCACATTTCGAACTGCCTTTGAAGGAGCCAGAGATAGGAAGTCATTTTGGATTGAGATATTGTGCTGTATGGATGGTTTTGCTGGGATGACGAGTAGATCAGTTTTAGAAAGGTTGAGTTGGAGATGGTGGGATTTCATCCATTTTGATATGTCAGAGAGACAGTTTGATATTCGTGCAGAGACAGTGTGGTCATCCGGTTGAAATGACAAATAGAGTTGGGTGTCATCTGCATAGCAGTGGTAGGAGAAGCCATGTGATCGAATGATCTCACCCAGTGAGGTGGTGTATATGGCAAAGAGAAGAGGTCCTAGTACTGAGCCCTGGGGGACTCCTGTGGCAAGATGGTGCACGGTAGAGGATTGTCCAAGCCAAGATACACTGAATGATCGTCCTGTGAGGTACGATTCAAACCAGGCGTGTGCTTTCTCTGTGATGGCCATGCTAGAGAGTGTGGACAAAAGGAAGCCATGGTTGACAGTGTCAAATGCTGCCGATAAGTCGAGCAGGATAAGCACTGAGGATTTGGTAGTCGCTCTAGCTTTTTTAAGGATTCCGTCACTGCTAACAGAGCAGTTTCAGTGGAGTGGCCCTCTTTGAACCCAGATTGGTAAGAGTCAAGCAGACAGTTTTGTGAGAGGTACTGTGTGATCTGCTTGAAAGCCACCCTTTCAATGATTTTGGACAGAAAATGGAGGAGAGAGATAGGTCGGTAGTTCTCCACATTATTTGGAAGAAGAGATGGTTATTTTAGCAGCGGTTTAACCTGAGCATGCTTGAGAGAGGTGGGAAATGTACCGGATGTCAGTGAAGCGTTGATTACATGTGTGACTGCTGCAGCTACTGTAGGAGCAATAGCTTGGAGCAGCTTAGTCAGAATGGGGTCGAGTGGGCATGTAGTAGGGTGGCTGCACGTGAGAAGCTTGGACACACAGCTCTCAGTGAGAGGGGAAAAAGAGGAAATGAAGCAGTAGGGCTTGAGATGGTTGGGCTAGAAGGGGTTTGTGGTAGTGAATGTTCAGGAGTGGCCAGTTGAGTAAACTGTTTGCTTATAGCTGCCACTTTGTCAGTGAAGAATGAGGCAAAGGTGTCAGCTAATAGATTGTTGGTTGGAGGTCAAGACGGAGGGTTGAGCAGAGTTTTGAATGTCGAAAATAGTTTCTGAGAGTCAGCAGAGCTGAGAATTTTGTCAGTGTAGAAAGCTTTCTTTGCATTAGTGATGCATGTTGGATAACATTTATATATATATATATATATATATATATATATATATATATATATATATATATATATATATATATATATTGCACATCCATGGTGGGAATCTCCCGTTCCTCTACATCCCAAAGGTGCTCCACTGGACTGAGATCTGCTGACTGTGGAGGCCATTTGAGTACAGAGAACTCATTGTCATGCTCAAGAAACCAGTCTGGGATGATTCGAGCTTTATGATATTGTGCATTATCCTACTGGAAGTAGCCATCAGAAGATGGGTCATAAAGGGATGGACATGGTCAGCAACAATACTCAGGTAGGCTGTGGTGTTGTCACGATGATCAATTAGTACTAGGGGGCCCAAAGTGTGCCAAGAAAATGTCTCCCACACCATTATACCACCACCACCAGCCTGATTTGTTGAGACAAGACAGGATGGATCCATGCTTTCATGTTGACACCAAATTCTGACCCTACCATCCGAATGTCGCAGCAGAAATCAAGACTTATCAGACCAGGAAACATTTTTCCAATCTTCTATTGTCCAGTTTGGGTGAGCCTGTGTGAATTGTTTTCTCAGTTTCCTCTTCTTAGCTGACAGGAGTGGCACCCGGTGTGGTCTTCTGCTGCTGTAGCCCATCTGCCACAAGGTTCGATGTTTTGTTAATTCAGAGATGCTCTTCTGCATACCTGCTTGCCTATCTTTCAGCTCGAACCAGTATGGCCATTCTCCTTTGACCTCTGACATCAACAAGGCATTTTTGCCCACAGAGCTGCCGCTCACTGGATGTTTTCCTTTTTTCTGACCATTCTCTGTAAACCATAGAGACGGTTGTGCGTGACAATCCCAGAAGATCAGCAGTTTCTGAAATACTCAGGCAAGCCCGTCTGGCACCAACAACCATGCCACATTCAAAGTCACTAAAATTACCTTTCTTCCTCATTCTGAAGCTCAGTTTGAACTGCAGCGGACCGTCTTGAATGCATCGAGTTGCCACCGTGTGATTGGCTGATCAGTACTTTGTGTTAACGAGCAGTTGGACAAATATACCCAATAAAGAGGCCAGTGAGTGTATATGTGTGCTGTGTTCAGTGGTTGGGTGCTTTTGATAGCTGAAAGCACTTTTTAAAACAAAAGATGGTGGTGATGGAAAAGCGGCTGAACAATCATTTTTTCAGACAAATTTTAAGTAAAAAGGGTATTTTCAGAAACAATAACTATGAGTTTTAAGATCTTGCTATGCTACATTTGATGACCTTTGTGGAGGTTTTGATTGTGAAGGACATTGGAAACTGTTATTTTTTGATTGAATTTGACCTAGAGTACAAACAAACTTACTGGTCTGAACAGATAAGACAAAAACACCTCTCGATAAGTTTTTCATAAATAGAAGCTGAGCAGTTCAACAGGATTGTTTCTGTTTTGCAGAAGCTCATTAATAAGAGATTTGAGAAGTTAACATTCCAGTTTGTGATTCCTCACCGCTGTGTCCTGTAACGGAGAACGTCTGTTCCTGACAGGCTCCACTGGTGAGGTTCAGGTTGCCCTCCACAAATCCAAAACCCTCACCAGGATCCAGGACCTGAGCGGCTGCCTGCTGGTCCAGTCCTCGTTCTGTCCGAACAGGATCCGAGCCGGGGGCGTAGCTGGATGCTGGTGGAACAACTGAGCCGTAAGGAGTCAGGGAGCAGTCTGAGCTGCTGGAGGAGTGATGGAGAGGAGCAGGATGATGGTTGTAGAAGATGTCTTTCGCGAGGGTCTGGTCAGTGATGGAGGAGTAGCGAGGGAGGTGGCACGCCAGAGGAGACTGACACTGGTTCTGGGTCTGGGATCTGAAAATCAGAACACCCTGATTATACTTGTAATAGACAAAGTTCTGGTTTCTTCTTCAGTTATTCAGGCAATCATGTGGAAAGTTTAATTTACATAAAATTAAAAATTAAATCTGTATTTGTTTCCTGTTAAGCTATCAAACCTAACCAAATTTGATTCGTTATTTTAAATATTTAGATGCACACATAACAAATCTGCAGCTGAGAGTAAATCTGACCTGAGAGCAGTCTGGTAGTTTGGACCAGAGGGGCTGCTGGCTGGAGGAAAGTAGCCAGTGCTGGTCTGAGGTAAGCTGTGGTACAGGGTCTCTGAGTAGGATTGGCAGGGCTGGGTCATTGCACTGATAGAGGAGAAGCAGGAGGACGAGGAGAATGAGCAAGAGGAAGAAGAGCAGGAGGATGTGAGGGGCCTCCCCGCCATGGGCCCTTGGTTGATGACGGAGCCACGGTGGACAAACGCAGCTGGAGAGATGGGAGGAGTCATGAGGGGGCCGCTGACCTGAGAGAAGTCCATCTGACCTCCTGAGAGTAGATGAAGAGGAGAAACTTTCAAACATCACGATGGATGAAGTTCAGACACTTTGTTCCTGTTTAGAACAGGAAGTAACTTTGGGTTCTGCTTCAAGTCGTTGGGAGATTTTACACCATTTTCAACTCATTTGAAAACTAGAAAGTGCCGATAATGTTTACACATATCCTTATTCTCAATAAGAGACATTTTAAAACTTCCAAGGTCACAGAATGAGTCTCCTAAAGATGTCAGGGTGTCTCTAGAAAACACAAATTTATGCATAGTTTCCAATTATACAAAAAATTGTAGTAAATAATATTTATTTTATCTACATCAGCATCTTTTATTCGACCTACAGACTCTGGCTCTGCTCTCCCATCATGTTTAATTTTTTTTTTTTACATACATTTAAATTAAATTCTGCACCAGACTGCTCGAGGATCTGCCCGACTTCAAATGGGCTTTACTAAGGACGTTGTAGTGTCACTGAATGGCCTGATTCTTGACCTCAGGTCAGACACACAGCCTGGGTCACTTTGACCTGGCTGCTACGACAATCTACAGTGTTTCTTTCACAGGAAACTGAATGTCTGTCCACCACCCCTTTAATCTGACTGCCTTTATCTGACTGCTGTTCCATCCGCAAGACGAAGGACACTTCAAGATTTAAAAGAATCCTTTTTAATAAACTCTTTTCACTGTCTATTACAATGTTCATAAATAATCATCATGGTTCATTTTAACTGTGTTTAATTGCTGAAATGAATTATTATTCTTTGGCTAATAATAATTATTTATGATAATCAGTAATGTTAAAAGTGACAAGAAGATCATGTGCACTTATGCACAATCATACAGGGCACAGTAAATCAGGTTAAGGTTAACCGCATTCACATGATTCTTTTCTCATCCACGAGAACTTCCTATCTTTAGGGAAGGCGTGTTCTGAGGTATGTTAAATGAGATTTAATGTGGATGATAATGAAAGTAATTTTAGTCAAATAATTGTTTGCTGTCCCAGCTCGGCAATTATTTGCACACTTGTGTACTACGCACTCGAAGCCTTACGTGAACTTCCTCCAAGTGCACTTTGCAGAGGACCATGGGGTGCAGCACGAGTATTGAGACAGGGCCTTAATCGTTCTCTTGCATCAACACACCTGTTCAGCAGCTCATCATGCACAAGTCTGTTAATCACCTGCTGATTAGAACCAGGTGTGCTGAAGCAGAGGTTTCCCTGCTGCAGATTCACCGTTGGTCACCAACTTTAAAAGTTGTTTTTTGTTCACCTGCAGCCGTGAACCCAGATGTGTTGTTTCCCTGGTAGAGCCCAGTTTTCGCCTCCAGACCCTGCTGCTGATTGGTGAACACAGCTTTGTAGGTGTGTTCTCCCAGAGACTCGTTCTTTACTGATTGGTCAGAGGGAGCAGATGCCTTGCTGCGATTGGCTAGAAAGCAGGAACTGGGTGACGCCATGAACGTTGCTTTACTGGCATCTGAAAGTGACATTATACAAAAAACATCTGGGTTAAACTCCATAAAAAACTGTGTCAAGGCTCATTTACTACTTTTCAGAGCAATCTCTCTCATGACATTTTAAAACCATTTTAAACTATTCATAGATGAAAATTTTCACCTGAATTTATACACTGGTTAAGGCTGACTCAGACTTTATTATCTTCTTTTAAGTCACAAAAACAACCTCCATGTGTCAACAAATACAATAATTTTATTAAGTTGTGAGTTAAAAACAAAAGACCAGATTATAATAAAGAATATTTTCTATCTGTGGTGAATCAAATGTGCCTAAACAAAGTAATAATTAGATTTATTGTGTTGTGGAAATGACAAAATGCCACTGAAACACCATAACATCAGATTAATTAGTTAATTCTAGCCTATGTTTTTATAGATAATTTAGGTGTCTTTTCACCAAAAACCAGCACATCAGCTCCTCACAGATAGATTGTTTTATTCAGTAAGCATCTGACAGGAGGAGGTTTTATCAACCAGAGTTTGAAGAAGTTTTCTTTATCTTTAGCCATTGTTGGGATGTTTGATACCTGCATTTTTCATGTATTTATCTAGAAGGTTCTGCAGGTCCTGCTCCTTGTCGTTGTTGAACTGGGTTTCCAGAGCCAGCAGGATGTACTCGTCCAGCAGCATCCTGATCAGATGGAAGGAGCCTGTCAGAACAGAGACGACGTGCAGAAGTGAGTGTAACCTTCTCGTATCTTTAGCTGTAAACACTCTGATTCCAGGTGAGACATCACTCCTTCTGTTTGACCTTTCTGACCCTTGTGTTTCTTTGTTTGACCTGCAGGGCCTCAGGGTTGTGTTTGAGCTTTAGTGGGACTTAAAAAAATTGCGACCCACCAAATGGTCATTGTTTATTTTTGAATGCAAAGCCTGTGTGGGTGTGTGTGTGTGTGCGTGCGTGCGTGCGTGCGTGCGTGCGTGCGTGCGTGTGTGTGTGTGTGTGTGTGTGTGTGTGTGTGTGTTTGAACAGAGAGCACAAGAGCCATAGATAAGACTGTGTAATCAAAGCGAGTCTGGCCATCACAATTTATGATGTTATTGTAGCAATCCGCTCTAAGCTAGCTCCTTTCAAACCTACGCATCTGTGTGTGGGGGTCTTCGTTAAGAGTTTTAAAGTCTTTAAGGGATATTTTATTCATTTTAAGTGATGTTTTAGCAGATATTTACCTATTTAAAAGACTATACCTGCAGGTGGCATCGCTTGTAGCGTGCAAAGTTTCTAGAAGCAGGAAAAAAGTCCACAGAGCAGAGTAATGCTCACAGCTAGCCAGATAACAAACCAGCAGCTAGTTTCTGGTATTTAAAAGAGTTCTTGCTCAGAAAAGTCATACTGATGAACCTCTTCTACCTTTATCTTTACAAATTTTCATGAAACCGTTAATTTTATTTAAGCCATTTGTTTTCACCGAACAACCAAAAAAAACTGCTCCATTAATATGTTTTTACTGATTTAGCGAGAGTTCATACAAGTACTATTCACTAGAGCCCTGCAACAACCCAATCACGTGGGAGGAGGATGGTCAGGAGTGAGGGGCTAGGAGAAAAACAACAGGTCCTGAATTAGCTAGAAGACAGAGTGCACCCGAGGTAGCAAACAAAATGATCACACGATTTAAAGTCAAAATCTGCCCTCTTCTCCAAGAAACCACCTCTGTTCCGACTGGTCAGCCTAATCAGGCATTTATCTTACATTTACTTAAGTGCTAAATTAGACTGTGCAAAAGGGTTCTAAATATCATCAGTATTTTTTTTTTAGGAAGAAGAAAATTGTATAGCGCCTCTCAAGATAAAAATCACAAGGCACTTCACAAGAACAAAAATGGAAGGAAAAAAATATATAAAAATTATTCAAAATACATAAAAATGAGAAAAATACAAAATTGTTATTAAAAATGTGAGGAAAGAGAAAGAGAAAATGAATAAGAAAGAGGTCATCGGTGAATCCTGGGAAAGGTGGAATTGGTAGAAAGAGGAGAATAAGGAGAGGGTAGAGGAAAGTATTTTTGCAGGAAATAGTTTTCCTGAAAAGTGGAAATATACTGGGTCAACCACTGATGAAATATTCATGGAACTGTATCAGTAAAGGTATTATAGTCAGAGTGTAGACGTTTCCTTACCAAAGCTGGAGGCGTTGTTCAGCGTGAGGTTGTGCATCACTCTGGCACCGAAGAAGCTCCACCTCAAGAGGAAGTCCTGAGCTCGCTTCTTCAGAGGTCGACCACTCTGCTTACCAGGCTGAAGGAGACACAATAGCAGCTCATCATACACACACACACACACAAACACACACACACACACACACACACACACACACACACACACACACACACACACACACACACACATTCTTGTATTTGTACCTATGTTAGGACTTTGTATTGACTTCCATTCATTTTAGTGAATCCACTACGCCTAACCCAAACCCTTACCCTAACTGTAACCCTTACCCTAACCAGTGTATTCCTAAAGTTATCTGTAACAAAAACTCAATTCACATCTTATCTGTAAACCTCACCCCAAGGGAGAACTCTGCATTAGGACCGAGTTTTGGTCCTAACAAGGACCATCGGTCATAAGAAGGTTAGTAAATATCCCAAATCCAGTCTTCACAAGGGTACAAATACAAGCCCCCCAAACCACCCCCCACCCCCACCCCACACACACACACACACACATACACACAAGTGAACAGCTGTTACCTTGATGACTTTGTGCTCTACCACCGAGTCCAACCACTCGATGAACGACTCAACTGTGGCGTTTTTCCTCAGCAGCTCCTTCAGTTCCTGAAAGACAGTGACAGAATCATCTGGAAAAAAAGACAGAAAATGACATCAGGAAAATAATTTAATTTGGAAGAAAACACTATAAATAAGTACTTTTGTGGGATGCTCTCAGGACATTGTTATATCAACCTTCAGATCTTTTTACAGTCAAAAATCACTGAGAAAATGAATGATATTCATAATAAAACAAAACTTGAATGGGATGATAATTTCAGAAAACATGAAACAGCACCAAACAACATTTTGCTATAGACAATCATTAATATAAATTTGTTAAAAAAAGAAATACATTTACAAATTTTGAACAAAAAATATTTTTAAATGTTAAATGTTAGCATCACACCATTTCTGGAATCCAATATTCGAACACAAATGTGGTTTCATGCTAAATAAAAATCACAAAGTGACAAGAGGAAAAATGTATTACTGAAAAAAAAGGAGTTTTGGTTATTTTCAAAAACAAGGTTTAAAAAATGACTCAATCAATTTTTTGCCGTTTTGTGATTTTGTTCTGGTTTGAAAACTTACTCAACTTTAAATTTAATCTTGAAGACACTTCCAGCATAAATCACACGTGGCTTTAAAAATCTGGGTGTCCAGTCGTGGTCCCGGAGGGCCACTATCCAGCATGTTTTTGAGGTTTCTCTGCTCTAACACACCTGATATTAATTATTCAGATTGTTGACAGGCTTCTGCAGAGCTTGATGAACTGCTGAACAGGTGACTGAACCATTCAATCAAGTGTAGCAGGGAAACAACTAAAACATGCTGGGTAGTGGATCTCTCGGACCAGGATTGGAGACCACTGCTTTAAAGACTTGAATATTAAATAATAATACAAATCAAATATAGTTTTTAAAACTGATAATGAAAATCTAACATGTACAGGATTAAATATGGCAGCTGAGTGGCCTAGTGGTAGAGTGTCCGCCCTGAGACTAGGGGATCATGGGTTCAAGTCTTAAAAAATGGGACTCAATGCCTCCCTGCTTGACATTCAGCATTAAGGGGTTGGATTGGGGGGGGGTTAAACCACCAACTAGTTCCCAAGCACGGCCACAGCTGCAGCTCACCACTCCCCCAAGGAATGGGTCCAAAAATGTCACCAGTGTGTGACGGCTAACGGGAATTGAGCTTTCTGATGAAGGTACTAATACTGATATTCAGGATGCTGAATACAACCAATAACAAATAAAACAGACAAAAACTGCTAAAAATGTTAAGTTTTTAACAATCGCAACAGCCTGTGGGGCAGGGGGACCCTTAAATATTTTATTTCTTTGACATATTTTTATCATTCAATAGAAGAGAAAGTGAAACCATTGAAGGATTTAAATGCTTGGCATGTGACAGCATTATTCTCAGTAAACATGAAAATGAGTTCATTCTTACACTCGGAGTAAATATCAGACTCCTGGCCTCCAGCGGCCGATACGCTGAGCAGAGGCTGTGAGGTGATGCTGTTCAGATCCACCTTGTCGATATCCATCACCATGCTGGTCACCACGGTCTGGTCGAACAGCGCCGGGCGTGCTATCTGAAACCACGCAGAGGTCAAGACTGACTCTGAGATCTGACGCCACACCGTCATGTTTGTTACCTGAGCCAGGTGCAAGAAGGAAGTCTGTCTCTTCAGGGAGGAAACAAAGCCACGTGCAATAGGGAGCTTCTTAGCTGCAAGGCTTTCTGGGAGGTTTTCCAGGGAAGAGGCTAACCAGTGCTCCCAGTGTTTGGCAAAGTTTCTAATATCTGCTAACAGACTGATAAACAACATCACCGAACTTAGTAATCCTCTGATTTCATCTCATTTATCACTGAAGCATGAAATCAGCTTGAATTTGTATTTTAAAGAAATAGAAAAGCGAACCTGTCGGGCATCTCTTGCATCGTGGCGGGAATCAAAACATCTGTTAAAACCTGAAAAATAAGCACACAGATTATTCATTAATTACAAAAGAAAGTACCAATGTTTAAATGTAAGATTAACATAGTTTTTGAAAGCTTAAAAAAAACTGTAAGACTTTAAGACTCTGCCGAAACCCTGCAGTCCCTCGTTTAATGAATTAGCACAAAACATTTGAACACACATGTAAAAGTAATTTCTGCCCAACCTTGTAGAGAATGGAGTCACAGACGCAGAAGATGTCGACGATAACCGGGTTTTCAAGCAGCGGCAGCAGGTGGTCGGGCATCCCCTGCCAGAAATGGAGCAGAAAATTCTGGATCTGAAGACAAAACAGCTGAATTAAAAAAGTTTAAATAGTACATAAAATACTGCTACTAGATGCAAATAGCCACCTCTTCAAAGCTGACATTAATAGCGTTGTCCAGGATGCACTGGCAGTGTGTTTTATACATCATGATCAGTGTGTCCACCTGTGAGGAATAAAAAAAGGCGGCTACAATCCTGACACCCAGAGTTTTTGTTTGTCAACAGAAAACAATTCAAAGGTTACATTAACGTGATGATATTTGATCAGGAACCTTTTCTCTGGAGATGTTTCCCTGCAGTAGGAGATGCTGGGCGTTTGGGAAGTCTGGGAGTAATGTTCCTGTTTTAGAGCTCAGGGAGTATTTCCTCGTGAAGCCGCCCTGCAGAACGCAACAGGCAGCAGACATATTTGGTTTGCTCTGAACCCAAACTGCCGCCCAGAACCCAATCACCGGCTGAGCCCTGGGATCCCACATCCCCTAAAGTTGACACATTTGAAGCTCAAGTAAAACCTGTTTAATTTAGGGGGACTGGAAAATAAAAATTTTAAAAACTGTTCATTTCTAAGAAAGAAAATTAATAAAGTTATATCCTTTTGGTATACACTTACTAAATATTCAAAAACAATCCGTGTTCTTTAACGTCTATTAGAACCTACTAATCTGAAATACAGATGTGGACAAAACTGTTGGTGCCCTTCAGTCAATGAAGGAAGAGCCCACAATGGTCACAGGAACTGGAGCAGTTTGCTCAGAAGGAGTGGGCCAAAATACCTGCTGAGAGGTGCAGAAGTGTCATTGGCAGTTACAGGAATCATTTGATTGCCTCAAAAGGTTGTGCAGCACTATAGTAACTTAGGGGTGCCATCATTTTTGTCCAGGCCCATTCCATGACCTTACGGTATTTTTTTAATAATTCTGTTGAAGCGTGGTTGAAAAGCAATGTCTGACTTTCATTGGTTAAATTTCATAGAATTTTTATTTATTATTTTTGTCAGATTCAAGCTATTTCTGTGACCATTGTGGGTTTTTCTTTTATTGACTGAGGGGTACCAACAATTCTGTCCACGTCTAGTTAGGGGAAGTTTTAACAAATTCTAAAGAGAAAATAAACACCAGGAATGAGGAAGTAATTTGATGTCCTGTGCACACTTTAGGTCCTGACTTGTAGAAGTCAGAAATGTTTCTGGCTTTTGATATATTTGTATATGGTTTTGGAAAAAGGCCAAACGTAAGACTTTTCTTTTAAAAAGTATTTCAGTGAGTTCAATTTAAAGGATTTATCTTTAATCCCACTCTGTAAGTAACAAAGATATTTGAATTCAGATTAGATGAGCAGAAAGATGCTAAAAACGTCCTAAAAACTGTAAAACCTGGATTGTACACTAAAACTTTAGGTTACTGTCGTAACCCCGGTTCTCTGAGTAACATGAGTGAGATGTCTCACTATGGGATACGCCCCTCCGCGGATTCCTCAGAAGCACTTATCTCAATACGCCAATCCTGATTGGCCAGTGACCGTGACGTACGCGTCCCCATGCTACTATAAGTAGCAAGCGTCCCAACGCACGCACTATTCAAGATAAACACCTCTTCTCGCTTCGCCCAGCAAGAAGGGTTGTCTGGTGAGACATCTCACTCATGTTACTCAGAGAACCGGGGTTACGACAGTAACCTAAAGTTCTCTTTCTTAACATTCGTTTCGATGTCTCACTATGGGATATAGAGACTCCCGTATTGCCAGACAGCTTATCCAGCGATCACCAACCTACAGGGATACGTCTTGGCCCGCCAAAGACCCCACACTCAGAATCGTGTGAGTCATTGCAGGGACCGAAACATCAAGCTTATAGAAGCGTGCAAATGCAAGTGGAGAAGCCCAACTTGCTGCAGCACAAATCTCCTGGATTGACAGCCCCCGAAAAAGGGCCCAAGAAGCAGACAGGCCCCTAGTAGAATGGGCCCTGAGCCCAACAGGTGCCTGACTGCCCTGACAGGAGTAAGCCATAGAAATAGCCTCCACAATCCAGTGGGAAAGCCTCTGCTTTGTGACGGGTTTCCCCTTACGAGGCCCACCCCATGACACAAAAAGCTGGTCCCCCCTGCGAAGGTTCTTTGTCCGATTCACATACTCCTTGAGCGCGCGAATCGGACACAGCTTGTGCCACCGCTCCTCCTCAGGAGAGGAGAAGGGCGGTGGGTAGAAAGCTGTGAGGATAATAGGAGAAAAGGAGCCCACCACCTTAGGCACAAAGGCAGGGTTGGGCTTCAAGGACACCTTCATGTCACCTGGTGCAAACTGGGTGCAGGATGGGTGCACAGAGAGAGCCTGTAAGTCACTAACTCGCTTTGCAGATACCAAAGCCAGGAGTAGCACCACCTTAAGAGACAGGATCTTAAGGTCCAGGCCGTCCATAGGCTCAAATGGAGGCCCGGAGAGGGCCGACAGCACCAAGGACAGATCCCATGAGGGCACCAGGGGTCGAGACACAGGGAGAAGCCTGCGCGCGCCCTTCATGAAGCTACACACCAGGGGGTGTTGACCTGCCAATTTCTTCCCAAAACCCAAGTGTCGGGCGGAAATGGCTGCTAGGTACACTTTAATGGTGGAGAAAGCCTTCTTCCCATCCAACAAGTCTTGCAGGAAAGACAGAATGACATTCACCGGGCATTGGAAGGGTGAGAACTCCCTGCCCTGACACCAGGCTTCAAACACCCTCCATTTACAGTCATATAGGGACCTAGTGGAGGGGGCCCTAGCATTCTGAATGGTTCGAATGACTGCCTGGGGCAGCTCTGCTGACACTAGTCCGCACCCCTCAGGGGCCAGGCCCACAGGGCCAGCCGTTCTGGATGAGGGTGGAAGATCGAGCCTCCCGCTTGGGACACCAGGTCCCTGCGAAGCGGCAGCTTCCAAGGTTGGCCCTCCAGGAGCTGGAAAATGTCCGCCACCCAATGCATGGCTGGCCAGAATGGGGCCACCAGAATGAGAGTGTGGCGCTGGGTTCGTACCCTCAGCAAGGTGGATGGTATCAGGGCCACTGGGGGAAAAGCGTAAAGCAGACCCCGTGGCCAGTCGTGCGCCAGCGCGTCCACGCCGAGTGGAGCGTCTCGGTCGCGCAGGGAGAAGAACAGAGGACACTGAGCATTCTCCTTGGAGGCAAAAAGATCCACTACGGCTGTGCCGAACCGGATCCAAATCTGTTCCACCACTGCTGGATGCAGGCTCCAATCCCCGTACAGGGGTGTCCCTCTGGACAACAGATCCGCCCCCCGATTCAGAACACCCGGGACGTGGGTGGCTCTGATTGAGAGGAGATGCCTGCTGCACCATAGGATCAGTCTGCGTGCCAGTGTGTGTAACCGCATGGAGCGCAGCCCCCCCTGGCGGTTTATATATGCCACAGTCGTGGTGTTGTCTGTTCTCACTAGGACATGATGGCCGGACAGAAAAGGCAGGAAGCGCCTCAGGGCCAGAAAGACCGTGAGGAGTTCCAGATAATTTATGTGTGTCCCCCAGAGCTCTCTGCTCCACACACCCCTGACAGAGCGACCCTCCAGGAGCCCCCCCCCCCCAACCTGACAGGCTCGCATCTGTCGTGACCACTTTCCTCGCGAGAACCAACCCCAAAGGCACCCCTTGTGCCAAGAGGGAGGGGTGACGCCAACAGCGGAGCGCCGCGACGCACGCTGCAGAGACCGTCACCCTGCGCGCTCTGTGGCGCACTGGAGAGAGACCCAGAGAAGCCACCCAGCGTTGAAAATCTCTCATGTGTAGACGGCCGAGTGGTACCACTGAAATAGCCGACGCCATGAGACCCAACAGCCTGAGGCATAACGCAAACCGCACCGAACTGTGTAGGCGGAAGCGCGCCAGGCAGAGCGAGAGCGCGTCCACGCGCGGTGTCGAGAGACGGCCGTGAACGCCCCTGAGTCCAGATTCAGACCTAGAAAGGTTATTTTCTGGGAGGGGAGTAAAGCGCTTTTCTGCCAGTTTATTCTGAAACCCAGACCACACAAGTGACGGATCACAACCAGCGTGTTTGACGCTGCCTCCTCTCTGGACCGTGCCAGCAGGAGCCAGTCGTCTAAATATGTGGCCAGTCGAATGCCCCTCCCTCTCAGAGGGGCGATCGCCGCCTCCGTACACCTGACAAACACCCTCGGGCTCAGCGAGAGGCCGAATGGGAGCACGGTGTATTCGTAACACACTCCCTGAAAGGCAAACCTCAGAAATTTCCTGTGTGGAGGGTACACGGGAATATGAAAGTATGCGTCCCTCAGGTCGATTGAGGTGAACCAGTCGTTCTGGTGAATCAGACGCAAAAGGGATGAGAGCGTGAGCATTTTGAATCTGTACTTTCTGAGGCATCGGTTCAGGGCCCTCAGATCCAGGATCGGGCGAATCCCGGTCCCTCCCCGCTTCGGGACCAGGAAGTACCTGGAGTAGAAACCGCTCTGAGACCGATCGGGAGGCACAATGCATATCGCTCCCTTCTCCAGCAGGGAGATTTCTCCCTGAAGGATGTGAGCTGACGACCCCTGGGCGTGGGAGAACACTACGCCGGAGAATCGAGGAGGAACTGAGGCGAATTGGAGCCTGTAACCCCTCGAAATTGTTCTTATCACCCAATGTGAAGCAGAAACTGCTGTCCATTCCTCCATGTGAGTGGAGAGCTGTGACACAGCCGTGACACACGGAGCACCAGCTCCCCCCAGAGGTTGTGGGGCAGCAGTGCTCGTGGCAACCACTGCGCATGCGCGGGGGCTTTGCGCTTTGACGGCCCAGGTGTACGGGGACGACCCGTGGCTGGCTAGAAAGTCCGCCAGGGGCCGACCCCGCCTGGAACCGCTCATGGGCAACATTTTTATTGATTTTTTGCTGCGCCCTTGACATTTTGTCTGGATGCGGCAGCGAACGTTTTAATGCTCCTTGAGCGTGACATGTTTGTGAAAAACAACAATGTGAGTGCTTGTGACGTGTGTTCTGAGCCGGCACAGCCGGCTGCACGTCCTGGCCCCACCCTGGACCGCTCGGGGACTCTGCCGGAGGGGTTCCGTGAGGGGGGGAGAAAGCACCATGGCAACGTTGAACAGGAGGGGCTGGCGAACGGGGAACTGCCAGCTGCAGCGTCGGGAGGGAAAGAACTCCGTCAGGCTGCCCTCTTCTTCTTCCTCACCTGCTGACCGCTGGGTCGGGTGGATTGTCCCGGCGGCGGAGCAGCTTGGTTGCCGGATCGCTGAGGCCACACTGGTCGAGGCGCTGAGCCCGAGGGAGCTGGTTGGACAGCTTGAGGCTTCGGGCGCTTTGGGATCCGGAACTGAGGCTGGGCTCGGGGTATTGCCTGAGGAAGGTTCGGCCGAGCCGGCAGTGCCGGTGAAGGCTTACGGGGAAGGCAGAGATGAAGAGCTTCATCCTCTTTCTTTTTGGCCTCACACCGTTGCTGCATCGATGCCAGGGCAGAGCCGAAAATGCCTTCAGGCACGATTGGCATGTCCAAAATGTCCTCCTTCTCTCTATCAGAGAGGTTGGCGAGGTTCAGCCAACGTGCACGTTCCTGAAGCACCATCATGCCCATAGCTTTCGCCGTAGCCTGGACCGCGCAGCGCTGCACCCGCAGGCAGATGTCGGTCAGTACGGTGATTTCCTCCCACACCTCCGGGTCCGGCTTCGTATTCATGTCCTCACAGAGCTCGGCTTGGTACGCTGAGAGCATGGAGGAGACATTCAAAGCTCGGACCGAGATGGCGGCAGCCTTGTACGCCCTCTCGTTCAGCGCCGACTGGAAGCGGTCCGCCTTTGCAGGGAGAGCGGGAGGCCTGGAGGAAGTTGCCGAGAGTCGTGGGTGCAGGTGGGCTGCAACCAGCGGTTCCATCGGAGGCATGCGAAGCATGCCAGCCTTCTCCATCCCCTCGAAGTCCAGCGAGGAGGCTCCTTGGACCGGAGACCTTGAGCTGAAAGGGTGTTTGTCCCAGGAGGACCTCACTTCTTGGAGAAGCTCCGGGAAGGCGGGAAGGAGGGGCTTTGCCGCCCTTGTGGCCTGAGGCAGCTTCTTACCCTCGTAGCGGGACCTGACAGCCTCAGTGACCACGGTGGGCCAAGGGATGTTGAGCCTGGTCGCAGCGCGTCGGCAGACTGACTGCATGTCCAGGTGAGCGGCCGGAGAAGCCGCTCCATCCCTGGGAGAGGACGGAAAGCTAGGCATGGAGGCCTGAGCGACGGGGAGAAAGACGTCGTCATCCTCGTCCTCCTCTGAAATGAGGAGTTCCGAGGTGTCCTCGTCGTCTCCGTAGTCCAACTCCAACACGTCCTCGACGGGGTGGCTCGGACCGGCCAGTTCGAGCTGTGAGCCCCAGCTGAGTTCGGCACACGGTTCCGGCTCCGGGAGGGCATGTTCGCTGGCGTCCCCAGGCGGTGGCCCAGGGGCCGGCAGGCAAGGGTCCTTCCCCGACAGGCTAGCTTGGCGCGCTAGCCGCCGGCGAAGGCTCTTCAGGGTGAAGCAGGCACAGTTCTCACATGACCCGGGGACTTCCAATGCCAGCTGGGCGTGTTCCAGCCCGAGGCAGCTCGAGCAGACCTTGTGCGGGTCTTTGCTTGAGATTTTGTTCCCACAGGTACAGAGGCGAGCTCCTGAGCCATCGACTCCTCTGGTGGGAGGAGCGGCTTCCATGTGGGCTAACTGGTGTGTTAGCAGAGAGCGAACAGGTGCACTGGAGTGTGAAGCTGCTCGTTATGCCCCGAACCTATGGTGAAGGTCAGGACAGAAGGACGGTAAGTTAACGTTCGGCGACGGAGAGATTAGAAGGCTCCGTCTGTGAACAGTTGAGCTAACTTACCTCAGAGATAAGCGACCACCGAAGCGAGAAGAGGTGATTGAATAGTGCGTGCGTTGGGACGCTTGCTACTTATAGTAGCATGGGGACGCGTACGTCACGGTCACTGGCCAATCAGGATTGGCGTATTGAGATAAGTGCTTCTGAGGAATCCGCGGAGGGGCGTATCCCATAGTGAGACATCGAAACGAATGTTAAGAAAGAGAACTAATAAAGCTGAGAGCTTAAATCTAATTTAAGTCTTATATTAAATAATAAAATGTGAAATTGAGGGATAATTACCTCATTCTTCAGCTTACTTCCTGAAAATCTACAACAGAAACAAAGAAGACTTCAAATTAAAAACTTATATTGAGGAGAAAAGCTTCAGCTCTAAATGATCTAGTCTTACAATACCTGGTCAACCCTTTACCAGAATACACAGAGTGGTAATAAGCACTGCTCTCTTTGATGCCAATTCCATAATAATGATATCTGTGAAATAAGGTGTGGAATAAAGATCAGACTGTAAATAAATAAATCTTGCTTAATTTTATTGTAATATTTCTACTTGGAGTGTCCTCTGGTGCCGAGTCGTCTTGTTGTTAAAAGAGGAAACTTCTGCCGGATTGTCTGATGAGGACAGCAGGGATAAAGTTTCAGTAATAGTGACAGCTTAATTATATGTATCAATAAAGGTTTACAGTTTGAATCATAATAAACAGAAAGCACCTTTCCAAAGGTAGCAGCACAGGCCGGCTCTAGATTCTCTTTCCCACAGAAGTCCAGGTAGTGAGCATAGAGAATGCACCGCGGGAGACACACTCCTTCACACACGATGTAGTTCTCCTCAAGCCTGTTCACACACACACACACACACACACACACACACACACACACACACACACACACACACACACACACACACACACACACACACACACACACACTCAACCCTAACCCTACAGCAGGTTCATACCAACAGCCTGAAGCTGGGGCTCTCACCACTGCAGCGTGAGCTGGGTTTGTTTCTTCTTGTCCTTGATGATCTGACTGATGGTCTTTCTAGAGGAACCGACGCTCTCTTTGATGTTCAGGTCTGAGTTTAGTTCCACAAGATCAGAGTCCTCCTCAGACGATGGTGTCTCATTGCTGTCTTCTGCTTGTGATCATCATAAAACAACACAGAATTAGTCTGCCATGTTCTAAAGTATTAAGCATTCAAATTTTATTAATTCTAGGAGTTCACTGCAATTAAACTCGTGAAAACTTTTCTATTTAAAGCACAAACCTAGTTTTTATTAAAAAAAATGGTCATTTGTACTTTTGACGAAGATGAAGAAATATTTGAATGTCTTTACCGGGAAGGAATTAATAAAAATTTAGTTGGATGTTTTTCTTTCTTTCATTTCTGTTTTGGGTTTTATTGAGTTTGATAAAAACTTCTCTAAACAGGGTTGGAATTGAAAACATGACACACTGAAGCCTAAACAACAACAATCTGCTTCTTGTTGTAAAATCTTTGTGTGAATCGTCACTTAAATCAGTTCATTTCTGAGTCTGATTAAATGTCTGTGGAGATTAAATAGACATTTCTCATCTAATGGAGTATTTGATCTGTAATTCTCTCATTTATTTCCAATTTCTTGAGAAATCTTCAAGGTTATTCTGCAAATGTTGCAGCCTTTATTTTCCTCTAAATGCTGACTGATTAGTTTTTTTATCTGACCTTGAAAACACAATTTGTGTCTTTATTTATCCCTCAGCTTAGATTGCTTACTGTCAAGAGTAAACAATAAATGAATTTTGTAACGTCAAAAAGAATCAATACACTAACTATTATGCTATCTGAGGACGTTTACTGTAACTCCATAGTGACTTTTCATTGAGATTGTTGTTAATTCTTTGTTTATATAAAGTTCATTTTACAAAAGATTAAGTCTTCTTGCAAACAAAAAGAACTGATAAATAACAAACATGAATATTTCTAATGTTATAATTATAAGCGTGGAAAGAAAACTATTACTGAAACATTATTAGAGTAATGAAAAGCTGACAAATTTAATTAAATCAACTAGTTTTCAGGCTTAAACTGACGAGATATTTAATAAACAAACTGTTTAACACTTTAACTGACTGGTAGAGGATATTTTAGTCCTCATATATTACTGATTTATTAACTATTTAATTTAAAAAAATCCAAATATGGAGCTCTTTGAATAAAAATTAATTATATTATATTAGTACTTTTATATCATTATGAATTTACACTATTTTTTAACACTTGTTGACCTATTTTTGACAACAGTGGAAAAAAACTAAAACTGGCGAATGAGTTTGCAAACAAACCCACATGTCTGAACTTTCTCTTCTCTTATTTCTTGCTTTATTTCTTCATTATCATTTATTACTTAAAAGGCCTTTTAAACTGTTTGAATGATTAAACTACAAACATCAAGGTAAACTGAGATCCTACATTGGTACGAGCCACGTGATGAAAGTTATTTTCAAAATAAGACCCTTAATTCATCAGAATTGGTTAGAAGTCATAAGTTCATTAACCCTTTAATGTCCACAACAATAAAAACATGAAAAGCTTTTTATTATTATTATTATTTGGGATACAAAATAAAATTATTTTAAATTGTTATTATTAGTATTAGGGTGATAATGCAATTTTCCAAATGTAAACATCCACATTTTTTTACTTCATTCATTAGGTATTATTAAGTAAAGTTCAGTGCATGTTCATATAAAATATAGGCCTTAAAATGTGCTCTACCAAGCAGCCTGTTAGTTAGCCCTTTGATGCATAGTGGTCACTACAGTGGACAAGTACTCAAAATTTTATTTATTTATTTATTTATTTGCTATTAAGCACAGCTGTTGAAGACTTTATTGCATTTGAGCCCCTCTATTTGGACTTCAGTAAGTCAAGCCAACATATTTCATGTTCAGAATGCATGCTGTCCACTGAGGTGGACATGTAATAAATTATTTCTAAATTACTAAATGTTACAAAAACAGTTTGTTGAAATTTGTTTAATTCACACCTAAAGACGAATGAAAAAAATTGTTAAAATAAAAATATCACGGTTGAAGATTTCATAATTCATGCATCAAAGGGGTAAAGGGACAAAATCCAATAAACCAATAAACCAATCAAATCCACTAAACCATTTAAGGTTCTTCACAGATTAAATATTTTAGTTTTGAGTCAAAACGGTTTGAAGTCTGATTGTAAAAAATATGATTTATTTATGATATCAGAGGATCAGTAAGTTTAAAAATAGGAATTATTTTTCCCACATAATAACTTGAAATCTTGTGGTCAGTTGAACGACACTGTAGCACCACCAGGTGGCTGATTCGTGTCACTGCTTTTCATTGAGTAAATTAAAATTAAAAAAAACACTCAAGTTAGAATTAGATTTAGATGAACTGGAGAATAAAACAGAGAGAGGGTGAAAATAAAAATTATAAATCGAGTGTCTGAGAGGTTTGGAAAATGCATCCGGAGCCGTTTGTTTGCTGCTTTACCTGATTTAATCCCAGAATCCTCTTCTGGATTAAAGCGTACTTGTCCGTTAAAGTCTGAGCTCATTACTTCTTGTGAGCCGCATAAAGTTTTTGTAAAAGAGTGAATAAGAAACGCGTCGTCTCCGGCAGAGCTGCTGTTGCTGCGTTTCATCGGCATGTCGACCGGAAAAAGTCAAAATTTTAAAAAGTTAACAAAAAGCAGAAAAAAGGGCAAAGATACAAAATGAAACAAGGGTGTAATTTAATCCTTAAAGAGTCAAAATAATCCTTAAAGGTTGTTTTTTAATCCATCCGTCAGAAAAGTCTGGAAGGAGATTACAAAGAGCAACAGCATCAGGGCCAGCATTTTTAACAGCTGTTGTTGGACATAAAAAGTGGAACAAAACTAATTCAGGACCGTTACGGGCAAACCAAACTCAGCCGGGCCGGTGGAGCTGCACTGAAGGAGAGCCGGACTAATGAAGCTGGGGATGCATTCGTCATATTTACAGAAGACTGAGCTAATCCAGTTTATTAATGATTAACAGAAAAACCCTCATCCATCTGTCCATCCATCCATCTTTCTATCTATCCCACCTCCGACAGCCAGCCATGATGTTAAACACACACAGGTAAGAGCCGGTTTTCACTTTATCAGGACAGGTTTATACCTGAAACACCTAAATATGGTTGTGTGATGCTTGTGTTAGATTTTGAATGAACACGATGGAAGCCTAATGAGAATTTCATACTTGTTTATATGAAAATGCATCCACTAATGTAATTGTTTCTTTAAATGTTGCTTTGTGTCACCCAAAGCAGCCCCCCCCCCCCCCCACACACACACACACACACCTCTTTTATGTTACATGATGACCTTTGACCATAACTACACCCAAGTGAGGCCCGCAGTGCTTTGGATGTTCTTCTGAGTTCTTTTGTTCGTACGTTTCAATAGAATGTGGTAAGAATGGCATGCTGCTTTTTGATATCTTTTAGCCTACTTCAAAATGCCAAATGGGTTCTATTGTAGTTATTCCTTAATCCTAAATCCCACAGGTTTAGCAGTAATCAGGCCAATTTGTGTAGTGACACTCACCTTCCTAAATAGGAGGTTACTTTCCATTTATATACATGGATATGTGCAAGGCAATTGTCTTTTCGCAAAGGACAGGGGCCTCATTTATAAAGCTTGCTTACGCACAAAACGGGGTCTGAAAACTGCTTAAACCACTTTAAATTCAATTCAGTTTATTTATAAAGCGCCAAATTAAGACAAGAGTTGTCTCAAGGTACTTCACAAAGTAAAACATTCTAATTCAGTTCAGTTCATAATGCCACTTGATTAAAAGTTTCCCTAAGGAACCCAGTAGATTGCATCAAGTCACTGACTTGTTGTGTCAAGATGATATATTTGTTGTATCAGTGGCTTTACAGCAAACCTCATACTAAGCAAGCATGTAGCGATAGTGGAGAGGAAAACTCATTTTTAACAGGAAGAAACCTCCAGAGTTTCCACTCCAAGTTTCTATGCAAACTTTGTGATTTATAAAGAACAACTTGATGGAATAATGTGCACAACTTTAAGCAAACGTTGGAACTACCTTAAGAAGGAGATGGTGAGGGATGGTAAAATGTTTAACTTAGGACACATTTTCAAACCTGTGTAAATCCTCGCATACACACAACAATCAATGTTCCCTCAGATCTGAAAAATCTCAACGATCCTGCACACCTACTGCTGATTGATAGTAATGTAGTAGTAGTTGTAGTAGTACTAGTATAAATGATTATTGTCATTTTAGGCTACATCTAACCACTTCTTTTAACGTTTTTATTAAATTTTTCTAATATTCTATACAATGATCGCTGCTGCAGCAGTGTGGCACTGGTCAAAGTCAATAAAACATTTTATCCATGCCTATGTCATGCCCCAGAGCCTGGCTTTCCCTGGTTGTTGTGGTTACACGTGACATGCAGATAAGAAGGTTTATTCCCAAAAAATTCATAACGTCATTGTCTATTTATGCTAGAAAATGGGTGTGAAGGAGGCAAGGTGTGATTCAAAAATACCTGAGCTCATTTCTAGGACAGGTGTGATTTATAAAGCAGAAGCTGTAACTTATTTTATTTTAAAAAAGGGTGAGGGATCAGACAAAGAGCAGCCCGAAGACCTCTTATGATGAATTATATAAATGGAAACCTGTTCCCTCGCCTGGACGTGGGTCACCGGGGCCCCCCTCTGGAGCCAGGCCTGGAGGTGGGGCACATTGGCGAGCGCCTGGTGGCCGGGCTATCACCCATGGAGCCCGGCCGGGCACAGCCCGAAGAGGAAGCGTGAGTCCCCCTTCCCATGGGATCACCACTCGTGGGAGGGGCCAAAGGGGTCGGGTACAGTGTGTGACGGGTGGTAGTCGAGGGCGGGGACCTTGGCGGTCTGATCCTTGGCTACAGAAGCTGGCTCTTGGCACATGGAATCTTGGCACATGGAATGTCACCTCTCTGGTGGGGAAGGAGCCTGAGTTGGTGTGTGAGGTTGAGAGGTTCCGACTAGATATAGTCGGACTCACCTCAGCGCATGGCTCTGGCTCTGGAGCCAGTTTCCCTGAGAGGGGTTGGACTTTCTACCACTTTGGAGTTGCTCCCACTGAGAGTCGCTGAGTAGGGGCGGGCATACTAGTTGCCCCCCATCTTGGTGCCTGTACGTTGGGGTTTACCCAAGTGAATGAGAGGGTAGCCTCCCTCCGCCTACGTGTGGGGGGACGGGTTCTGACTGTGGTCTGTGCTTATGCACCAAACTACAGTTTCCAAACACACCCACATCACCCCGCTTCTCCTCCACCTACATTGACTGCCAGTCAACTTCAGGGTTCATTTCAAGATCCTGGTTCTGGTCTATAGGGCCTTACATGGACAAGCACCGTCTTACATTGGTGATCTTCTTAGTCCCTACACCCCCAGCAGGTCCCTGAGGTCCAGTGATCAAAGCCTACTGGTTGTGCTGTGCACCAGGCTAAAGACCAAAGGTGACAGATCATTTGCTGCTGTGGCCCCCAGACTCTGGAACTCTCTCCCCCTGAGCCTGAGATCAGTGGACTCAGTGGTCTCCTTTAAAAATCAGCTGAAAACTCACCTATTCAAGCTGGCTTTGGGAGCAGTGCGCTACCAACACTATCTATAGTGGGGATGGTGTGCTGCTGACCTCTACTCAGGACATTGAGGATCGGTAGGCAGAATACTTCGAAGACCTCCTCAATCCCACCGAGACGTCTTCCAGTGAGGAAGCAGAGTCTGGGGGCTTTGGGTTGGCCTCTCAAATCTCTGGTGCTGAGGTCACTGAGGTGGTTAAAAAGCTCCTCTGTGGCAAGGCTCCGGGGGTGGATGAGATCCACCTGGAGTTCCTTAAGGCTCTGGATGTTGTGGGGCTGTGTTGGCTGACGCAGCTCTGCAATATCGCGTGGACATCGGGGGCAGTCCCACTGGACTGGCAGACCAGGGTGGTGGTTCCCTTATTTAAAAAGGGGGACCGCAGGGTGTGTTCCAACTACAGGGGGATCACACTCCTGAGCCTTCCTGGTAAGGTCTATTCAGGGGTTCTGGAGAGGAGGGTCCGTCGGATTGTTGAACCTCAGATTCAGGAGGAGCAATGTGGTTTTCGTTCTGGCCGTGGAATACTGGACCAGCTCTATACCCTTAGGGGGATCCTGGAGGATGCGTGAGAATTTGCCCAACCAGTCTACGTGTTTTGTGGATTTGGAGAAGGCGTTTGACCGCGTCCCTCTGGGGCCCTGTGGGGGGTACTTCGGGAGTACGGGGTACCAGGCCCTCTGATATGGGCTGTTAGGTCCCTGTATGACCGGTGTCAGAGCTTGGTCCGCATTGCCGGCAGTAAGTCGGGCTCGCTCCCAGGGAGAGTTGGAATCCGCCAAGGCTGCCCTTTGTCACAATTCTGTTCATAACCTTTATGGACAGGATTTCTAGGCACAGCCAAGGTGTGGAGGGCATCCGTTTTGGTGGCCTGGGGATCAGGTCTCTGCTTTTTGCAGATGATGTGGTCCTGTTGGCTTCATCAGAACGTGATCTTCAGCTTTCGCTGGAGCGGTTTGCAGCCGAGTGTGAAGCAGCTGGGATGAGAATCAGCTCCTCTAAATCTGAGACCATGGTCTTGATTCAGAAAAGGGTATAATGCATTCTCCGAGTCAGGGATGAGGTCCTGCCCCAAGAGGAGGAGTTTTAGTATCTCGGGGTCTTGTTCACGAGTGAGGGAAAACTGGAGCGTGAGATAGGCAGATTTGTGCTGCATCTGCAGTGACGCGGACATTGTACCGGTCTGTCGCGGTGAAGAGAGAGCTGAGTCAGAAGGCGAAGCTCTCGATTTACCGGTCGATCTACGTTCCTACCCTCACCTATGGTCATGAGCTTTGGGTAGTGACCGAAAGAACGAGATCGCGGATACAAGCATCCGAAATGAGTTTTCTCCGAAGAGTGGTTGGGCTCTCCCTTAGAGATAGGGTTAGAAGCTCAGTCATTCGTGAGGGGCTCGGAGTAGACCCACTGCTCCTCCACATCGAGAGGAGCCAGTTGAGGTGGCTCGGACATCTGGTCAGGATGCCTCCTGGACGCCTCCCTGGTGAGGTTTTCTGGGCACTTCGAATCGGGAGGAGACCTAAAGGTAGACCCAGACACGGTGGAGGGACTATGTCTCTCACCTGGCCAGGGAAAGCCTTGGGATTCCCCCGGAGGAGCTGGCCCAAGTGGCTGGGGAGAGGGAAGTCTGGGCCTCTCGCCTTAGGTTACTGCCCCTGCGACCGGACTCCGGATAAGCACATGAAGATGGAAAAATGGAATTTGCTGAGCTTAAGTGGGGTTTTAGTAGAGACTCTACACGTTTAATAAATGAGGCCCCAGGTTGGTTTCTATTTTCATTTGTGTTGGTATATGAATCAAAAATACCAAACAAAAACTTTCAATTGAACAAGCAAGAAAAAATATGTTTGCACCAATAGCCACTCATGAGGCTGTTAGCTCTTTGTCATGATCTGTGTCTGCGTCTAACCTCATGTGTCTCCTTTTGTCCTCATTCGTCTCTAGGTGCTCCTTTTGTGTCTTCAAGCGCCCTCATGTGTCGTGTCTGTGTCTTCCTCATGTGTCTCCTGGTGTTCCCCATTTGTCCTCTAGGTTTCCCTTCTCAGACTTCCCTCTCCCAGGTCCTGTGCTCTCTTGGCCCCCTCTTAGCCACACCCCTGTAGTTTCTTTCTGTCGTGTTTTCCGTTAGTGTCAGCTTCCCCTTAGAATATTAGTTATGGTTCATGCTTTCTGGTCTTTTGTTTTTCTCTTAGGTCATTTTCCTTTGTTACAGCCTTTCATTATTTAGTGTGTTTTTCCCACCAGTGTTTTCTTCCTCCTCCCTGAGTTAGTAATTGTGATCACCTGGTCCCTCTCCCCACACCTGCAATTCATCTCCCTCTCATCTCCCCAGTCTATTTAAGCCCTGTCTTGTCTCTGTGTTGTTGTCGGTCCATTGTGTTTTTGTCAGCGTTGTTCATGCTCTATGTGAGCTTGTGTCTTCAGGTTTTTGGTGCTCTTAGTGAGCTTTCGGTGTCCTGTGTCCCAGGACTTTTGTTCCCAGACTTTGGTGCTCTAAGTGAGCTTTTGGTGTCCTGTGCTCCAGGACTTTTGGATTTTGGCTTGCTGCCTTATGGATTTATTTTGTTTTCATCCTGCCAAATAAAGGATTTTTACTTTTACCAACTCCTGCCTCGAGTCATCCTGGGTAATCTGCATTTTGGGTCCTAATCTTCCCCACAACGTGACAGTCTTACCTTTGTTTTTGCTGTGATTTACAAAAATTGTGATTTTTTTTTAAAAAGACAAGATTACAAAAAGTATTTTTTTTACTTTAGCCTTTATGAGCTTTCATAATAAAAAAAAAACACAATGTGGTTTTAATCACTAAATCAGACAGATATAAGAAAATGTAACTGTACCTGAAGCTCACAGCAGGAAGTGAGGTCACATTTGTTGGAGGACGTTGGTCTTTCTCCATCGTTTCCGACTATCAACCACCACCAACGCATCGAGGTAACCGCGGTGTCCTGGTGGACATAACGTCGAACAAGAGCTTGCAGATGGAAAAAAGTGTCCCAGGTAAGTGAAGTCAGAAATATATCACTAACCAACCGGATTAAGTTACCGGAACTAACCAAGTACCTCTAGTTCACGCGAATTATCTTGAACGTGCGTTAGCTTAATTAGCTGCTTAGTTAGCTTAGCTAATGTTAGCTCTCATTGTTCTCAGGCGCCAACCCTTACTGGATCACAATAAACCTACAGAAACAATTACTCACCTATTTGTTAGTTTATCTTAAAAGTTCAGGTTAATAATTGTTACCAATGACTAAGATTTAAACAGTGGCGGCTGGCGAATTTTCTTTTGGTGGTGGCATTTCTGCTCTCTAAATATTAGATGCGCTAACCACATATCACCACTAGGAGTCGTCCAATTACCATTCTCATAATAGAATCCACGTTTTCTGCCTCAACAATGACACTAAATTAAAGAGCTGAAAAAAGTTAAATACACAATTGAGAAAAACACAGTAGCAGGAATGCATTGTGATCCTATCCACAGAAACAGCTGTTTAAATTAAAGACCAGATTCTCCTATTTGCAACAATATAGGTAGGTATTACCCTGCTTGCAAAAAACACAAGGAACTCAGCAACAAAACAAACAATGGCAATTTCATGAAGTCAAAAGTGTAAATTCTGTTTTACCAGTGCTGATTTTTGGTCAAAATAATCTGTGTTATTGTAAAAAGAACAATTAGTTTTGTAATCCAATGTCCCAGCATCACACTGAGCTGATTTCTGACTGTCTGCTTTTTTTTACCTGCTTGAGAATGTTTATAAGTCTCTGATGCCACAATCCACCATTTTCTGGTCCTTCATAATTTAATAAACTCCACGGGATGTACTCAGCTGCTCTACAACAAAGGACAGTGAACTGTGGAAAATTTCCGGTTCTGCCCTGACCTAAGCCGAGACTCTGCCCTGCCGGACTTCTGTGCATGTCTTCACGGTCGCTAAACCTCTGTGCCAAAAGCCTCCCTGATTCTTTGTATTCAAGAATTAAGCGCATGCGCCAGTTAGCATATGTCTATGGTAGGGTTGGGCGATATATCGAAAATTTATTGTTATCGACATTTCTGACTCATCAAGATAATTTTTCCCATGCCAATAAATTTGATAATAAAAAAAAAGAAAAGGTGTGTGTAGGTGACAACATTCATGTCCCTTTAAGAAGCTGTACTACCTTGAGCCATGTAAAAATGTGACTCAACGTAATACATGTGACAGCTCCATCTAGTCGACAACTTTTGTTTCTACGCATACCTGTAGTTATCGTCATGGAGGTAAAATACTCAATATATCGTGATATTGATTTTAGGCCATATCGCCCAGCCCTATGTGACAGCTCCATCTAGTGGACAACTTTTGTTTCTACGCATACCTGTAGTTCTCGTCATGGAGGTAAAATACTCAATATATCATGATATTGATTTTAGGCCATATCGCCCAGCCCTAGAGAGTGCGGACTCAAAAGGAACAGAAAATACATTACAAGACGGTTCTGTTGTGGTAAATGTGTAAATAACATTTTTAAGCTATACTAATGCAGTCTATACACAAACATTTGCTCCCGCTCTATAAATATTACTGTTTTTTAGAGATGTACACAGATAACCGTTTAATTGCCGTTATCGTTATAACCGGGTAAAATAGTTTTGTCCGGTTAACTGCTTTATTTTGTTGTAATATTTTGTGCCACTGGAGGGCGCAAGAGCACCGCTATCAAAATATTTACAGAGCAACCGCAGAAGGAATGAGCTTGTTACATGACCAAACAAAGTTTCTGGCTCAAACACAGAGCTGTTAGCAAACAGCGTGAGAGCAGTTTATTCTTAGTTATTTCATTCTTAGAACACAACAAGCCTTGCATCAAAGCACTGAGCCTGGCTCAGCAAACTGAACAGCAACAAAAGCTGAGAAAAATGTGCCGTCTGTAAATTTAAACACATGATCAGTTGGTATAGAAACTTGTTTTGTACTAAACAACATTTAATAAGACTTTCTTTTGTTTAAAAGAAGCTTATTATATGTTAGGGCTGGGGTAAACGATTATTTTTAAAACGATTATTCTGACGATTATTTTATCGAATAGTCGACTATTCTAATGACTATTTAGACAATTAATCTAGTGATTATTTTTCTGTTGCACAGTTAATAAAAACCAAAAAAATCTCTAATAAATTCCTCAAAAAAATTGATAAATTGTTACTGTAAGAGAATAAACACTACAGGCCTTCCATTATGTATAACACCGCTTTTATTGTGTTGCGGTTGGTTATATTCTGGTCACATGTAGAACTTGGGAGTGCAGGCTGCTGCCTGAGAGGTGGTTGGAGATGGAGTGTCTCCATACTGCTTTGTTTTGGTCACTTATGTGCCTGAGGCGAGTGGTGGTACGACTCTTCCTGGGGAGTTTAGCTCGTGTGCAAAAAGAAAGGGACAATAACACGGGATTTAAAAGTTAAAATGATGATCAGGTTTATTTAAAACTACAAAAAAACATAAATCTTTCCATCCACAGGTTGGGAATAATAAAACTAATTCTGCCTGTGGGGAATTAAAACAAAAGTACAAATAACTAGGAATGTCACACTGGGCAAAGATTACTGGGTTCTAGACCAAAATAAGCATCTCCAAAGGTTCAAACTCTAAACTGGGTAGTTAAACCAAACTCAATGTGATATTTTAAACTAAACCGAAAACCCACAACACTCTAAATGTAATAAAAGGAAGATCTGCACCACAAAACAGATGAACTCTACACCAAAACGTAACAGCTTATCCAAACGCAAGAAGCTGTTAGCGAAAATGCTAACAGTAGCTTTACCAACGTTAAGTCCAAGTTACCAAGTTTGAATAAACTAGAAACACTCAGCAAACAGACCACGGAGGAGAGACTGCCACCACCAAAACAGCTCTCCTAATTAGAGCCCTGCACTGAAGCCCTAGGCCCTCGGGTCGGCCCGGCCCGAGGGCCGGGCTTCGGGCCAACGACTGTGTAATTACCTCGGACACGGGCCGGGCGCCTTTATTTTTAATCGAAATCATTAAAAAAATTAAAACACTTAAACGCAGCAGTAGAGCCCTGCGCGGGACTGTTTTCTTCATCCCGCTCCTGCCCGCTCCCGCTGAGTTTCTGACCATTACAGCCTGCAACCGCAACGTGTGTGTTGCACTCCCGCCCGCACCTGCAGCGTGCATGTCTACTCCCGCCCGCAACCGCAAAACTCTGAGAAATTATTACCTCACAATAAAAGAGATGTATTGAGTTTGCGTCCTCAACATGTCATTTTATAGGTTATCCGCTTTCACCGCAGCTCTGCGCTCCGTTTCAATCAGGCTGTACAGCAGGATTTCCCTTCGTAGCGATATTTTCTCAACTCTGATTGCTTCATGCTATAGATCGTTGGAAAGCTGCTTTTATGTACTTTAAGGAATCGTTGGAATTATTTGAATCTGATCAGCCATTCAAAAGTTATAAAACGGAGCATTTTGGATGACAAACTCGCACGTCTCTGAATCTGTGTTGTGATTCGTTGCGCTCAAGACAGGGGATCCCGGTGGCTACCGTAATGTACTGTAAGTGCATGGAAAGCCCCATTTTTAATCTTTTCAGCACTTTTGGAATTTTAATGATATCTTGAACTAGAGCAGAGATCGGCAACCAGCGGCTCTTCCATCCATCTGATGCAGCTCTCTGTGCTTGTAAAATAATGAATGGATATTTAAATAAAATGCTTTATATTTTACTGAATTAATTTTACATCTGTAAGTCAATTCTATGTGAAGATTGTCTGCGTAAACCTGAACAGTTCCAACCCGGTCTTACTTTGAGACCGGGTTGGATCACGCTTGTGCGTAATCATGTGCGCTTTCTGAGCTGAAGAGGACGTGAGATTCTGGGCTTCTCCTCAGACGGCTCCTGGATGTGTCGCACATTGGAGACAGGAACAAGCGCTATTCAGCCAAAGTTTCATAATCAGGGAACATTTTCTAAGTGACAAGTCTCTCTGAGCGACAGGGTTTGGAAAACACTCGCTTCAGTGGGAGGAAGCTTCCCGCATGCGCTTCTGCGACGCTCTTATCCTGCACGTCTTTTAACACATTGGTCAGGATTGACGCACTTTGTTTTCATTTAGTTGGTTAAAAAAAAGTCGGGCTTGGGCTCGGGCCGGGTCAGAGAATCCTGAAAACCTTTTCGGGCCGGGGCGGGCTGGGGCTCCACCCCCTCGGGCCGGGCTGGACACGGGCTCAGATTTTAGGCCCGTGCAGGGCTCTACTCCTAATGTCTGAAAGAAGCTCCTTTATGAAGGGAGAAACGCTCCCGGTGATTTTCTACATCTGCGGTAGAGACAGAGCAGCGCATCTGACCACGGAAGTTGTTGTCCGTTGCCGGGAGACGAGGGCGGGCAAAACAGGAAAGGAATCTAGTAGCGGAAAAACGTTCCGGGTCTTCGGTATTTGGCGGAGATGTTAGTGAAGGCAGAGAAGAGGGCGAACTAGAGGAAAAACAAGCTGATTCCTCCTCTATATTTACAAGCTCCTGAGGATGCAACAAGTGGGCGCGCTGCGTCGACTACCGGATCTGACGTCGACAAATTTTTAGAATCGAGCAGTCGACGTCATCGAGGCTTCGCTACAGCCCTATTATATGTAAACCAATTTTGAACTTAATCAAAGTCAGATTGCAATGAGCACTGAATATGAGAAGTATCAGGACTAGAAAAATAAAGAACTGTATCATCTGCATATAAATGAATTTGAAAGTTACAGCATACCTGTGGCAAATTATTTATAAAAATGGGAAATAGCAACGCCTCCAGAGATTAACCTTGTGGTATTCCTCTGACGACTGTTGTAAAATCTGAATATCCTCCCTGATAAAGAACACACTGTTGTCTATGGTGTAAGTATGAGTTGAACCAAAGTAAAGAAGTTCTTGACAGACCAATATCATGAAGTTTATCTAAAACAAGGTAATGATCAATTAAGTCAAAGTCTTTAGTTAAATAAAAAAAATATGGCACCAAATTAACTTATTTGAATCAAAACAAGATTTATCATTACTAAAGTTTAGAAGTGCACTTGTAGTAGAAAATTTTGGACAGAAGCCAGACTGAAAAGGGGATAGAATATTGGAATCATTAATTAGATAATTGATTAAAAATAAGTTTTTCAAATATTTTATCATGCTATTAATTGTTGAAATTGGTCTGTAATTATTAATGTCATATTGATCATCATTTTTGTAAAGTGGGGTAACTAGTACATTTCCAAGATGATGGGACATAACATGTTACATTAGATGGCATTAAGCATTTATACCTTTCAAAACCACTGCATCTCAGGGATCACTGAGATATTGCAGAATGAAAATACTTGATTTAGGGCAGGAAATATTGTTCAACCTATCAAACACAAACACACACCAATTAGTAGATTGTGGGAAACTTGAGGAGGAATGGAAAAGTTTGACAAATTGTAAAACCTTTTTCCCCCCATCAGGTACTTTTGGAGATGTGGCTGAACCTGGAGCTATGCAGCCTGTGCTAGACGTGGATCATCAGAAGTACTGGTAAGTAAAATAATAAATGCAGTAAAAGTAAATGTGGCTTTGTGTGTAATGTTATTTCAAGCTTATCTACAACTGGTTTCTAAATCTACTGCTTATGTAAAAAAAACAGGGAAAGTCAATTATTGGATGCATAAAAACGATTTAAATCATGTTTACACTTCATTATTATCAGCAGTATTTGCAAACAGCAAAAACATTTCATTATACATCCAATCATCGTAGAAAATCTGAGAAAAACAATTCAGCCTAACCTTTAGCGTAGCCCCCGCCCCCCTCCTCCCTGCTCCATCCTACATCCTGCTCGCTGCCTCTCTTTCCATCCTCCGGTTCCCACTCGCTGCTGTTCTGGTGTTTAACAAGGTAAACTCTCTGTGTGTGTGTGGCAGCAGACCGGACCAGCATGGAGGATGTAGATGCTTTTAGGGCTGAAACGATTCCTCGAGTACCTCGAATAATTCGAGTACAAAAAATCCTCGAGTCAAATTCTGCCTCGAAGCTTCGCTTAATTCATGTTTAATTAATTCATGGCTTTGCAATCGCCCGTGGTCATGTTTCACCCGGAGCGAATAAGTGACGCACATACACACTGCACTGAATGCACACGCGAGTAGCGAACGCAACTTAACTTTCTTTTAAGCCGTGGCCGACGATGTGGACCCCGGTGGAGTGCGAAAAAGACACAAAATGCCAAAGGTGTGGGACCATTTTTCACGTCGTCAGGCGGAAAACGTAGTCCAGTGTAAATACTGTAAAATGGATTTAGCCTACCACAACACCACATACTCGATGCTGCAACCTGACCAGGAAACATCCACATGTAAATGTCACTTCTGCAAGCGGACTCGGAGCCTCTACAAGATAATGCATTTTAGCCTGTATTTCTATATATTCTGCGGACACTGTGCGACTTTTTCATTTGTAGCACTCAGTTTCAGCTCACACCGTACGTCTGGTAGCAACACGTCCGACTTAAAATGTGCTAAAAATAGCAGTTTTTACAACACGTCAGACTTTTTACTGTGTTGTTATTGATGCCTGTTGTCCCTCAGGATTGCTGCAGGAGGACACAGGTATTTATGAGTGGCGGAGGAAAACGAACGAAAGTAAATAAATGTTTTGTGATCAGTATAATTTGACATAACCATGGCAATCATGCTTTCGACATTCCTTGTTAGTGGGAGACAAAAAAAAGTGTAGAAATTAAAACGAACGTGTGCTAATAGGGAAACAGCTGGCGAGCCATGTTTGCGCATGCGCCGTGAGCGGTTCTGGTGCTGTTTGGGCCGCAGCCGCTCGCATTTGTTTACTGTGAAGTAAAGTTGAAGTGCTGAAGTTTTGAAAACTAATTTTGAATGAAACTTGAAGAATAACTGGCAATTGCTTTCTCATTTCAAGAGATCTTTCATATTTTAAAACATGCTATTTGATATAATGGTTTAAAAACACAAGAGTAATTTATTAGAGTACTCGATTAATCGATAAAAGATTCGATAGAGTACTCGATTACAAAAATATTCAATAGCTGCAGCCCTAGATGCTTTAACACCCACACTTTTTCTAATGAGGAGGTTAAAAACACCCACACTTTATCAGTCCGGACCCTCCATGTTTCTCACTGTGTTTGCCCTTTCCCCCTCCCCCTCCTGCTGTTAGTCAAAACCCACACGTTTTTGCACCGGCGTTACATCAGTATTCTGTTCAGTTCAGTTGTTGAAACTGGTTTCTCCTACTGCTCCGCAGCGCGCAAGGGGCAAAAATGCGCGCACTCACTACAAGCTCGCTCCTGCGGTGTGCTCTACTCACACACAACAGAACTGCAGCCTCCGTGTGTTTGTGCAAATCAACACTTGTGTACCAACCCTGCTTATTAGGGGTGTAACAGTACGCTGAAATCGTATTCGGTTCAGTGTTTTGAAGAGCTCATTTCGATTAATTTTCGGTATATTATTACCATTATTGTTATATGTATTTATATAATATCTAAAGCGGCTCCTATAGTGAGCAGAACCAGGTGTCATCACAGGCTGCTGATCTAACCTCACACCGCCCAGAGTTTCTTCTTTAAACCTCGTATTAAATAATGAGCTTCCTCCTCGCCTTTTTTTTGTTAGATGAAAACTTTACAGTTGCCCCAGGAGGAAAGTTCAGCAGACTTGATAGACTGCAGTGATAGACCCCCCCCCCCAATGTGCTATTGAAGTTTCTTAATCTAAAAATGAGTTGTTAACGAGAGCGTGCACACTCACCTGTGCATGCAAGCACGTACTCACACAAGACTTACTGCTTAGGAGAAAAGCTGACAGATTCTGCAGCTTTCTGGAGGGTTTCCTGTTAATCACAATAATTAGATGAAAGGGGGAGGAGGACAGTTTTTTTAAAGAAGAAGAAATTATCATTTCTATAGCGCCTCTCAACATAAAAATCACGAGGTGCTTAGGCTAGCGGCTCAGTGCTAATGTGCCAGGTGAGTGGCTGAGTCAGGTGGAGGTGCAGCTGCCTCACCTGGAGACCAGTGCAGTGCAGCCACGTAGTAATTTGCTGACAACATCACGTTTACAGCTTAGCCATCAACAGCTGATTCTGAATAAATGTGAAGCAGAGTTTTAACCAGAAGATGGAGATATAATTATAGTTTTGAGCTGAAGAAAGTTGCACTTAACTGCCACTAATGATTACACACGTGTACAGCACCATTAGACACTCATCTATACAGGTTATCAAATAAAGTTATTTTAGGCGTTACTTGCTCTTTAAGACTAGGGCTGGGCAATAAATCTAAAATGTATCATTATCGAAATTTGTGACTCTTATCGTGATCATTTTTCCCATATCGATAAATCTTATAATAAAAAAAATGAAAAGATGTGTGTAGGTTGGCAACACGTGACAGCCCCATCTAGTGGACAACTTCGGTTTCTGCGCATACCTGTAGTTATCGTCCATTTATTGTTATCAATATGAAATCCTCAATATATCATGATATTAATTTTAGGCCATATCGCCCAGCCCTACTTAAGACTGATTTTTAACTCCTTTATTTCATTTGTGAAAGTTCAAAGCAAACAGAATTCATTACATTTCTAAGCCCCATTACAACTGGCTCAGCTCAAACTCTACAACACCTAGACACTTCAGACCTTAACTAGATTATTTAAAACTAATAGAGACCTTAAAACATAGTTTGTTTTTTATGAAACCTTTATTTGATTTGTTACAGTTAAAAATACACAAGTTTCATCTGGTCCACCTTAGATCTGGTCCAGTTTAAAACTACAAGCCTGGGCTAGATTATTTTACATTAACAGCAAAATCCATAACGGACAGTTGATCATTTGTGAAACCTTCCGTAGATTAATGAAAGTCCAAAGAAGGCAACTTTCTTCAATTATGTATAGGGCTTGTGATAGTGACATCATCACCGACGCGTCCGCCCTGTTGGAGGCGTTGAGTCCTTACTTGTTGCTTGTCACAACTGTAAACAGCGCGCTCAGTCTCGTTCTTGCGGCTTAAATTAATCTATTATTCATTTGATCGGTTATATTACACAAATCGTTGCTGTATTGTGGGGTGACACGTAATCGCCAGGGGAATAAATGTGGAAAACAAGCTAACTTTTCACCATTTTCCTGCTTGGAGGCAAAACCACGGAGACCAAGTATCTAGCTTAACAAAGTGTCGTCGGCTCGCTTGGATCTCGGCTATAAGGTGACTAAACATTGCCTTCTAGTGTATTTTCATTCTGGTAAGTTAAAGATGGTGTACGTTTTTTTATACATTGTTTCTTTCCTTCAACCGCAACATGCACACGAAACACACACACACACACACACAGGCTACACTCACATACCGGTGAGCTAATGCGGGTGTACTGACTGTACTGGTGGGGGAGCAGAGTCGGTGGGCTGCATCTAAATCGCGGAAGAGCCACGGTGGGCACAGCCTCCCTCTTCAAACAGAGACGTGCAGAATCGCGGGTAAAATGCTGGTTGCAAACTACAGCATCAGGCGGGAGCTGAATGTTTTCCAGACACCGATTGCGCGCAACCATTGGCGCCTAATTTCTACGTCCAGCGGAAAGGAGTGCAACCCCACAGAGCCACCGCATCCATACTACACTACACCTTCTCACCATACTAACACGATATGGAGCACTAAACCTGAACTACTTTCCTAATAACACTAACAGCCAAACACTAACGAAACTACAATATCTAACAGCCAAACTAACACTAAATAAATATGTATAACACTAAAAGCTATGCTAAAGATTTGGATATGCTAATGCTGAACTACCGCTAACCGTCCGACACTCGCTTGCAAATCCGACTTCCAACTCGCCACAAGGCGCGGCTGAGACTCTCAATGCTTTATAACTTTGACACAGAGCTGCTACGTAGTACTCTACTGGTTTACGTAGTATCTTACTCTTTAGCCATTGGCTAAAGTGTATTCAAAATGACTCAAACTCTATGTTTTAAGCTGAAGGTGGCTCTATACTGTGGTATTTAGGCAGAATTTTTAATTTTTAAAGAAAATGCACGAAAATGCTAAAATAACGAATACACACATTTAAAACACTATTAGACACTCATTTATACAGTTCATCAGCAAAAAAAAAAAGTTAATTTAGATGTTACTTGCTCTTTAAAGATGCAGGAAGTAGAAAAATTTGCTGGAATTTACCTTTCCACATTAGAAACTTGGAAAAGGAACCAATTAAGCTTTGTACAAAACAAACAACAAAAATAAATGAATAAAATAAAACAGGAAGAATGAAGAAATAAAAGATTTAGCCAAATTTTTGAGAAAATAATGCAACCCTCTTTACTACCTCACCATGCATTTTGCTTCATCTGCAATTATGATGTGGACAAAAGCCACCAGGGAGCTGCAGGTAATCAACAAATTAGCCCCGGTGGTGTGTGCACACGTGCTTTAAGACAATTTAATTATTACATTCTTGAAAGCAGAACCACCTGTTACATTTTTTTTATTAATTTTGATTAAATTTTGAAATAATTCAGTGTTAAGTAACTTGTGGTTATCGTCTTGTATAAGCACACATATAAGCCACTGCAACGTTTGAGTTTTACTGTTTAATATTAAAATGCATGATACTTTGGACTATTCAAGAAGATGTTTCCAGCCAGTTAATGGGGACATTACAGCGTGGAAGGCAACAGAGTTGCAAAAGTCTGCAGAAAAACGCATCACATGTGGTACTCAACTTTTTGACGAGGTTGGCCGATCTGCTTAAACTATTGCAGAAATTATTATTTTTTTAAACAAAATGAATAAATAATCTGATGAAATGGGATTCGTGGCATGTTCTTTAGATTTGTTTGAAACAACAACTGTTGATCAGCGATTGGCAGAAAATGAGATGTTTTGATTTTAAACATTAACTGAATTCACTCCACTAATGCGTTTTCACTGTTTATTTAAGAGTCACAGAACGTTGCACACTTTGATGTCAACGCCAAAACAACCAAAACAAAGAGTAGACTCACCTCTTACATCAGGAAGAATGCGCGTTTAGAGTGTTATCCGCTCTTTCGTAATCCGTTGTAGAATTGTGATCGGCAGAAGTGTTTCTGGTTCACGGCTCACTTTTGGGATTTTCTGCTTCCCGATCTTGTGACATACGTGGATGAAGATCACCTTTTAGAGCTGGGATGTTTGTTCTCACGGTGCAGGGCCTCGTTCCGACTCCCACACAGTTCAAATGACGACTTTAGTCATCAATGTCAGTTAATGAGTTAAACAATGAAGAAACTGTTTAAACCATCCCCACTGTGTGAAATTACTTGCTGCACACCTTTACTGTAAGTTGTAACATGCAGGCACAATAACCTCACCACACAATATTATAATTATGTTTTTTATCTTGTGATTTTAGAGATTACATCAGCAATAATAGTTTTTCTCATTCACAAGTTCTCCTTTGTGTTGCTTATATTCTTCAGTCCAATCAGGCACAAGTCTGTTAGAAGTTTGATTCATATGTTTGTGTCCATCGTGGCCTCACGTTGGTCTTAATGTTCTGCAATGACAACAGCGTACACGTGTGACTGAAACTCAGTGACTGTTTTCACCCGAAACAACATTCATTTAAATGTAAATTATAAAGATTGTGTTTTTCTACTTTGAATTTCAGGCCACAAGATTCAGGTCTGCTGACACCACACACCCTCTGGTCCGTGGACCTCAAGTTGACTCACTTGGACTGGAGCCCCGAAGCGACCCTGATACACTTCCAGGCACAGTTCCCCACCACATGTGAGCTAGATTACAACATCCTGCAGAAAGAAATTCAGAATGTACCAAAGACCAAAGCTCCCGTGGACGTTGGAGAGTTTTGCCTCGTGGAAGACCCGACTTCTGCATGCTGGTTTAGAGGAAGAGTTCAAAACCAAAATGGTGACTTATTTGATGTTTTCCTAGTGGACTATGGGAACGTGTTGAGTGTCGACATTACCCACATAGCTTCCGGTTCAAACAAGCTTTTCAGCTTGCCTCCAAAAGTAGTTTGTGGCTTTCTAGCAAACGTGCTTCTTCAGAATTGCGCTCACTCAGCAGTGGAGAGATACTTATCTAGCTTGAAGGGCAGAAATGTTTCAGGTTTCATTCAAGCTCTCCTTCCTCACAAAGTCCTCCTTTTTGAAGCTCCTGACATAAACTGTGAGCTGGTCCGACATGGCTTTGGGAAGCTCATGGACATAGATACCTTCCTCCTCCTGGTTAGCTTGCTTACAGAGATACCACTCAAACAAAACACTGAGCCAGTTCCTGGCTTACTCATTGAGAAACCAAAAGTTCAAAGGTTTTGCCTCAAATTGCCCAACTTGCAGGGATTTCTGGACGTTTTTTCATTTTTTGGGTCTAAATTGAGTTGTGGTACACATGCCAGTGTGCGAATAACTGCTGCTGTCAACCCTAGGCTTTTTTACTGTCAGGTGGCCAGAAAGGATGCCGATCTCCGACAGATGTCCAGAAAGTTGGCAATGGTTTGTGAGTGCAGTGTCAACGAGCCCTCTCGAAGTGCTCCAGAGAACTTCGGTGTTCTGTGTGCAGTTAAAGGAAAGGATGAGAAGTGGTACAGAGGTTTTGTGCATCTTCTACCCATCAGCTCTCAAGTAAGAGTTTTTTTCATTGACTACGGATTCTTTGACTTTGTAAAAATTGACCAAGTCCAGAGGTTGCCACCCGAATTTTACTCCACACCGATGAGGGCGTTGCGTTGCTCGCTCCCCTCCCTGACTGATCTGGATGTCAAAGCTCAGCAGCTGGACTTCCTCAAGGCTGGTTTGCTTGGAGCTGTGCTGAATGTGGAGGTCACAAGTTTTGATAAAGAAGACCATCTACATACCATCACTGTGTTGGGTTCTGATTCACACGTGGAAGAGCCAGAGCCCACCCAGAATCTTTCTACTCCGCCAGTTTTGAAGGTTGAGAAAAAGTCGCCTCGGACTGGCTTCACAAACTACATGAAAGTCATGAATGAATCATGCAATAAAATGATGGAGGAAGAGAAAGTGCAGGTTGGTTCTACCTTTGCCGGCTATGTAGTACATGCAGAAAGTCCAAACCAATTCTGGGTCAGAACACAGAAACGAAACGAGGAATTTGAGGAAATGATGTCAGAAATGGAGAAACATTTCAGTGAAGTGGAGTTGGATAAAGACACGCTGCAGAATCTGGAGGTTGGGGCAGTCTGCTGTGCGCTGTATGAGAAGGACATGCATTTCTACCGCAGCGTCGTGATGGAGGTTCTTGATCATGGAGCAGAGGTCTTATTCACCGACTTTGGGAATGTTGAAAAAGTACCCCATATGTTGATCAAGAAGTTACCAAAGACATTAGCCAACATACCACCTTTTGCTGTTTGTTGTACACTTAATGTTTTTCCACTAGAGGAGGTCTGGGCCTCAACCACGTGTGACTTCTTCAGAAAAGCTGTGTCAGACCAGTCACTGAGAATTCATCTTGTCCAGATAAAAAAACACAAATGTGTTGTTGAGCTCTTTGATATGGAAAGTAAAAGCGTCACTGAGCTGTTGAGGTCATCTGGACTAGTGGATTACATTCCAGTAGAGGCGGTTAAACAAAAGGGCAAAAACCAGACAAAAGAAACCTGTCAACAACATTCTGCAGGAAGACACATGAGTGGAAAGTCAGAGCAGTGGGGGGGTTGTCAAGAGGACAATGACGTGTGCACAACAGAAACCAGGAAAGTCACTCATAACTTCAAAGCTTTGAACATCAAACCAGGGTTTGAGTTTCTTGTTTACTGCTCAAAGATCAGATCTCCATCTGATTTCTGGTGCCAGCGTCGAGATCAAGGTCCAGCTTTGGAGAAACTAATGGATGATCTTCAGAATCATTACTCAGCTCACGCTGTCCCCCTCCAGCCTGGGGAGGCAAGCTGTGTTGCTAAGTCACCACAAGATGGAAAATGGTACAGGGGCCTCATAGAGGAGAACCGGAATGGTTCTGCCACAGTAATGTTGGTTGACTATGGTTCCGTCATCAAAGTCCGAGAGAACCATGTTCAGGCAATATTACCAGAGTACATTCATTTAGAGAGACAAGCTTTCAGGTGCAGTCTCTACAGTCCGCCGGAGCAGGACTGGAGTCCAGAGGTGAGTGACTTGCTGAAAGACTTTGTCCTAAAGAACACTGATCATCTTACATGCCAAGTTGTCTCCCAAATAAATGTGAAACACAAAGGCCTGTGGAACGTTGTCCATCTCTCTAATGCCCAAACAAAAGCTAGCGTAATAGATACACTCCCAGAACCGGGACCTGCAAAATCAATCTCAATAACACATCCGTTTGACATGACTCCTGAATCCTTTGTTTACTCTTCATTCGATCTAAGCTCTGGAACTGAAGAACACGTCTACGTCTCGTACATCAGCAGCCAGTCTGAGCTCTTCTGCCATCTGGAGAGAAACACTGAGATTATTGAAGAGCTTGAGAAAAAAATCTCTGAGGAGAGTGAAAAGATGATGCAGGACAGCTCAAGTGCTGTTGTGGAAAAGCTTTGCCTGGCAAAATACCTGGATGGCAAATGGTACCGGGGCTGGATGTTGCCTGTCAGCCTACCTCTGCACATTAGTGTTTTCTTTGTAGATTATGGAAACATAAACTTCTTGGAGAAAACAAAAGTCATGTTTATTCCTAGGAATTGTGAAGATCTCTTGTTCACACCGATGCAGGCGGTGAGATGCAACCTTTACCTTGTTCCCAAGGAGGAGCTCTATGCAGACGTGAAGGAATGGCTGAACAACGCCACCATGAACAAGCTGCTGAGAGCTGTTGTTCAGGCAAAGAGGGAAGACGGTGCCTTTGATGTTGAGCTGTTCGATGGTGAGGTCAGCATAAATGAGAAGGTGAAGGAGCTCATTCTTAGCCTCTCACAGAAACCAAAACCAGTCAGGTTGGCAAGCAAAAGCCACAATAAACCAAGTTACACCAAGACAACCAGCAAAAGTAAAAATCTACCTACAGTTCCCGCGGCTGATGCCCCCAAAGGGTCTGCACCCAAAAAGACAAAAGGTTGCATGTGTGTAAAGTATTCGAACAAGAAATCGAACCGTAAACAACAGAATGGGACCCACAGAAAGATGTCCACGTCTGTAAAACCTCAGGCCAGGTCCGAGTTAAAACAGAGTAAATATCCAAAAGAAAGGTCAAATAAAATGCAGCCAAAGGAAACAAAAGCATGCCAGCAGCCGCACTTCCTAGAGAAAGACATAAGTCCAGGATTCAGGGCCAAATGTTTTGTATCACACGTTGATTCTGTTTGCAACTTCTTCCTGCAGCTGTCAGATGATGTACCTGGCATCTTCAAAATGGCCGAAGATCTCAGCTCTGTTGTCTTTAGCCAGACTGGTCAATCTTTTCAAGTTGGTGATGCTGTTTTGGCAGAGTTTGAAGAGGACGGTGCTCTGTATCGTTCAGTTGTAAAGAAGAAGGAAGGAAGTTCTTGTTTCCAGGTGGAGTTTGTGGATTATGGAAATTCGGCGGTTGTTGGGACAGAAAAGATGTACCTGCTACCTGAAGAGTTCATGTCTCAGCCAAGATTCAGTATACCGTGCCTGCTGTTGGACACAAAGGCGTATGAAGGTGATGCTTCCTTCATCGATGCAGTGTTAGAGAGGCCACTTTATGTGGACTTTGTCCGTCAACATGGAAGTCAGTGGCAAGTGAAGCTTGAGGTTCTTGGGGAAGATGGACATGATGCAGCACCTGAGAGCAGCACTTTATCCAAACATGAGTGTCTGAGTTTACCTGAAACCAATGAGGTAATTTCCTGTGAACTGAAACTTGGAGGACAAGGTTTCCTAAATGAAGATGTGGCAGATACAGTATCTACTGTGGAAGGTAGAAGTGTGAAGCCAGAACCAAAACCTGTTAATATGTCGGTCAAACGTAAAGTAAAAACCATCAGGCGCTTTAAGCAAACACACTCCAGGGTAAAGAGTCACAGGAAAACCAAAATATTCTCTGTCAAAGTTCTGAAAGAGGATCCAGATGTTGTTCTTCCTCCAGCTGTTGAACCCAGAGACACAGAAAATGGAACCATTCTTTCTATTCAGAGTGACGGCAGTTTCTACGTCAGGCTAACTAAGAACGAGGATTTGCTGACGGCGCTGGAAAAGTGGATCATCGCTAACCCAAACAAATGTGAAACCGTTGCTGAAGCTGATGTCAAACCGGGCCTGAAGTGTTTAGTCCAGATCCTGGACGACGTGTGGCAGAGAGCTGTCGTGCAGCATACTAGTGAAGGAAAGTTTAAGGTCTTCCTGGTGGATCACGGAATAACAAAAGACATTCCGAGCAGCTCCGTTTTACAGCAGAGCCCTGACCTCACAACGTTCCCAAAGCTTGCGTTGTTGTGCAGGATGAACAGTTCAGACTTTGCTCCTCAGGGCTGGGGTCCAACTCTAAACCCATTAATAGGCACAGAGGTCCAGCTGATGTTTGTGAGTTACACTGAGCCTGGGAACTTCTGGGTGGTTGAAGTAGTCATGAAGGACCGTTCCCTCATCCTGCAGTCCGAAGCCTCACATCAGCAGAATAAGGACCCACCTACTGAAACCCAGAGTGAAGCATCAGCAGAAGGAACAGCTGCTCCCCAACATCTCCTCTTTGCTCCTGTTGAAACAGATAAAGCCTATTCTGGGTTTGCAACTGCAGTTTCAACTCCCTTTCACTTCTGCGTTGTTCTTGAAGATTTGCTCCTCGTCATGAACCAGATATCCACTATGTTGGCCAGCCTACCTTCACAGATGCCGTCTCTTCCTAAGACCCACCTCGTTCCAGGTACTTGCTGTCTGCTGGAATCAGAATCCAAAAAGATGCGTTGCAGAGCTGAAATCATACACGCCGACACAACAATTGTCCTTAACCTCGTTGATTATGGCCACTATGAATGCATACCGTATCACGACCACTCCAAGCTGAAGAAGCTTAATGCAGATTTAACGAGCCAACCAAAGGTGATTTACCCCTGCGTCCTACAAGGAGTGATGCCAGTCAGTGGGGATGGACAGTGGACTGATGAGGCAGCAGTTTTCTTCCAGGACTGTTTGTGCCAGAAGAACCTTCAGATCTTCTTTAGAGAGTCCGTGTCCTCAGAGTGGAGAGTGGACATTCTTGCTGATGACGTTGATGTTGCCGACGAGCTGGTGGAGGCTGGACACGCTGCCTACACAGAGGTCATGCTAGGACTCAGGTATGCTCCTGCATCCAATAATATACAAAATAGATGGAAAAGAAAACCATAAATAATCATTTGTTTTTTAATCACTAAAACAAGCAACTAAAACAAACTAGAGGTATTTTAGGTTTTAAATCATCTGCCAGAATAGTTATATAGAAAATCTGTTGGTGATCAAGGTAAACATTTATGGTAAAAAGCCTAAACAAGTCATAATAAACAATCCAGTGTTAAGTTGTCACAGCTCTTATTTTGATAAGCCGCAGCATTTCCTTTTTGTACCTGAAACAGAAATAAATGTTTCCAGACACAAAATAATCGTGCTGCCCTAAATAATTATTTCCAGTGTTTTTTATTCCTTGAAACAAAAAGTTCTCAACATCTTGTAGCTACAGATTCATCAGCGATTTGATGTTGATGCAAAATACGATTTTATTTAGCGAACAAAAAAGATGCCGGGAAAATGTTTGAATACGTTATTCCTTTCATAATTAGGTTCGAGAGAGGTTTATGCAAACCTGAAGGTTCTGACAGCAAAGGAGAGGAGGATGAAGCTGAACTTGGAGAAAATCGAGACAGTGCGAAGTCCAGATCAAGTCAGTGCAAGTATGAATGATTTGTCTAAAAATATGTATTTAAAATACCCACCATTTAAACAGATGTTTTCACATGGATTCAGTAAAATCAAAGCACCACAGAACTGAAGAACGTCATTCAGATGAGGAAAGTTTTAATGCACTCCTCCCAACACCACTTTAGTTTAGTGGCCATTTATTACGGTTTCTATGGTTAGTACAGGTGCTGGCCAGTAAATTACAATATCATCAAAAGGTTGAAAATATTTCAGTAATTCCATTCAAAACGTGAAACTTGTACATTATATTCATGCAATGCACACAGACCAATGTATTTCCGATGTTTATTACGTTTAATTTTGATATTTATAGGTGACAACCAATGAAAACATCAAATCTGGTATCTCAGAAAATTAGAATATTCTAAAGGCCAATGAAAAAATGTTTGTTTCTCTAATGTTGGCCAACTGAAAAGAATGAACATGAAAAGAATGTGCATGTATAGCACTCAATACTTAGTCGGGGCTCCTTTTGCCTCAATAACTGCAGTAATGCGGCGTGGCATGGACTCGATCAGTCTGTGGCACTGCTCAGGTGTTATGAGAGCCCAGGTTGCTCTGATAGTTGTCTTCAGCTCCTCTGCATTGTTGGGTCTAGCGTATTGCATCCTCCGCTTCACAATACCCCATAGATTTTCTATGGGGTTAAGGTCAGGCGAGTTTGCTGGCCAATCAAGGACAGGGATACCATGGTCCTTGAACCAGGTGCTGGTGGTTTTGGCACTGTGTGCAGGTGCCAAGTCCTGTTGAAAGGTGAAGTCTGCATCCCCATAAAGTTGGTCAGCAGCAGGAAGCATGAAGTGCTCTAAAACTTCCTGGTAGACGGCTGCATTGACCCTGGACCTCAGGAAACAGAGTGGGCCAACACCGGCAGATGACATGGCACCCCACACCATCACTGACGGTGGAAACTTTACACTGGACCTCATGCAACGTGGATTCTGTGCTTCTCCGCTCTTCCTCCAGACTCTGGGTCCTTGATTTCCAAAGGAAATGCAGAACTTGCTTTCATCAGAAAACATAACTTTGGACCACTCAGCATCAGTCCAGTCCTTTTTGTCCTTGGCCCAGGCGAGACGCTTCTTGCGCTGTTTCATGTTCAAGAGTGGCTTGACACACGGAATGCGACACCTGAATCCCATGTCTTTCATGAGTCTCCTCGTGGTGGTTCTTGAAGCGCTGACTCCAGCTGCAGTCCACTCTTTGTGGATCTCCCCCACATTTTTGAATGGGTTTGTCGTCACAATTCTCTGCAGGGTGCGGTTATCCCTAGAGCTTGTACACTTTTTTCTACCACATTTTTTCCGTCCCTTCGCCTGTCTGTTAATGTGCTTGGACACAGAGCTCTGCGAACAGCCAGCTTCTTTAGCAATCACCTTTTGTGTCTTGCCCTCCTTGTGCAAGGTGTCAATGATTGTCTTTTGGACAGCTGTTAAGTCAGAAGTCTTCCCCATGATTGTGGTGCCTTCAAAACAAGACTGAGGGACCTTTTAAAGGCCTTTGCAGGTGTTTTGAGTAAATCAGCTGATTAGAGTGGCAGCAGGTGTCTTCTATATTCAGCCTTTTCAGAATATTCTAATTTTTTGAGATACCAAATTTGGAGTTTTCATTAGTTGTCACTTATGAATATCAAATTTAAATGTAATGAACATTGGAAATACATTGGTCTGTGTGCATTGCATGAATATAATGTACAAGTTTCACGTTTTGAATGGAATTACTGAAATATTTTCAACCTTTTGATGATATTCTAATTTACTGGCCAGCACCTGTATAGTGAGTTTAGACTGAATTCATTATAAAATACCTAAAACAACCTGAAGTATTTTCAAACATTGAAAGTAGACTTTATGAAATGAAACTTGTTTTCTTGTGCTTCAGGTCTCCTGATGTGAAACGACAGAGCAGAAGATTTTGTAGTTTTAGGTGTTGCATTTAATCAGAGTTGGATGCATTAAACTTCGCTTTATTTTGGGGGGAAAACATTTTTGCTTCCTAAGTAGTGATCAAGGTTTCCATCGATGTTGGTTTTATTTTTAATGGCACTTTCTATTGTTTGCTTTTCATTTAAATAAATTTCAATACGTTTTTGAGATATTTTAGAAAATGTCTTGCTTTGTTTTACCACCAGGTGAAGCTGTGGTCTTGTTAAACCGTTTATAGTTGACATTTACAAACGTGATTAAGACTTTTTTCAATAAAGCATTTGTGATTCGTTCCCTGTTTGTTTTTTGATCTAATAAGATAAACAGATGATATTTTGTCTATATGTGAATGGTAAATAAGGTGTAGCTACATTAGTGACGTTAAGCTGAATTTTAAGTAACAAAAACCATTTGTCAGAAGTGGGATTCGAACCCACGCCTCCAGAGGAGACTGCGACCTGAACGCAGCGCCTTAGACCGCTCGGCCATTCTGACAATTGATGAGATGTGGCGACTTCTGGCCACTAGTTGATGATCGGTCTTTTGGGCCGGATGGCTTCGATTTGACACCTTACGTTCCTTTTTATCCGATTTCCGTCAATCCTTCCCGTTACGCAAATATTTATTTTCGGTCTAGTTCAGATTATCCGGTTAATATGTAAAACCCTAATAAAATACGACTGATCCGGTTAATTTGTAAAAACCTAATAAAATACGACTGATAGCTTTAAAATCTAGCATCCGGTGTTACATTGAAATGTGCCCCCCGTAAAAAGTTCTTGGCACAAAGTATTTTATCGGTGTGTGTTGCCTTGCCAATATGCAAATTTACATAAAGAGATACGGTATGAATTAATGTACCTGTAAATTAATGGCTCACCTTTTAACAAAACTTTTGTTGGGACACATTTGTATTTTATTTTACTGAAGTGCTAAACAAATCAAATATTTCCCGAACTAAATTGAACAAAATGCTGCAGATATTACCACTTTCTAAACTTGCTCAAAACATTAAAATTAAATGAGAAACACGAGCGAAATAAAGCTTTTCCTGAAACGGCTGCGTTTTCTGCGGGGACAAATTTTGATGCAACACCTACGTCATTGTCCTTTGGCTTCAATAATAAGTTGAGCAAGTGTCAAACTATCTTCAGCTGCTTAAATATCAAACATTACAGAAGACATGATTTACTGATAGTAAGATAAATGTATATCAACACATTTAGTGCTTTAACTATGCATAAAAAATGGTTGTGATCAAAACCTTTTTTTAACAACAAAACTTTCAGCCCAAACTGTTGAAAATTTTGTTTTTATTGATTTACAAAAGGCTAAACATGAAACCATTTAAATGATTCCATTCATTTTGAAACCTAAAAGTTGTTGAAGGTAAAGGAAGAAACGCAGGTCGTGTTTTTCTTTTTTAAGGTCAGTTAGTATAACAGCATCTTCACTTATCCTGACGAAACATAAAAGTTGTTTATGAACTGTTTTAGAACTCTGATGTTTAAAACATCTGCAGCAACAGCTGGTGTGAAAGAAAAAACAAACATTTGTCTCAAACACAGAAAACACTGATTACCACAGTATGAAAGGTCCCAAATATAATCCACTTCTCCAAACAGTCTGCAGATAGTTAATAAAATATGAGCAGGTAAGTTTCATTTCCACAAGGATTGAAATAAATATCTGTTAAGTAAACAAGCAATTAAAGAGTAGTTCGATATTTTTTGGTGAAAACCAAAATTAATCACATTGTGATTGAGTTTGTTTTATGGTTCAATCACGCAAATTAATTTCACACAACTCAGCAAAAAAGAAATACAAAAAAGAAAGTTGCTGTCAGGTTTAGTCACAAAAAGGATGTTTTTGAATTAGTGTAGCAGATTTTTTATGGTTTCCTGGCAGGTTTCTACAGTAGTAAAAGAGACAGTTGTGGACTGGAGTATTTACAGTAATGTTGTGCACTTAGAGACCTGTGGGCTTTACGATCCTCCTCTGGAGCATCTTTCATTTTGTCTAGAACGTCACAAAAATAAAGAAATCCCGTTCTCTGCAGCTACGGAATCAGAAACAGTGTTTCCACTCACTGAGAATTTAATCATTAAAAACAAACAAAGGAGCTAAAATTAATAGTAAAAGAATGTCGTCAGGTTTCATCTGCTGGCGAGAAAGAATTAAGAGTGAAAACAACATAATAAAGAGAAAAGAAGCATAAAATAACACCATAAAATTGTTCATATTTCAGTTAACTATTAAAAAATTAAAATGAGAAATCTTTGTAGACCCCTCGCCCCAAAAACCATTTTACAAACAAAAATATATTCCCCTTTGTTGTGTGATTTTCAAATTCTCACTAGAAATAATCAAAACTTTTTTACAGTGCGTTATCGTTATACATCTTTGACAGACTCGGGCAAGGGGAGGGAATTTTTAAACTAAATGTCTGTCTGGCTGCAGTCAAATAAAATACAGGTGAAGAGTCCAGTTTTTGATGATTAAAAAATGATAAAACAAACAGGAAGAGACGGTCAGTGTCAGGGAGGCGAGCGCCGGTTCTCTGGATCTGGGTTTCTCCCAGCTCCACCTTAACATTACCCTGGTGACGCTGGCGTTAAGGTGGCACTGGGAGGTGGGGCACTCGGGCCTACTGCTTGGTGTTGAGCTCGTTCTCCAGCTCCATGAGTTTACGGGAAGCCTTGACCTTGTTGGAAACCTCCTTCCCCTGAGAGAAGAGGCGCTGGCGCTCTTTAAAGGTGAGACTCTCTGGAGCGTCACTGGGGATTGAGTTCTCCTGCTCCTGACTGAAAAACAAAACAATATTAAAAGAATAATTACTGATGTGCAACACTCCTGCAAGACCTCTGAATATCTAATAATAGTTTTCTTTAAATTTACAACACAAAGTTTGCAAAACAAAACAAAAAAAGCATTTATCACCCCCTAGTGGCCATGACATAAGGGCTGCCCTATGGGTTTCATGACGTGCCTTTAACCAACCTAGTTTGCGTATTTGAGAGGATTAATTATAGTTTTCAAGCTCAGGTCTTGTTCTACTCTCTAAAAACAACTGGGTTCAAATTTGTCCTTAAATGGAATTTAAATTCATTGTTACATCCACCAGTTATGCCCAGAGGCCTGGAAGGCCCCGCCGTGTGGTTACAGCTCTGGTTCCGGGAGACGTTTGTTCAGGACCATGGACAGCGCCATACTAGAGCCCTGACGGACCACGGCTGCGCGTAGTTACCCTAATGAGAACGCCAACAAAAGCAGATGTGGAGGCTGAACTGGTAGACGGAGAGGGGTGAATGGAGTCACTGGTAAACAGAGGAGACGAGAACTGAGGAAGGATAGTACCTGAGAGCGAGGCACTAAGATTGTTCTGGGAGATGGATCGGATAAACTGGATAAGGGCGGAGAATCTGCACTGAGACGCTGGAGTTACAAGTTGACCTGAACCCTGACGGGACTCCGCTGATCCCTGAGCTGAACGGGAAGCCTTCTGTTTCCTGTACGTGGCAACGGCACCCCCAGAGAAAAGCTCCAGGATGATGAGTATTTGCTATCCTGGGTTCTAATGGAATGTGTTGGGGATCATGGTTTTTTTTTATGTGCGCTACCGCTGACTGGTTTTAAGCCCCGGTTGTGTGCTGGTGGACTGAGCTAAATAACTCCCAGTGTCGTATCTCTCGCTCATTTGATATATATTTTAAAACCATGTGGTGTTCTGACTGTGGTTGGTTTTAAGGAAAGTTCACTCTCGTGGATTTTAAAAGGACACACTGTGTTTTGAGGCCGTGCTTCCTCCTCCCCTTTGGTTTAGCCGTTTTAGTTGTCTTAAGCTCCTGCCTGTTGATTTCTGTTCATTAAAAGACTGTTTATTGTTTACTGATTGTTTAACCCTTCCCCTTAGTTTCAGGGAGATTTTTGGTTGTTCTGTCACCGGGTGCGTATGCAGTAGACCCGCCGGAAGAGCTTTAAAAATAAAAACAGTTTAAATTACCTTTACAGACTCGCTTTGTGTTATGTTTCAACCCCATACCCTCCTGGACTTGAGGGGGTTGTAACATTCATACAAACGTTCTCAGTTTCAGCTCCTTCCTTCCCCTAAAACCTGCTTTTGCAGATTTTTTCCCGAGTTCTTGGATTGAATCCTGCCAAAAGTCCTCCAGCCTATAGGAAGCCAGACGTGATACTAACCAATGAGCTTGTTTGTCTCCACCGGCACAAGTTTAGCGCCTCACAAATCCTCCCTTTTCCTTCCACTATCACTGCACCAACTGAGCATGTCAATGAAAATATTAACTGCATGGAGTGATAATTAAGTTTTTCTTCAAACATCCCCATGTTTTTTAGCTTAGTAGTTCTTTTTTATTCCATTTACCTGCACATAAGATTTAGAGACTAATACACTCTCACAAAGCTGATTAATAAAAAATAAAATGTTTCACCTCCTTGTCCATTTGTCCCTCAGGTCCTTGTAGACTTCTCCTGATCCTACAACTCCTGTCGAGTTTCCAGTGTACGAGTTAAATCCTGTTAAGGTTCAAATCAGAAAAACATGAGTCAGCATTTATTCATCAGCAGATTGTGACTAAAGGCATCAGAGATGGAAGCTGCAGGGTCATGGCTGAGGAGACGAATCTTTAATGATGTTAACTTGGAACAGGTGAAATCCTGTTGAGCTCAGACCCAGCAGCTTCTCCTGTTACATCCAGGTTTGATTTTCCCACAGACCAGCAGCAGGAATAAAGAGGAAGAACATTTGTGAAGCTGAAACATTCACATCTCAGGCTACAGAGGAGAGCAGCAGAAGAAGAAAACAGTTTAGAGAAGCCGTTAGAAGCAGGAAGACAGTCTGTGGAGGAGTAGGACCTGAGGCCGAGGTCACAAATGTGACCCCTGACCTTTAACCCTACACAGTTAGGCTCATGTGTCTGTGTGTCTTTCCAAACTTCTGCGACGTCCGCCAATCTGGCGTGGCCCAGCTGAGATTATAAATCTGCTCATTTCTGCTGAGTCTCTTCTCAGGGAACTGGGAGATCGGGGTTCAGATCTTGGTCAGGTCATACCAAAGACTTTAAAAATGGGACCCATGCTTCCCTGCTTGACACTCAGCTTTAAGGGGTTGGATTGGGGGGTTAAACCACCACAGGGGTGGGTTCGGGATCACCAGTGTGTGATGACTAAAGGGACTTTAACTTTCAGCAGTCGGCTCATAAAAAACTAAAACCAACTGTTAACACCAAATCTAAAGAAGGATTTTGTTTAGAACTGGAGTACGCATTCTAATAAACCGACTGGAACAGTGTGTGGGTATCACGGGCCAGGCACTCAAGTGGATAAGATCCTACTTGACAGGGAGGAGTTTCCGTGTGAAGTTGGGGGACTGCTCCTCCGACCTGGCTGAGCTGCCTTGAGGAGTGCCCCAGGGATCGATTTTAGCCCCTCTGTTTTTCTCCCTATATCTCCTGCCCCTGGGTGACCTATTTTGCAAGCATGACGTGTCATTCCATCTATATGCTGATGATTGCCAGGTTATTTTTCCAATTAGGCGTGGTGGTTTATGCACCATTCAACCTTTGTTGGACTGCCTGGAGGATATCAAGCTATGGATGCCTCAGAACTACTTGTGTTTCAACCAAAATAAGACTTAAGTAATTCTCTACTCCACCAAAGACCCCAGGAGGGGCCCAAGGGCTTGATCTTTCCATACTGGCACCGCATCAGAAGGCGGTGGTCACTAACCTAGGGGTAAGGCTGGACGCAGAGCTCAGATTTGATTCTCAAGTAAACGGAATTGTGAGATCTTGCTATTTTCATTTCCGGCGGATAGTGAAGATTAAGCCATTTCTGTCACGTAGCCATTTGGAAAATGTGATCCATGCCTTTGTTACCTGCAGGCTGGATTATTGCAACTCGCTATATGCTGGGCTTAGGCAAGCTCCAATAGCACGTCTCCAGGCAGTTCAGAACTCTGCAGCTCGGTTGCTAACAGGTACCAGGAGGTCTGAACATATTACACCGGTCCTAGGTGCCTTGCATTGGCTCCCTGTCTCCTATCTCATCAGGTTTAAGGTCATCCTGTTTGTGTTTAAGGCGTTAAACTGAGGGGCACCTAAATACCTGTCAGACATCATCCATCTGCATCTCCCGGTGCGTTCCCTTAGGTCAGCTGACCAGAGACTATTAACTGTGCCCAGGTACAGCTTGAAGTCTTGTGGGAGCCGTGCCTTCTCAGTGCTGGGACCAAGGCTCTGGAATGAGCTGCCAGCTGATGTGAAGCAGGCCCAACCACTTGAGAGCTTTAAAAGCTCACTAAAAACCCATCCGTTCTCATTGGCGTTTGGACATTGAAGTTGGGATTGGGTGGGCAGTGTCACTTTGAATGTTTCTGGATCTGATTCTGGGAACAGGACTGATCTGGATTGCTAAACTGTACTTGGGAATTCTTATTGTATGTTAATGGTTATATATGTCTGTTTTATTGCTGTGTTTTTTATTGGTGTACAGCGCTTTGTTCGTCCGCTCTCGGCATGTGAAAGCGCTTTATAAATGAAGTTGATTTGATTTGATTTAGGCAACCCTGGTCCTAGAGAGCCACAGTTCTGCTTGTTTCTTTGTATCTGCTGTTGATTACCTGGATCAGGTGTGTTCAGCCAATTAGAAGCTGCAAGTCCATGCTTGGCTGGAAAACATGCAGGACTGCGACTCTCTAGGACCAGGGTTGCCTACTCCTGGTCTAAAACTACAGTTTGTTTATCTGTTTGTAGAAAAAACAGGTGTAAACGTTCTGCTTTGAGGTGGATACTAATCATTCAGATATTTGTAGTCCGAAAAACTGACTTCTCTGATTTTCTCTATTGACCCTGAATGCAGCACAGAAAATCTGATGTTTATAGCTAAAACATATCAGATAAAATGTCACTTTTCCCCACTTTTGCTCTCCTGGTAAACATCTGCATACAGATGTGGGGGAATCCCCTACATGTTAATAAAAAGGAACACTAACCTGCGCTACCGGGTCTGACAGGAACAACACCGTTTTTGTTATGTCTAATATCTAGCTACTGTTTGTTTACTCTCTTTTCTAGATTTTCATCCAGTTTTTTCAACAAATGTTCTGATCAGTAAGTATTATGGGATTCTTGGTTTTAGTCTTCACTGGAAAAACACAGAATGACGCCAACTATTCCCTTTCAAAAATGTGGGACTTTCCAGCTGCATCAACATTCAGTTTCAATCAGAAACCGAACTAGAAACAACAAAAATACGATCGACGAAATGGAGATTTTTCACCTGTTTGACTAGTCAGGCACTAAATGCTGAAGGTTTTAGGGCTCGGGTTCTGATACAGACACAGAGACTAAATGTGAACCCGGACAGATTTATCCAGCTGGCAGCTCTGAAGCTCTTTAGGGGGTTCAGAGATCTGGTTTGGGCCGGGATCAAACAGAGACCCACTTCAGCTCTAAACCACAGAGGCTGGCAGAGAACAAAGTCACCACAGAGAGAAAACCCTCGTGGAGCGCCAGTAACATTCCTCTGCTCCGCCAGAAGGGACGGGAACTCTGCTTGTGTATTTTTCTTTGTCCAGCAGTTTCAGAAAACATGTTCAAACATTTATTTCACCAATCTGACCACCTTCTCACATAAACTGGCACCATTTTTTATTTATTAAATATTTTTTTTATTCTAACTGAGAAGAATCGGTTTTATTAACTCGAGCTTTTTGAGCTGCCAGCAAACCAAAACATTTAAAAACATCTCTAAGCCCCTTTTCCCGGTTGAGCTGGAGGCTCAGGTGCAGCTTGGTCACCTGGGCCTGCAGCAAAGCCTTGTGGGAGCTGTAGTGAGGGTTAGTAAAGCTGCAGCATTAGGCAGAGACAGGTGGGAGGACAGACAGACGCACAAACACATCAGCTGACAGACGAGCTGACTAATGAGAGAGGGCAGCAGCTGGGCGGAGCTACGCTCAGGCAGGAAAAAAGCAATGGACATCAAGCTGGTTACTGAGCTACTGGCAGCCAGCGTGCAGCGATTTGGTGCTGACGAGGTCAAACATGCAGGTTTCACTGGTGGTGGGGGGTGTTAGTGGGATGGTTTAATCTGAGTGAAACGTGAAGTTTGTCCAAGGTCCCGGGTGTGTGATGGGATGGAGGTGCAGCTGGGTACCGGTTCTGTTCACACTGGGCTGCAGCGAACGTTCTGTGTGTCTGAGAGGGTCGGGCATTCAGGACTAAAAATCGCTTATTATGTAGCATCATGAAGTCTTTACTTCATTCTAGTAAATCTGATAGTAACACTAACCCCTTTTAAAAAGTACAGTTTTATTTTGTTTTATTATTTAAAGCATCATTTTTTAAATTATTCACATTTTTATTAACTTAATAGACAAACTGAATAAATAGTTTACCATTATTACTTTGAAATGTTATTTTAATAAAATACCCAAAAATCAAACATGTTTAAACTCGAACTCTGATAACAGCAGAAAGCTCACATAAACGTTTAAAAAATGGAACTAATAAGCATTAAAGTTGCTGATTAGAATAAAAGGTCACATGTCCGTCAGGTGGGGAACATATCTTCAAAAATCATCGTCAAATATTTTCTAATGAAAACAAAAGTAAGAGAATCACGTTTTTCCATTTTCTAGTTTAAATAAAAGTTCAAGTTTTGTTTCAAAGCTTCAACATGGATTTCTGTTTTGGACACACGTGGAACCAGACACATTCTAGATGCGTTATTAGGATCACTAATGTGAGACTAACCTAAAGCTGGGCTCCTTCTTGCTTTAATGGTTTATTTTCATATAAATAAAATGGATTAGCAGCCGTAGCTGACAGATGTAGGACTGACAACAGCAGTTTGACCCGCCTCAGACAAAGAGCATCCGAGTGTTTGATGTTTATGAAATGAGATTTTTAAGTGAAATAAAGACATGAAAGCCCAAATGAAGGATCTGTTCCCCTTTAAAGACAATACCGCTAAGCAGAGCCACGGAGCAGGAGTGGGGGGTCGGGGGTGGCAGACAGAAGGTCGGCCTCAAACCCCCCACCCCCTCCATCCCCAAGCAGCGACCAACCAGACAGAAAGGAGGCGGCGAGCGACAACACCAACAGTACTACGATTGGCTCTGATGGAGGGTGATCATCGATTGCTTTTTTCTGTTTGAAGAGGAGAAGGGGGGGTGATCGGAGGAAGATGAGATAAATTACTGTGGAGAGGAGGTGTTGGAGGACAGACGGAGGGATTTTTACACAAATTAAACGTCGGACTGGTGACAAAAATATAAATTTAGACAAACATTTAAAAGAAGAAAAGGTGAAAATGAAAGTTCAGAACAAGTGTCTAAGTGAGGAGATGAGCTCTAGAGGGCGCTGTGGCAAGTCTCGCTCCTTTCTACGGCTCTACCTTTAAAGCCTCCTGGGGGGACAGAGCTGGGTTTGGCGGGTAGGGGGGGGGCCGTACTGTTGGAGTTGTTGGCTGGCGGCTGGAACAAGCCAGACAGGAAGATGCCGTCAGAATGCGGGCGGGGCTTGCGAGCAGTGGGCGGCGGCTGGGGCCTGCTGTGACTGGCGGAGGCCGGGAGGTCGCCGTACGACTTCCGGGTCGCCGACAGCTTCGCCTGACCTGACTGGCCGCCGCCGCTCCCTGCTGAGCTGGCTTCTTCCTCGTCTTCCTCATCGCCTGCGTAGGACACGAACTTGGCAGTGTAGAGCGTGTCGGGGGAGATGACCTGTGTTTTGAGGTAGGAGGTGTTTCTCTGTGGTGGGGGCGGGGGGGTGTTAGTAGGGTTGTGGGGGGCGAGGGGTTGGTAATCCCGTGGAAGCGGGGGCCGATACAGACCGGCCGGCTCGTCGGGCGTCAGCAGCTTTCTCTCGGCCTCCTCGTGCTGCCGCCGCCGCTCCACCTCCAGGCGAGTGTAGTACTCCTCCTCCTGTCTCCTCTGGGGGAGGGACAACCGGTTAGTAAGCTCCACTCTGATTGGCTCTTGCCAACAGTGGACAGGAAGTGACTAAGCTGGGAAACTATTTAACAAGCTGCTTCTATCACACATACAGCCTCCCACTGGATTCAGCCAAAGCCTGGAACCTGCTCTGCTCAAAGGCCGGGTCAAACTGCAGACCCAAGTTCTGATGTCAGAGAATATATTTAAGCTTTCAAAGGCTCAGAATGAAGGAATAAACTTCTACTTGCTGCAGGTGGATTCAAACCCTGATCAGAGCTGACTTTAGACCCCCCTTCACCGCTCCGTGTTCGGAGTTTGCTGGGCCAACACGACCTACATGGACACATGTGGACCTACACTGTCCAACATGGACCATCATGGACCTATGTGGACCTACACTGACCAACATAGACCTACATGGACCTACATGGACCTACACTGTCCAACATGGACCACCATGGACCTACATGGACCTACACTGTCCAACATGGACCGTCATGGACCTACATGTACCTATACTGTCCAACATGGACCACCATGGACCTACACTGTCCAACATGGACCACCATGGACCTACACTGTCCAACATGGACCAACATGGACCACCATGGACCTACACTGTCCAACATGGACCACCGTGGACCTACACTGTACAACATGGACCACCATGGACCTACACTGTCCAACATGGACCACCATGGACCTACACTGTCCAACATGGACCAACATGGACCACCATGGACCTACACTGTCCAACATGGACCACCGTGGACCTACACTGTACAACATGGACCATCATGGACCTACACTGTCCAATATGGACCATCATGGACCTACATGTACCTACACTGACCAACATGGACCACTATGGACCTACACTGTCCAACATGGACCACCATGGACCTACACTGTCCAACATGGACCGCCATGGACCTACACTGTCCAACATGGACCACCAAGGACCTACACTGTCCAACATGGACCACCATGGACCTACACTGTCCAACATGGACCAACATGGACCACCATGGACCTACACTGTCCAACATGGACCACCGTGGACCTACACAGTACAACATGGACCATCATGGACCTACATGGACCTACACTGTCCAGTATGGACCATCATGGACCTACATGTACCTACACTGACCAACATGGACCACTATGGACCTACACTGTACAACATGGACCATCATGGACCTACATGGACCTACACTGTCCAAGTCCAACATGGACCTACATGGATCTATGTGGACCTACACTAACCAACACGGACCAAGGTGGACCATCATGGACCTACATCTGCTGTGTGTGGCCTGAGTTTGCTTTTATGGGGGTTTTGGACTCTGATCCCAGCTCAACCCAACTCCCTGGATCTGAGATCTGCTCTCTGAAGCTACACTTGCTGTTTTGATTTCTGGGTTCTGCCCAATCAGCCGCTCGAGGTCACAGGCACTCAGCTGAGATGGTTCTGATCTCAGATTATCTTCATACTCCAGGTTGTTCTCATGTGGTGAAGTTCTGCTGGGGGTGGGGGTTGGAGCTGAGCTTCTGAACTGTTTGGACAGTTTCATGGTTCCAGTGGGGATCTGAAGAATCTGGGAGGGATTAGTGGGGTATGGGGGAATGGATGAATGAGTCGATGAAATGTATGGTATGGTACACCTTGTGGGTGTGTGTGTGTGTGTGTGTGTGTGTGTGTGTGTGTGTGTGTGTGTGTGTGTGTGTGTGTGTGTGTGTGTGTGTGTGTGTGTGTGTGCGTGTGCGTGTGCGTGTGGTTTTGGCAGGGGTGGGAGGGGCAGCATTCCCTAAACATAATTCTGGATGAAATGGAAAAACTCAAATAATAAAACCTCAAAACTTTAACTTCTTCCCAAAAATAAGTGAAGCTTCCTGAGAAACAACAACAAGATGATGAGGAAACCATGCTGGTTCAGGTGGGTGGGGGCACCGTACAACACATCACAGAAGGTGGAGGGGGGTGACTACATGCAACATCTTTACACCAATAAAACATCACAAGTATACTTAGAATAACTTAGAAACCACCACCAAAACCTACGAGAACTGTAATCCAAATGAAATTCTATTTAGTATTATTGTTATTGAGGTGTTTAACCAACCAGTGGGCTGCAGGAATAACAGAGCCTTGACGAATCAACGAACACTGAACATGACTGATGAGCCCAAACCACTGGTTTTATGGAACAAAAACTATTTAACACATCAAATATTATTTAATTTAAACTGATTCTACATAAATATATTTTTGTGTCCATTCACAATAAAATCTGAAATAAGAGTTAATCTTCAAAAGTCAGACCGATGTGTTTGGGTGTTAATAATTCTAAACATGAGCTAACAGCAGCTGATACCCAGTAAACATCAGTCTGACCTCAGCGGTTCAGTCTCCATCGATTTAAATGGTTTAGATAATAAAAACATGAAAATCTAATTATTTCTACTGTCCTTAAACTTCACAGAAACACAAACCGACCTTCTCCTCCGCCTCCCGTTTGGCTCTCTCCTCCTCCCTCCACCTCCTCTCCTCCTCCTGCTGCTGCTTCATCCTTTCCTCTGCCTCCCGCTTTCGAATCTCCTCCAGCTGCTGCTTACGCCGTCGCTCCTCGTCCTGCAACTGTTTTCACACACACACACACACACACACACACACACACACACACACACACACACACACACACACACACACACACACACACACACACACACACACACACACACACACACACACACACACACACACACACACACACACACACACACACCAACATGCCATAAGGCACACATGCAGACAGGGCATTAATTAGCACAACAATAATAATTTGTAATCCAAACCATCTGAGAAGACTTGTTCTGGCTCAGAGTTGAACTGTCTGGAGTTAAATGTGCAGCAACATGTTGTGTCTGATGTAAAACAGCCTCAAAAGCTCCTGATGGGAGGAACAACGGCAACCGCACAACACGGGCAGAAACACGCTTCTGAACATGCAAACACTGACATGCAAGCACAACAACAACTTAAGATGAACTTGATTCAGCTTCATGACTGGAACATGAAGCCGGAGTCCCACAAAACTGCAGCTGCTGCAAAATCACTCTCTACCAATGAAATAACAGTAAAAACAAAAAAAAAAAAACTGAACCCACTAATTTGGGCTGGATGGGGCTTAAAGGGCCAGTTCAACCAAGTTTGAACAAAGCAGAGTCTCTCGGGACACAGCTAAATATTAAAGATTTCTTTAAAAGGTTTTGATTTATCCCGTATTTTTTAGGATGAATGCAGATAAATTAAATATCTAAAAGAACAAAAAAAGAACAATGTTACACTAAACAGTGATCCAAAAGTATATAAATCCACTGACTGGTCACTGGTCTGATCAGGCTCCACCCACAAATCTGCACCAGCTCTGCCTGATTTCAAGTAAAAATTTTATATGTTTTTAAAACATTTTTATTAGGTTTAAAAATATCTGATGACTCATCAGAATTTTGAAAATTGTCCGATTCAATTCAAATATACTTTATTGATCTAAGAATGAAATTTAATAATATAACTTGTCTCAATTTTATCTATCTACCTACCTATGTGTGTGTGAGTGTGTAGTACTGAACTGAAATATAAACATATAATGTGTGTGTGTGTGTGTGTGTGTATATATATATATATATATATATATATATATATATATATATATATATATATATATATATATATAATGTAAGTATAATATAAATATAGACATGCCATTAAGAAAACCTGTTGACATGTTTTATTTGAGGTATTATCTTATTTACAGCTATTACAATAAAATCAGACAAAAATAGTGTAAAGTATTTAGAATATTAATGTACTCTACTATGATATTTTTCTACTGAATTTAACCATTACACACATTTTTACAGATGTGGACCACTGGGGAAAAAATGTTTTAATGATCCTTTCTGATTATTTCTTTGAGTTCTTCATGCAGACTGAACATGAAAATAGTCTCCTACACCTATCTCCTGCATTAGCTTCTAATAGAAAACAGATGGTGAAACTCTAGGACCAGAAAAGCCTGACAGATCTACGTCACACTGTCATTTAACATTCATGGACTCACCCATCTGGACGGGAAGGCTGTTGTCGGTGTAGCGACCAGGAAAAAGCAGAGAATGTCTCGGCTAGTAGAAGCTAACTGTTAGCATTAGCAACTCCACCACACAGCATAACTCCTCCAGGCTTGAGTTATTAGTGGAGATAAAACAATCAGCGTTTCTAAACAAACAGTTAGTGGTAGTGTTGCTGTTAGCCAATCAGAGGAGAGATGCCTAAATATCAGGAAATAAGACTAAAATCATGCCGGCTGAAGCTCAAATCTGATGTGGCTCACTTCTACTTCCTGAAACAGGTGCACCGGAGCTTTTTCCTCCTGAATTCAATTTACAAAGCATTCATTCCTACTAGAGACCACTGCAAACGTATCAATCCTGTAACAGGTCTTACTGATTATATATCATACAGCATCAATAGAATCAATCATTAGTTGGAGAATGATCAGAACATTGATATCTTGGTTCACAATAAACTAATGTAATTATTGCAAAGATGAGCACTTCTGTGGTTGAACAGACCCCTTTGAGCCTCGGCGAATCACAGACACACAGATGAACGGACTGAAAGACAGCACAACAATCTGATCTCTCTGCAGGACGTCCATGCACGCGTCTCCACCCAGACACCACCTGTGATGCGTTTAGTCATGCAGGCGCCATCTCCATATTCACTCAAAAATGGCTGTAGACGAGATCGACACCACGCTCAGCAGCTCGTAAAGCATCTGGCAGGTCTTTATTTTTGTTGCTTTTTATTCAAACTAACAAAATAATTCAGCAGCGTCGGCGTTCCCCAGGGGATGTTTTGAGTGGACAGAGAGATGGACAGCTTCCCCAGCCAAAAAACACCAACACTCCCAGAACGACCTCTCCATGATGACTCCACCCCACCCCCCACCCCAGTGCCCTATGTTCAACAGTAGTCCTGACAGGAGGGGAGAGACAGAAAGGAAAGGATGGCAGGTGGGCCGCCCAGACAGAAAACAGGAAGTGATGTAAGGGCAGGGACCGGAAACTCATCGTTATCAGGAAGAACATACCAAGTCTAGAACAGAGATAGCTGGGACAGCAGTCTGCTGCTGAAGAAGAAGAAGAGAATCAAGAGTAAGAGAGGGAGGGTGGAGGGGTGGAGGAAGGGGAGAAACCCAAATACTGGAAAGGGGGAGGAGATTCAAACAAGGTTTACAGGATAAGGGAGGAAGGGGGAGGGAACTAAGGACTAAAGTAGGGAGGGGAGGGAGAGGAGGACATACAGAAAAGTAAAAAACATTCCTGCGGTTTTTTACGTTATTCAGCTCTGATTAGTGGCCGTCAGACCCATCACATTTTAATCCAACTTTGGATTTTATACATTTTCTGCTTGGTTTGGTGGATTAAATGTGTTTGTTCAGAAAGGCAGAAAAGTTATTTTATTATTAAGTGTATTTATGTGGTTTCTGTGGTTTTCTTGTGTGTGACTGAAAGCTTTTGATAGGGTGAATTTTACTAGAAGTTTTCTTCAGTCGTACACGGCAGTCGAAGACATGAGCATTAGCTGGTCTGGAGCATACAGGTGTGTGTTAACGAAAACCTGAGAAGGGTAACAGGTCCTTTTCAAACTATATGGAGTCCAAAATGCAAACGTTTATGACAGCTGCTAATCTGCACAGGCGTGGACTTCTGACTGAGTTTACCTTCAAAGGTCAGAGGTCACTGTAGAGAAAATATAACCCAGGTAAAATGCTGTGGAGCTTAAGGGTTCCTCCACAGCGTGAGACGCAGGTTTTCTGCTACAGAAATAACATTTAACCTGGTTGTTTTGATTTCTTGTTTTAATTAAAAAGAGAAAACACCTCGTTGTGTTTTTATTGTGTTACAGCAGAGTTCTACCATGATATGGAGTTCATGCGTTGGGTGTGAAGAAGCCGATAAGAAGAAATAAAACTCTTCAGGAAACTTCTGTCCCAACATAGCGTCTACGTTAGCAGCACTTAAACTGTTGCCTCCCCCCTTCCTGCCCAAACCCTGCCATCCACCCTTCCAGCCAATCAGGTTTAAGCAGCTTAGCATGGCAAAGCGATGACAGAAGCATGTTGCAGATGCACACGGCGCGACATTCATAGTGGGAGCGCTGCCGCAGAGGAATCCAATTTCCTCTTAGCGTTTAAAAGGCAGTTCTGTTTTTCTCCCCATCAGCCTGACTTCCTGCCACTCGCCCTTCCTCGTGCTCTTAGCTGCAGATTTGTTTCTGGAGCGTGAGCTGATGGGTGGGATCGCTTGAAAAAAACAGAAGTCAGGTTTATTCCTGCCAAAGTAGCCCGAGCACTTCCTCCATCACATCAACATTTCACCCCCCCCCACATCACAGCCCTTCATCTCACCCTGACTCTCTTCTCAGCTTCCAGCCTCTGCATGATCAGCATAGCGTCCATGTCCTCATCGTCCTCCTCCTCCTCATCTTCGTCGCCCTGTTTGGACTCCTGTAGTCGTTTCTGGAACTGCCACTCCAGCATCAGCTTCCTGAGGCGGTCGCTTTCCTCAGCCGTTCGCTCCGGTTTCGCCTGAGGAAACAAAAGAAATCACAACTAAGAACAGTAAAAAATAAAAATAAAAAAGGCAGCTGCATCAAAAAGAGGCTAAATTAATCTCAACCTGATGATTTTAGGCTGTGGTACCTGGAGCTCCTGGATCTCTTTGTCCAGCAGATCCACGATGTGAAGCTGCTGTTGTTTCTCTGCCTTTTCCCGAGCGTCTCTCTTCCAGGGATCTGGAGATAAGCTGTCGCTGGACGTCAGCCCCTCCGTATTGATGGTAATGTACTGAAGGTCTCGCCTCTCGATGGTCCGCGGCTGCTGCTGAGGAAGCAGCTCCCGGATCACCGTGTCCATGCCTACAGTAAAAGATTTGATCTTTCTTGATCCAGTTATGTTTTTAATGTCATGTTTGAGCTGTGAGAGTCAGATAAATGTCTGGTCACCTGTGGGGTTGGAGGAACTAATGGGGGGAGGTACCGCAGACCTCGGGAGGCTGGACAGCTTCTCTGGTCTGGATGGGGGGTGCTGAGGCTGTAGGGGGAGGTAAGGCTGGGGTGGAGCCATAGAGGCCACAGGGGGCTGGTGGTGAGGGGGAGGCATGGCTCCTCCATTGTGGGGTTGGACAGGCATCACAGGGTTCGCCCGTATCTGACCCAACTTCCTCTCCTGCTCCCTCCTCTTCCTCTCCCTGGAAAATCAATTATACGAATAATTATACAAAATATTCAGTGATTAATATTAATTATTAAAAAACCCGACAGCGGGCCCACCTCTCCTCGTCCAGCCGAGCCTTCTCCTTCTCATACCAACGCTGTTGCTCCTCTCGTTTCTTGCGATCGGCGGCTTGTTGGGCCGACACCGGGCTAATGGTGGTGGGGGGTGGTGGCAGCGGCAGGTCAGGCTGGGGTTCGTAGATGTCGGGGTAGACAGCAGGTGGTGGAGGCGGCGGTGGGGGTGGCAGGTCGGAGCGAGACGGCGTCTGCACTGAATTGGGTGGAACAATGTGAGGTGTGTTGGGAGTCTTCCACCGGCCCGGCCCGGCCTTCTGGTTCGGACCTTTGTTAGATGAAGTGGAGGAGGAGGAGAAGTTGAGGTGCTCCTGACTCGATGTCGATGACTCCAGCGAGGAGGGAATCTGTTGCTGAGAAGTCCAAAGGTCCTGTGGTCCTCCGACTCCTGCAGGTGGAACCAGATAAATCAGCTGTTCACACGATCCGAGCGGATATCTCCGCCTTCTCCACTTCCATCTACGCTGGATTATTGTGACGTAGCTCCTATAGCCTGAAACGGTCCCGACTCAGTCCTACGTATTCTCAGCTACAAAGCTAATCTCAGCCTTCATACCTATAGAATCCAACACTTTCATTAGAACATAAAAGCAGGAGAAAGGCTCAATCCCATTTGTTTTCATGTTTTTGTTGATCTGATGAATATGGTATCAAATTAAACCACATACGATTTATTACTTGATTACATCGGAGAGGATTCTGATAATCTGCTGTATAATCTGGTGGTTAAAACTCACAGCAGTTTGATCTGAGTTCAGGTCTTACCTCCTGGTGGACCTCGGAGCTGGTAGTCCTGTGGATAATGTGGTTGCATGCGTTCATCAGGCCTCACCGGTAGGGGGTACAGATCCTCCTGAGAGTGATTTATCCGCTGGATGAAAAAGAAAAGGAAACACATTAAAAGAAAATATCATTAAACACATTTTAAAAACTTTAAACGGATAATGTGATTTTTAACATTTACCTGCATGCTGTTGTCGACCACAGGGAGGCGCTCTCGCTCCTCCACGCCCTGCCAGTGCTGTGAGGGCACCTGTCCCGGACCCACAACCCGATCCTGGCTCTTAGAGGTTGGGATGGTGAAGTACTCCCTGGGGTAGGTCTGGGTGGGGATGGGGTAGGCCTCTGGATGTGGGGGGGAGGGCTCATCCTGAGAGAACAAACACATTCAGGTGAAGAATAAACAAGTTATTTCTGGTTTCACACTGGTGTGATGGGGTCTGCTGGAACATTCCACATCAGGACGCGACCAGCCTGAAACTCACTCACGTCGGCACAAAGGTTTCCAGTGGAGACGGAGGTGATCTTGGTGCCGGGTCCTCCAGGGTACACAGACTTGGTGGCAGGACTCTGGCCCTGATCTGACGGGAAGGAAAGACGATGGTTTTAAGACAATAAAACAACTCACACATCATCTTTCATCCTGACTGCTGAATTAAATTAGACGACCATTTTTCAGACCAAAGGAAACATTTTAACTCTTACTATCATTTAATGTGAAAAATGTTGACGCCCCGTGGCGATTTAATAACAGAACAACACATTTAAACCATTTCAGCAGAAAGGAAAAGAGACTGTAGTGATGGTAAGTTCTGACAGCTGCGCACCAACAGAAACCACCAGTAAAACCAGTTAAGCCAGTAAACAAGAGGACTTACTGGCTACATTAGGGCTAGAGCGGTGGTCGACCCGGTTCTTCAGAAGTCGGTCTTCTCCGCTCATCTTCTTTGGTTCTGGGTAGGACTCCCAGCCAGGCTGTGGGCTGTCTGGAGAACCGTTCTGCACAGTGTTGTTGTACAACTCAAAGCCTTCACTCTTTGGTCGCATCTTCCCGTTCTTATCCCGACCGCGGTCCGACGCTGACACGGGAGACAGAATAGACAATATTTGGTCAATAACCATATCAGAGCGTGAAGAACCAAACAGTTTCTGGAGGTGCGTGATTACTCTTAATGTACGGAGGCTGGAAATGTGTTTTTACTCAACCAAAAATGAATAAGAAGTTTGATCAGAGTCACACGTTCAACTCTCCAATGTTAATAAGCTAGCTTACTGAGTTGTTTGGTATTTTGGTCACTATTTAAGGCAGGAATATTCAGATACAGTTATTGTCAGTACAGAGAAAAGAAAAGCTACAAACGGGAAGAGCTTCAGTGAGCAGAAAGTAAATACCAATGATTCAAGCGGATGTGCTAATTACTGCAAAGGATCTGAACACCGTTAAAAGTTTACCTCTTAAAAATAAGGATCGGCTGTCAATCTATTCTAAATTTTAGTCATGACTAATTGCAGATTATAAATGTTTATATTGTTTATATTCATATTTTACAAGTCTCTAATGCAGAAGGTCACGGGGCAACAGCCTGATCAGGGAGGTAGACTTCCCTCTCTCCAGCTACCTGGGCCAGCTCCTCCGGGGGAATCTCAAGGCGTTCCCTGGCCAGGTAGGAGACATAGTCCCTCCAACGTGTCCTGGGTCTTCCTTTAGGTCTCCTCCCGGTTGGACGTGCCCGGAAGACCTCACCAGGAAGCATCCTAACTAGATACCCGGGCCATCTCAACGGGCTCTTCTTGATGTGGAGGAGCAGCGGGTCTACTCTGAGCCCCTCCTGGATGACCGAGCTTCTCACCCCATCTCTGAGGGAGAGCCCAGACATCCTACGGAGAAAACTAATTTCTGTCGCTTGTATACATGACCTCATTCTTTCCGTCACTACCCAAAGCTCGTGACCATAGGTGAGGGTTGGTGGGCTCACCTTCTGGCTCAGCACCCTTCACCATTGGTGCAACGCCTGCACCGCTGTAGATGCAGCACCAATCCACCACACACTATGAGCATCAAATATAAATGAAAACCTCTTTATTTTGTGCTTCTTGAACTTCTCCGTCAGCTCTTTAAAACGCTGAAGTCGAGGGACAGACAAACGTCTTTATCAGCATCCTGAAACTGCAGACCGGCCAGGCCTGAAGACTTCCTTAATGAATCTGAGGTCACATTCCAGCAGACAAAGACCAGCTCAGAGCCAGACAACCTCTTAACCTCTGCAATGTGTGTGTGTGTGTGTGTGTGTACTTGTTTAACTATTCTACTTAGGACCAAATTTGGCATATTCACTAATCTTCTGAAGACCGACGGGCCTTATTAGGACCAAAACCCAGTCTTAATACGGTGGAGCCCCTGTTTTAGGCTTAGGGAGGAGGTTTAGAGGTAAGATGTGAAGAGTTTTTGATGGTTAGGTTTAGGAATACACTGGTTATGGTTAGGGTTTGGGCTAGAATGTATGGAAGTCAATACAAAGTCCTAATATGGATAGAAAAACGAACTTGTGTGTGTGTGTGCGTGCGTGCGTGCGTGCGTGTGTGTGTGTGTGTGTGTGTGTGTGTGTGTGTTTGTGTAATGCTGGTTCTGCTTCATTATATCGTTCAAAAACAAGGACCCACTGTCTGTTTGTCCCCATCAGTGGAGACAACACACGGAGTCAGCTTCTAAAGCTGCTTTAATGTGTCTGCCTAGTTCTGGTCCAGCAGAAGTCAAATGACTTATTAAATATGGTTAAAACTACATTTGTGTCGGCAATTTCTTTTTTTTTTTATCCTTAGCATCTTTTAAAAAACTGAAATTAAATTGTCCTAACACACTTTTTCCATTTGAATTTAGTTTGTTTATGCAGCTCCAAATCCTGACAAGTCATCTCAAGGCACTCCACAAAGTAAACGTTCCAATACAGTTCAGCTCATTAAGCCAATTTTTGGTTCTTTATACATTTTAAAGACTAACAAAACACACAACACCTCACATTTCTTATAATTTGACTTCATTCATATCATACACTTTCACTGTAGGAGTTTGTATGCCAATTTTGTACATATCAAAGATTATTTAGAGTCATTAAAACATAAGTTTCATGTTACTGCTTTAAGTGAAACATGGATTACAAAGGAAAAAGACGCCAATTTTGTATTAGAAGGATATGATTTTTTCTTTGGGTTAGTAGGACAAACAAATGGGAGGTGGAGTTGCAACATATGTGCAGAAAAGTTTTCAGTGTAAGATTATAGACACCACAGCTGTTGATGAAATTATGGAAAGTTTAACAATTGAAATCAGGACAAAAAGGTGTAAGAGCATAGTATTGAGTTGTATATATAGAACACCTGGCTCCTGTATAGAGCAGTATTTGAACATTATAACAAACATCTTCGAAAAAAATATGTGATGAAAAGTCTTATTTTGTGTTGGGATTTTAATATTGATTTGATGAAATGGAATGTTCATAAAGCAACAAATGACTTTTGCAATACTATGTTTAGTTTTGGATTAAGGCCACTAATATATAAGCCCTCCAGCATTACGAAGGACAGCGCTACACTAATAGATAATATTTTTACAAATGTGTACGGTTCAGCTACAAGTGGTATATTCCTAAATGACATTACGGATCATCTCCCTATATTTGGAATTTTGCATAGTTTTATAGATAACACTTCAGTGGCAAAGGATGAGTTGCCGCATAAACTTATGAGAATAAGGACCCTAGAAAAAATTGAGGCTTTAAAGGTAGACCTCACAGATTGTGCATGGGATGATTTTTGTCTATATTTTTAGATCTCTATAACAAACATTGTCCTATTAAAAAATGTCAGGGGAAGAACAATCGTAACAGAAAACTATGGATGACTAAGAGTTTACAAAAGGCATGCAGATAGAAAAATGTACTATATAAGAAATATTTACATTTAAAAACTAGTGAAAGTTAAAAAACATATAAACAGTATAAGAATATGTTGACCTCTACCATAAGAAGACAAAAAAGGAGCGCTATAATACATTATTAGAAGGAAGTAAAAATAACATTCAAGCAGCGTGGAATATTATAAATGAGCTTATCAATTAAAAAATAGTAAAATAGAATTTCCTAGACATTTTGTAAATAAAAGTGGTGATATAGTGGACAATAAACAAGATGTTGCCGAAGAATTTAACAATTATTTTGCTGATGTCGGTAAAAGTCTGGCCAAACAAATTCCAAATTGTGATAAAAAATTAAATATGTTTGATCACCTTATTAAGGATAATAAAGATTCACTCTTTTTGGGCGGGATTACTATGGTGATATAATAGAAACTGTTAGAAAACTTAAAAATAAGAAATCCACTGATATTAATTTTATTGATACATTCATAATTAGAGGTCACTGATTTTATTGTAAAACCTGACTTTTATTTGTAATCTATCCTTTCAAAAATGTGTTTTTCCAAACAGCATGAAAATAGCTAAAATAAAACCAATTTTTAAAAATGGAGACAAACATTGTGTTGATAATTATAGGCCAGTGTCCCTACGTCCTCAGTTCTCAAAAAATTTTGAGAAATTGTTTGAAAAACAGCTGGATCTTTTCACTGAAAAATATGGATTACTTAGTGAGCAGCAATACGGGTTTAGAGCCAAAAGAACAACTACTTACGCAATTATGGAAATGGTAGAAAAAATAACAGAGGCCAGGGAAAATGATGAGTATTTTGTTGGGATTTTTATTGATTTGCAAAAAGCATTTGATACTATTGATCACAGTATATTATTTAAAATAATGGAGAAGTATGGATTAAGAGGAGTGGCTTATTCATGGTTGAGGAGTTATTTGGACAATAGGAATCAATATGTAGAAATCAATAATACAAACTCAAAATTTAGCAAGGTTACTTGTGGTGTTCCCCAGGGATCTGTTCTTGGATCAAAACCTTTTTTACTTTACATTAATTATATTTGTGAGGTCACAAATTTATTGAAATTTGTAATTTTTGCAGATGATACAAATTAATGTTGTTCAGGTAATAATTTACAGAAAATTTTGCCCTTAATAGAAAAAGAATTGGGAATCCTTAAGACTTGGTTTGATATTAATAAACTATCACTCAATTTAAAAAGACTAAATTTATGATATTTGGTAATCAAAAGGAACTTGACAGGGAAATTAACTTAAAAATATGGAATGTTGAAATTGAAAGGGTGACAGAAATTAAAGTTTTGGGGGTGGTTATTGATCATAAAATGAAATGGAGACAGGATGTTTATTACATTAAAGGAAAACTTTCTAAGATTATAGCAATACTGTACAAATCAAGACATATGTTGAATTATGCAGCGTTACATATCATTTATTGTTCACTCATACTACCTTACATTTCATACTGTGTGGAAGTCTGGGGACTGACTAATCAAACGTTAGTTAGTGCAATAGTTCTCTTACAAAAACGTGCAATACGTATTATTAATAAGGCAGATAATTTGGCACATACACATCCACGGTTTTTAAAATCACATGTTATGAAATTTAATGAGTTTACTATAAAATAATGCAAATAATGTATAAAGCTAAATTAAGGTAACTTCTGCAAGATATACAAACGTTTTTTTCATGTGTAGAAACCAAGTATTATTTTAGAGATATTAATAAATTTATTGTTCCTTTGGCAAAAAAAAAGTTAAAAGGAAATGTATATCTGTGGTGGGGGTTAAATTATGGAATAATGCCAGTCTAAATGTAAGAACTTGTGGTACATTTTTGTTGTTTAAAACAATGGTTTTGAAGATAACTTTTGACGGTTACAAGAGTTTATAAGTTGTGTTGTAAATGTAAGAGTATTGTGAACTTATTTGACTAAATGGTGTATATTTCTCTTCTTCTTTTCTATTTTGCTTAAATTGTAAAGATTTGTGTTGAAGGGGTAGATTAATTAGTTTAATTCGTTAAAATGGTCACAAAAGGCTGACGCATGCATTAAAAACACCCATAAAACAACTGAGTGGGTAGAGGACGAGTGTATAATATGGAAATCTATAAAAGTGTGTGTGTGTGTGTACCTCTCTGCATCATGGGGCTTGGCTGGTTGAGGAGGGTTGCCAGTCCGTGGTAAATGGCTCCCTGCTTGGCCACCTCCAGAGTCACAACGGAGCCCGTTCTTGTCATCAGCTCTGCCGCCCTGGAAAAAAGAATGCACACACACACACACACACACACACACACACACACACACACACACACACACACGAATCAATCTTCCAACTTCAGAGAGAATTTTCCTCCTTGATGTGGGAATTTAATTTGGCACGCTGATGTTTAAAACTCCCGTATAGCATTAATGAGCTTTATGAAGCAACATCTCGGATCAAAGCGTTCAAACGTCTTCGCTCCACTGGAATCCGTCTTGGTGCCAAATTAACTTAATGTAAACAGACTACTGGCAGATCCAGCTGTTAGTGACTCCAGAAGTTTCTATAAATACAAAAGCTACACAAAGAAAGTGTTTTAAAACCAAAAGTTTATATTTACGGTAAAACATTTACTGTCCTTTCATTCATTTAAAAGTTATTGTTTTATATTTATAACCATAAAACCTCTTTCATACCAGGAAGTTCACATTATGAAAAGGACTCGGATGAATCCAGGGCTCTAAGTTAAGGGTAGAATGATGTTAATCATTTTTAATATATCAGCTGAAATTCCTCCTTTGTAAAGCCGATTTTAAGACAGGCACATCTCTGAAAATTTAAATGTATACTCATGAACGTAAACGTATATTCATGTTCCCAAATAACATCTACATAATAAATCCTCAAAAATTTGATTTCAACTTCAATTTCTTTTTGTTTTCCAGTTTTGAACATTTAACAGTTGGTTAATTAATTGATTTGTTTGTTTAACTTTGCACAAAGTTAAGATCTAAAAAAGTTAAAGCATGATTCATAATCAGAAATGTGTTCATCAACTGATGTTATCAGTGACATTTCAGCATGTAAATAAGTTCAAAAATATTTCGACATCGGCCATGAAAATCAGCCCAAAACATCAGCAGATATCGGCCATCGGCTAACTGTGACCTCTAGATATTGGCAATAGAAAAACCAATATTGGTCGACCTCTACTTGAAGTAACGAACCCATCTGGTTCTTAGTTGCCCACTGTTTCAACTCGGTGACTGCTGGTACTACAGACTCGCATCACAGCAATCATACCTGAGAAACATCAAACATACCAAACCTAAACACCAGCGGAAGCCAATTCTTCTAACTCGAGATAAAACGGGCAGCGTGGCAGCATGAACGAGCATCCTGTTGTTTCGATCAACACGATGCTAGTGGCCTCATGATAAACCTGCTTCCGGCAGGTAAATGCAATTAAACCAAGTGTTTGTAAATCCAGTTCGACTCTACGCTGACACCAAAACAGCAAACATCAAGCCTGAGCATGTAGAGCGGGAGGATTACACCCGGCAGGAACACGCCCTCTTTCTGTTACGTTACAGTTGTGTTTTCCAAACACGCTGGACGTCCTGTTCTTTTACGAGGACAGAAGTGGAACCGCCTGATGATGGCGTAACACTGAGCTCCCTGAGACGCCGCATCAACATGGTCATTAACTGCTCAGACTGGTCCTAAAATAAACCTTCTCATCATCTTATGGCATCACTGCTGACCAGTAGGTGGTTAAACACAAATAAAAACACCCACGCCCAGCTGTTCCCCGTAAACGTTTCATTATACTTCAGAAACGCCAGCTGGTCATTTCCAGTTTCCCTATTTGCATTTATTTGGTGTAACATCACATAATTTCCATGCATCCAGATTATTTCCTTGAACTGGAAACTCAAACAGCTGCAGAACAGTTTGTTTACCTTTCCTGAGACAGGCCGACTAGACTGCGGCCGTCAACACTCAACAGCTGGTCACCTGCTGCCAAACGGCCGTCCTGTTCAAACACAAACACAATCAGCCACTGTCAGATTCTGCACAACATCTCCTGTCTGAGGAGCAATACTCACCACATCAGCTGCTCCACCTTTAACCACGGATTTGATGTAGATGCCCAGTTTCTCCTGACCAGCACCCTGCACATACACACACACACGCACGCACACACACATGCACACACATCATAAATAAAAACTTGTTTCTTACTCTTTATGGTAAAAAAAATCTTCCATGCCTCCAGAAATGAGATCAAAGGCATCATAAACACTCAGAGAGGATGATCAGGGGTTTGATTAGTAAACAAGCCAACATTAACAAAGCTCTCAGTTTAGAAGTTGCTACTGGAGAAGATGGATGTCCTCAAGGAGCTAAAGAAGTCTAATCGTTACCACGGTGATTTTTGATGTTTCTGCGTATCTTAGTCGTTTCATGTTCTGTCGGAATGAAACGAGGACTCCCTATTCCTCATGACAACTCTTTGTCTGAATGTTTGGACTTGGGTTTGATAAATTTGGGCTGATCAGAACCTGAAGTTGCTGCATGACAAAGGAATGTAAACATGTGTGAGGAGCCTTGAACTGGTCTGTTTCGTCCCCTTGTGCAAACATTCTCTGAAAAAAATACTCTTTCAGTTAATTGTTGTGGTTTAGAACCACAAAGATGTATAAAAACAAGAGTTAAAACTAAACAGAACCAGGTTGCAGGAGAACACCTGATCTCTTCAGTCTGAGATAAAACTCTCCAACAAGTCAAACTAAAACCATTTAAAGCTTCCCTAAAGCTCTGCAGCCGTCAAACACAATAAAACCAGTTTTAACCTTCAGCTTTCCCGCTTTACTCTCCTCTCCAGAATTCTTGCAATACTGCCAACGACTTAAAGCATCGGCAGAGATTGTAATATTTACTTAAATCCAAATCCTGTCTTTCCAAAACAGCATGAGAGCAATAAAAAGGAGCCGAGTGTAGATGTGCACAAACATCCCAGAGCTTCTGTGGACTTCCTGTGAGGTGGGGAGGAGGTTTACTCTGCAGAACAGAGCCGGCGTCACTTCAGACATTTAACATCTCGACATGTTTATCCTCTGAACAGAAACCAGAAATGTATTTTCTGTTGCCGACAACGAAGACGTGATGGTTTTCTTCTACTATAAAAGTTTTATGAGATCGTTTACAGACGCGCCGTGATTGCTCTGGTTTTGTTTCAAGATGCAAGTCTTTAGAGCGGATTAAAGGACTACTAAGATGTGGAAACATGGCTCTAACTGTCTCAGTGGGGAGTTAAACTCGGGTTAATGGTGCAGAGTGTTTACAAGAACCTTTTAAAACTCCGCAGCAGAACATAAGCAACACAAATGGGTAAAGAAATGCTAAATGTGAGCAACAAATAAAACTTTCGTCAATTCTATAGGTTGTGATGCATTTGGGGAGGATTCTTCTAGAGTGGATGACTGAAGCTCTGCAGAGGCTCCATTTAGTCCATAAGCAATAACATCTGAATAAATAGACCAATTTTTTTCATTTCCTTAAATTAGCCTGCAAAAGATGCAACTTATATTTTAAAAGTGATTTTCCTCACGCTGTTTTAAAGTAGTTTTTTTTTATCTGAATTTCTGTTTGTTTTCTGAGAGCAGACAAGTAAACATCATGAGGACTACAGGTTGATTCAGAATCGACCAATTACCAAAATAAATGCAGATCTGTAGGTTGAAACGTGCGAATGAGCAGCAGCTAGTCACAAACCACAAATCAACAGTCGGGTTCCTTTTAAGGTGGAACGGAGAGTTATTTTACACAGTGGCCTCGAAGTGAATTCCACAACCCTTTAATAACTGAAACTAATAAACCATAATGATGGGTACATCTGCTCTTTAAGCTCAATATAACTCATCCTGTTAAGATTTATTTATACGAGAGTGTGAGGAAAAAGAGATGAAACAAAAATTAAATTAAAAAAACAGCTAATCTTTACATACGAGTTTATTTAACTCCACCTTTACAAATAACTATATGTCCTCCTTTATGTAATTATTAGAAAATAATGAGACACTGTAGGATTAAATAATAATTGAAAAGATTTTAAGAGGAGCCAGTTGAAGGGGCTCAGGCATCTTCAGACGCCTCCCCGGTGAGGTTTTCCAGGCACGTCCAACCAGGAGGAGACCTAAAGACCCAGGACACGCAGGAGGGACTATGATTCTCGGCTGGCCAGGGAACGCCTTGGGATTCCCCAAAAGGAGCTGGCCCAAGTGGCTGGGCTGCTTAGGCTACTGCGCCCGCAACCCGACCCCAGATAAGCAGAAGAAGATGGATGGAAGATTTCAGAGCAATGAGACGTTTTTCTGAAGCTGACTCAATGAGAAATGACACTGGACATGAGAACAACACCTGGTCTGGCACCGCAGCCAAATGACAGTCTGTCATGGTTAAAATAAATAAATAAATAAATAAAACACATCAACCTGCTTTGTGAGGTTACAAAACTACTAATCCATAAGAGGCAGTCCAGTTCAGCCATTAAAGTGCTACTTAGAAAAATATTTTAGATATTTTCAAGGAACCCGAAGAGAAAAGATTCATTAATAGTGTCTAAAATTAATTTAAAGCTAAAGAAAGCACCTCTGCTGCTTTTTAAAATATCAAAAATAAACCTTAAACAATTTACAGGATTTTAATCCCAAAAATTTGCTAATTAACAATTATTTTACTTATCTTAATTGTAAAACTTCTCAGAAAAACTTAAATTAGCAGCTATTTAGTTAAGCTTTTATAAAAGCTCTTTATAAATTGCCAAACTCAACTACATTCATTTAGAAAAAACTGAGGATTTAAGCTGCCAACAAATGGTAAATGGCCTGGTTCTACAACCTCCCAAGGCGCTTCAAAACACAATCAGTCATTCATCCATTCACATGTGCGTAAAGTCCAGCAATGGTCAGTTTTCACCTAAAAAATGACCTACATGCCACCGGTCACCGGAAGACATAAATTCCATTCTCCGAGGTGGATTTTACATTCTACCTTCCAACAAGCAACACGGTTCTGCAAACCTTGTTGAGATTTCAGGAGGAACACGATGTCAGCCTGTGTTCCCGAACAAAGCCTTCTTCTGATAACACCGCAGGATTCCTCATGCCTCTGATTCAAGTGACTATTTTCAGCTCAGATGAGTTAATCAATCGTGAAATGGAATGAACAAATGTTACATGAAATGATCAATAATGTTTTGATTAATCTGTGCTTAAATTACCCCCCCCCCCCCCCCCCCCGACATCTCATATCCGAAAGGGAGTCTCCTCAGGGGTACGTAGAACACAACCTGATTGCGTCTGATGTCCTTTTGATAAGAACCAACTTCATAGTTTAATGCAAACCAAATTCATTTCACCCAGAACTCATTTCTTCTAGATACGAAGGTTCTGATAACCTCACATTCACACATAGTCACCATACATCACATCCCATCCTCTTAGATTCACCCATCACAGTAGCCTTGGTTAACTTGTCATGCTTTAATTTGTTTAGAAAATAAATTTCTTATCTTTTATAAACTTGACTGTCTGAATTGAGACGAAGTGTGTGTGTGTTTGATCCCTGAAAAAGCAAAGAATCCAAGAATCTTCTGACTAAACATCCAAAGACCAAGCAGGTTGATATTCCATATTTACTTAGAATATCACAGCTTATTGGTCACAAGTAAAGGTAATATATTAAGCTTAAAAGCAGCAACATTTACTACTCTACACACACGTTCACATGCTGGTGGGGATGAGCTACAATGTAGCCACAGCCGCCCTGGGGCGCACCGACAGAAGCCAGACTGCCGAACACAGGCGCCACCGGTCCCTCCGACCACCACCAGCAGGCAAGGTGGATTAAGTGTCTTGCCCAAGGACACAACAGCAACATACTCTACCAGGATCAAACCTACAACCTTCCGATTACTGGACAACCTGCTTTACCTCCTGAACTACTGCTGCCCAAAAAATCTGCAGCTTAAACAGCTGAAGCGTCAGTACTGTAGGAGATCTGCAGGAGAAAACTGGAATTAAAAGTGAAACCCGGAGGCTGAGCAGAAAACACGAGATAACAGCTGCATGTTGAGTCAAAAGTTAAAGGTCACGACCTCTACAAGAAATACACAAACACATCTCATTTCCTAGAAAGCAGAATCATTTTTGAAGATGTGAGAAAACTTAATGGTAAAGGAAGACAAAGAGCCACAATCAGCAAAAATAATCTTAATCTGATCAAATATTTATGGAGGAAAATGTAAAAACAGCTGATCTGTCAGCTGATAAACCAGGAAATTAGAACGTGCTTTTTAATGAAAATTTCATCCTGAAATTTGTGTAAAAATATGCAATGTGTTTTAATAGAACAAATCCAGTTTCAGCCTTTAATTAGTGACTCATAATAATTAAAACATTTTATTCATTGTGATTTAGTGCAATAATCCAGGCAAAAGGCTTCAATAGGAGTGACGCGCGGTTCTGATAAAACAGAATAACATGACTCATCTATGGAAACCAATCAGCTCAGGAGTTTCAGCCGAGCTAAGTTTAGAAATAATAGAATTTACTTTTATTCTGAGGTGACACATGATCTGAACCTAAAAGAACATTAAACAAGGAGATTAAATCTAAATCTTCTTTCTTAAGATATGATGCTATGAATGAGTAAACGAGGCAGTGGGGTGGTGTTCTACCAAGCATCAGAATCTAAACACAGTCATAAATCTAATCTGTGCCGTTTGTTCCTGCTTGTTCGCATGACTTTGTTTCACCACTATCAGCTGTTTGGGATCTGTCCACACAGCTTGGTCATGTCTCATCAGTTCCTCACAAGAAAACCTGCTGAACTGGTGAGAAATAACAAGGAGAAGCTGACGTGTGCTGAACACGAGCAGGATCAAAGTTGTCCTGAGTCAAGATTCACACCACTGAGCTGGTGGATTACACTCATGAGGATTACCACAAGAGAAATTAGGACGCAGGTTTATTTATTTATTCCATTATTGACTCACTCTCACACAGGGACCATTTAGAGTGAAGAATTAAAACTGACATGCATGATTTTGGTCTGTGGGAGGAAAACCCCACATGCATGGGAGAACAGGCACAAAAAAGGCCACAGCTGGGATTATGGAGTATCAGGATTAGTACGTTCATAAACCTGCAATTTCCAGTCCTACACATGTCTTCTGCCAACCAGTGGAGGACCTTCAGGGGGTCGGGGCCAATTTTAATTAGGGATGTCCCAATACAACTTTGTCATTCCAGATACGATACCGATATCAATCCGATACGTTATCAGCACAAATCATACATACTTCTACCTATATTGTAGTGTAGAATGTATGAAAGGCTTGATCAAGTGATATTACTCAATCGGAAAACAAGAGCCAATAACAGGAAGTATGAAAAAAATGACCTTTTTTTAACCAATTGGTTGCAAAAATGTGAGCCTTAATGGACTGCTTATATCAGAGATTTTTGATGCCGTCCGATATAATTCGATACAGTGTTTTTGGGCCGATATCGAATGACTACTAATTAGACATTCCTAATTTCATTGATTTATTACTGTCGCATTTTTATACAATTACATAATAAAAATAAAACAAATTATTAGATAGTTGTTATATTAACATTTTACAATAGCATATGAGATGTGTGTGTGGTGTGTGTGTGTGTGTGGGGGGGGGGGGTCATAATTTAGTACAAAAAATACTTAAGTTTGCAATTTGCCCTACTTAAATTTATTTTGATTGGCTATTTTAAGTAGTAAAAAATAAATAACTTAAATTATTTATTTTTACTTTTAACATATTTACCATAAAGTAAGTCTTTAACCAAATCAGATTCTGTTTAAAGTGTTTTTCAGTCTTATAATATTTGATTAAATGCAGCTTAAATGTTTCTGTGGGTTTAATATTAATGATAATTATAATATTCACATAGAAGAAAATGCATACCTAGGTTTACCTAGAAATATGCCCCCATACATCCATACTAACATGAGCACACACCTTTGGATAAGCACAAAAGAGGGACACACACACACACACACACACACACACACACACACACACACACACACACACACACACACACACACACACACACACACACACACACACACACACACACACACACACACACACACACACTAGGCTGCAGCTTTACAGGAAAGCAGACGCATGTGTTTGAGCTACATCCTCTCATTGTTCCTGCCCTCGTGGGGGGGAGGGGGCAATCGTGTTATTGTTCCACCTCCAGAACATGAAAAAATATCAACTAACAAACAACTTCAAACACATTTTTAACCCCAAAAAAGAAGGCATCTAAAATCAATCTAAAAACAAGCAGATTCATCCTGTGATTACTGAATTATTTATCTTCAATCAAGCTTCAATCCATTTTATGCATGTTCTGGGGCAATATTGATGTTTTTTTGGTCAAAGTAATCCAGCTTACTTTGCTGAAGAGTCCAACCAGAACCATTAAAGATGCACATAAAAAATAAGGTTTTAACTCGTGAAGAACTGTGGTCCTCCTCTAGCTGAAGGTTTGACAGCTGTTATCTGTTAATCCAGATGATTATTTAATACAAGGTAAAAGATACTGAGTTCAGATTAAGCAAAATAACTAATCAGAAGTTCTACAATGAGATTTCAGTGATTCTCAGGATTTGAATTGGAGGGAAAGTGTTTATAACAGTAAACTAAAACTACATGCATTATGTAAGTTGGATTCAAAAAGCTACTTTCTTGTTTTTTATCAGTCATATACAATTTTAGAAGGAACCGTGTTACCCAGATCTTTTACCATCTGTGTGCTTTAGTTTAACTATTAGCAAAACGGCCCTGAAAGCAAACACTAAAACCTGGCGGTCATCACACTCAGAATGGGGTTAACCCCAGAATGGTTCTAGACAGCAGATAAATGATCCGAGTCTGAAGAAACTTGGTTTCAAAGCTGCTACAAGTAAAATACAAAAGAAAGTCTAATTCTTAAAGCTTGGATCACTTTTTCTTTCCTTTCAGTTTTAAAACAAATGACTAAAAGAGCCTTTACCTGGTCTTTCCTGCCCACCACGGAAAACCACATGCTGCCGTTTCCAGATCAGTTCACACCACCGTGTCCGGACCAGAGGAGGACACAAACCACGCACACCTGCTTTTATCCCAGAGAGCGCTTCAACCTGCTAACATGAGCCGACAAGTCCAACACCTCCCAATTACACTGGCTGGAGGAAATCCATTCAGCTGTGCCTTTAAAATCATTATTTATGGATACGGACATGAGACAAGGAGGCTCTGTGAATTCCTAAATGTGGGAAAATACTGAGAGCCATGTTAAAAAGTTATGGTGGGAAAAATACTTGAAATATCCAAAAAGTCTTGAAAATTCCTTTAGAAAAGCGGTCTGAGCTGTTAAGCCCAACTTAAAGGGGGTTAAAAGGATGCAGTAAATTCCATAAACGTTCCCAAGCAGAGAAAAATTCCTCCATATGCTCCTAATTGCAGTCAAAGATCGGTGAATTCAGGCAGCGATCCAAGAGGTGAAGCGTGTGCTGGGACACCAGCTGGTCAGACTAAGGAGGAGCGCTGCTGCTGCTGCTTCACAAGGCAAACACACACACACACACACACACACACACACAGTTATATAACAGGACGGAGCTCAGCCCAGTTCACTGACATCCGAGCAGCTGTTTGACAGAACCAGCTCTACCTGCCGTTCCCGTCCTACACACTCTGCCTCCATTTCAGGATTCGAAAATAAACAAGGAGGTTTCCTTAGAATGTCCTTCCTCACCACACACAGACTCAACACACAACCCACTCAGGAAACCTCCGGTCCTCAGCAGGAAACACACGCTCTAGTATGCTAACGTTCCGTACTGGAAGCAGACACTTCCAGTCCCAGTAACCCACTTTGTGTTTGGTTAAAACCGCGAGGAGATAAGATATCGTGTGATTAGGAATCTGGGAAAAGTTCTTTTCAGAGACTTGCATCGTCTGGTGAAACAAAACAGAAACAATGAGTTGCCGGTCAGGGTGGACACATGTCTGTGTAGAAGTGCTTGTTGCTGTTTTGACTCAAACTCATTGAGGCCAAAGGGAAGCGGTGCTTTAACAGCGTGGAGTTTTACAGAGAGTCAGTTTTGTTTTCAATTAGACAAGAAAACTAAATAAACAGAAATCTGTGATGAAACAGTGAAGAGTGAGTAAATGAGCAGACTGACTCCAATTCAGCAACTTTTGCGAGATGCTTTTATGATATTTTGTGACCCATAAAGATAAATGTTTAAAACAACATCTGTTCTCTAGGTTTTTTTTATTTTTATTTTTATTTTTTTGCAATGAGCTAGAATCAACCTCCATTACAGATCTGTAAAGTTTTGGTTGCTAACTCAAACTTTGCCACTAGATGTCGCTAAAAACCAAACAATCAGCTTCTGGAAACATACTTAATACAAGAACAGATTTTAACATGTTAAAAGTCTTAAACTGCATTGGTTACTTCATCTATAAATAACAAAAAAATTAACCAGTTTGATTTAACAAAAATACAAAATGTTCCAGCTCTTATTGTTTTGCACTTTTTTGACTCATGGAAGCCAAATTAAGAAAAGTTCCAGGCGTCTGTTTTCTTTCAACTTTCTTTGCATCTGAAGTTTAAAACTTCAAAGCTTTAATAAGCTATAATTACGCCTCTGTTGTCCTTCTGGTTTACTAAAGCTGCCAGTAGAAACATGCATCCAGACCCTGATCTAGTCAGATTGACCCCCACCCTCCACCCCGCTGCAGCAGCAAATTAAACAGCTTTTGTCCAGGAGCCATCCAGAAGTTTCTGTACAGTGTCAGTGTTTAGTTTCTGCACCGCTGTCAGACTCAACAATCAAAAGCAGGTTGTTTAAAAGAGCAGCACCTCTCAGTATAACTCACAATAACACAAGAACACAAAACCTGCTACACAGCTGAACAAGGTTATTTTGGGATGGCGTCTCATATTTACGCCCATTTTCCTCCCTTTTTTCAAATGATCTTTTGTTTTCTTTCTTAAAACATGAAACAAAGTTCTCATTTAACTCGTAACACACATGAACACTCCCAGGTGTCGTTTCCTACCTTGGCAGCCACAATGCTGAGGCCCATGCCATTGTGCTTCTTCAGGGTTACCGTGACAACCTCCGGCTCTTTCCTCATTGGCTGTAAAAGAAGAGAGACAGGAAATGAACCTTTAAGTGTCTTCAGAGTTCACGTTAAGAGGCTCAGGAAGATCGAGTCTGTCCGCTTTGGAAAAATGGAGGAAAATGAGGAGTAAAATGAGGGAGGGAGGGATGTGAAAAGGGAGGGAAGGAATGAAGGAGGGATAAAGGGGGAAAGGGGAAGACCACGGAGGAACCTGTGGTTGATGGAATCAAGTCAAGAATGAAAACCACATCACGACTACCCACACACATGTATATACACAAATACACACTATACACACACCAGGGCTCATTTAGGCAGGGCTGGGCAACTTAGTGGGTAGAAAGAGAACTGCCGAGTTCCCACGTCATGAAAACACTGATGAAGGATAACAAACAAATTCATGTCAGACGTCTAGAAAAGCATGTTGGGATCGTATTACGTCTTTCTGAGCAGAGGTGGTGAGATTTATCAAACCAAAGTTGATAAAAATTAAGAGCAAATAACCCTGATTCTTCATTTAAAGACAAAATAGTCCCACAATTGGGCAAATAAAGCAGATTAGAGAAAATTATTATATGGATCAGCCATCTTATAAAACATTGTATTCATACACAACCTAATCACTGCGTACATAAACTTCCTATAAAAGTTGCTCATGCCATTAATTTCTACGTTAAAAAATCTTATTTCACTTCTTTGCTTGCCAACAACAACAACAAACAGAAGAACATCTAAATGGTTTAATCACAATCACCAGGTTGGACCGACGCATCAAACCCAGACACAGAAAAACCAGGTCCAATAATCTGACTGGACACTAAACATGACAGGAAGTCAGAAACTACATCGCTCTGAGTCTCAGTCACCTACAAAAGATCGAACTTCCTTTCTAACATTCATGCAGCTTTTTATAAACAGATAAAGGATTAACTTTTATGTAGAGAACATCTACATAATGCAATCAGCTGATAATGTAATCAGTGAGAAATCCTAATAAACACAGGGAGGCAATAAAAAAGAACGGTACGATGAGCCGGTTGACTTTAAAAAGGAGAAATGTCCTGTTACTTAAAAAAAAGAGAAGTCTTCTGGGGTTTACTTTAGTGGAAGATTGTTCAAGTATCACATAATTGCATAACCTGAATGGGGTCAAACAAAAGATTATTGCACTGAGGTCAGCTAAATCGCACTACACACAGGTGAAAGCTGTGGTTTCTGAAGCCTAGGTTCCTTAACCTAATTAAGGTCCACTAAGGAGTCTGAGAAGATTTCTAGGAATTAAATGAAAGATAATAAATGACATAAGTCATTGGTGTAAAAATCTCTGGTGAATCCGGCCTCAGTGGTACACTACAGGCATGAGAGACGCCTGCGTTGTGTCGAGACTGCAGAGACAAACAGCAATTACAGGGAAAGTGGTGTGTGTGTGTGTGTGTGTGTGCGTGCGTGTGTGTGTGTGTGTGATGAAAAGAAGTCTATTATTACTGCTCCACGCTCACCAACTTCTCCACTGTGATTGGTGTTGATTAAATTGTGTGTGCACATGTTTGTCGGTGAGTGTCTCCTGAAAAGTAAATAGCTTCCACTTTAGTCACTGTAATTATGCCCTTACGCTGGGAGACCACACACACACACACACACACACACACACACACACACACACACACACACACACACACACACACACACACACACACACACACACACACACACACACACACACACACACACACACACACACACACACACACACACACACACACAACTTCCATGTTTTCGCACCTCTAAAAATAGTCAAACTATGTCAGTCTAATCTTCTGCAGCTTGATTTCTCTTCAGGAATTTTACCTTTTTAAGAAATTCTCATGTTTTTATGTCTGTGTGTCATGACTACTGGAAATCCTGGATAATCCAGTAAATCCGGAGTAACTGTCATCTGTTTTTCAGTGTGGTGAAGACATGAGCAGATTGAAATTTTGTAGAAAGTCACAGAAACCAACAATTTCTACGGAATCCCTGCAAACTCTGAACTTACAGCTAATGTCACTTGAAATATTGTAGATTTTTTTAAAACATTGTTTCTTATATATCTGAATAACAAACCTGGAATTTAGAGTTTTCCCACATTATTACTTCCAATGAACATTTCCTCGGCCCACTGTCATTAACCATCTACATGCTCCCTCTGGGTACTATCCTAACAAACCCTGGGATTAAACACCACCTTTACGCAGACGATTGTCAACAATAGAGCTCCGGGAGTTGACGTCACTTCTCCCGGCATGCAACAGTTCAAATCGAAACGGCGCCATATTGGCATGCAGAAACCGGCAGCTGGACTATTTACTATTGTCAGAAAACTCAATCAAACGGGAAATATGGTAGATTCCTGTTGTGCCCCAGGATGCAGAACAGACGCGGACGACATAAGGAATGAGACATCTACAGGATTCCCCAAGATCCGGAGCGCCGCAAACGTTGGATCATTGTAATAAAACACGCTAGTGACCGGGCTAAAATGAAGCTGTGGGATCCCGAGAGTAAAGGTTTTCGCTTATGCAGCGACCACTTCATATCAGGTACTTAAACCAACGTTTCCTCAACTGTGTATGGTATTTATTTTAAATGCTTTTATTATGATTCTTAGTGGGCTTCCTAAACTTATTTTGGCGTGGCTTTTTCTGTCTTATTACTCATAGCAGCAAGTAAACATCACGTAAAACGTTGCCTCGTGAGTTCTGCGTGCTGCCGTTTACGTGTTTTATGATGACAGCAATTAACCGGCTAAGCCGTATTTAATTTTTAAGCAATGGTTGATCAGATCACACATAAAAAGCACTTTGGATTGCTATTATCTGTGTCACCGAGACTACTTACATGTAAATCTGTTATTTGTCCGTCCATCCATCCATTTTCATCCGCGTATCCGGAGTCGGGTTGCTGGGGCAGTAGCGTGACTTCCCTCTCCCCAGCCGCCGGAGCCAGCTCCTCCGGGTAAATCCCAAGGGGTTCCCCGGTCAGGTCCGGTGCTGTGCCGGTCCGCTCCGACAGCTTCTGGCGTCGGAGCGGGCAGTAGAGTCGAGAGTCCCAGACCTTCTCCCCAGCTCCTCCGGCCGGGGGAATCCCAAGGGGTTTCCCCGGCCAGGTCCGGTGTTGTGCCGGTAAGAAGTCCGCTATGACAGCTTCTGGCGTTTTTAAAAAGTATCCCAGGGGCACGGTAAGGGTCGGAGATGTTTAGTCTATTTAATTTCTGACTATATAAAACGATTTCTTCTGTTTTAAAGTGTGAAGTAAACTCCGACGAAGTAAAATCCAAGCGGATCCCGTTCATGTTCATGGTTACATCCGTGTTTGTTTACCTTTTTTGCATGCCAAAATGGCGTCCACTAACTGAGAGTCACGTGGGGTCCGGAGCTCTATACCTTTCCCTTAACTCCTATACCTCGTCAATCAAATTGCATGACTGCCTACTAGAGGGTCCAGAAGCAGCTGGACTCTAATTTTCTCTAACTTAATCACAACAAAACTGAATAAATTATTTTTTATCCAAAAACTCCACCTTGCCTCGGCACATACAACTACCACCGACTATTTCTCTTACCAACTGTGTCACCAGCCTCTGCGTGAAACTTGACTCTGATTTGACAATGTCGCCACAGGTCAATATTGTAGGTCGATTATGCTTCTATAATCCTCGTCGCATCTCCAGACTCAAGCCGATCCTAAAGAGACCGCATCTTGAGTCGGTGATCTACGCCTTCATAACATCCCGCAATGACTACGTCAACTCCATCCTAGTTGGCATTAATGACTGCCACCTAAGACAGCTACAATGAGTCCAGAACGCTGCTGCTCATTTTCTAACTGGCTCTAATCGTCACTGTCATATCACTCCTATTCTGGTCCGGCTACACTGGATCCCTGTACACTTTTGTATCATGTTCAAGATCTTAACATAAACCTTTAACGCACACAACGGTTCGAAGCCATCATACATCCGTGATCTGCTGACTCAATACACTCTGCCGTGGCCCCTTCGTTCTGCTGCCCTGATCTCCTGGTCGCTCCAAAAACATCATACAAAGCACGTGGTGAACGGGCTTTTTACGAAGTTGCACCAAAACTTTGGAAAGCCCTACAACCTCACATTCGGGCTTATTGGTTGACTTCAAATCATGCTTAAAATTTTTTCACTTTAGCAAAGCCTTCTGCGCATGACCCTGAAACAAACTCTCCGCATCACTCACTAATCTCTGACTGCTCTCACCTCAGCCGACGACTTAATTGCTTGTTTTTATCTTATTTTTATCTCGAAATGGAAGTTTTATATTGTTTTGTTAATATGTCCACTGATTTTGTTTTAAATGTATCAGCTGCTGCTAGGTTCTTGTTTTCTTTATCTATGATTTGTACAGAATGGGCCCTTTTTACTTCCAACTTGTTACACTTTTCCATCTCTCTTATCTATTTAGTAGAGTGGCTCAATACTGGGTTTTTTTTGGCCTTTGGCCCTCCTGTACAGCACTTTGGACAGCTGAAACGATGTGTTTTAAATGTGCTTTATAAATAAATGATGGATGAATGGATGGATGATGGCTCTAATCAAGTAATTATTTAGCATTATTAATCATTTATTAATTATAACCCTTTTTTCCTGATGTGAGGTTAAGAGGTAAAAAAATGGCTACTGAACAACTAGGGAACATAATTAATGATTTGTGGCATAAAATAAATTCAAACGAATCTATGTTTGATGATTATCTGTTATGTGCCGATTGTATAAAAGGTTTTCCACTAACAGCTCCATGGAAATCACCTTGTTGATGTCAAAATATTAGGGAATTAGGCCGTTTCTGATTAACGGTTTGTGGGTTTTAGATGAATAATTCAGTCTCCTCAGCATCTCTGTGTTTTACCCAGGATACCGTGCTTTAACACAAATGTGTAGCTGTGAGCTGTCGTACCATTTCAGAGGTGTCAGCAGCAGAGAAGTGGTTGTCGTTATCAGCTCCTTCAAAGTGGACGGTCCAGGTACCGGGCGAACGTGGATGTGGTACTAACCTGCAGAAACCTGTCGGAGAAAACACACAAACAGCATCATCAAAAGCACGTTCTCACACACGTGTGCACTGATTTCCTTTTTAAATGAGTTTTAATGATTCATGTTAACAGTTGGATTAAAAATTTTGGCAAAAAGAAAATTTAATTCTTCAGAAACAGCTTTAAAATCTGGGTTTTGGTGATAATTTTTGAGTATTTACTATTTTTGTCCTTTTTAGTTGTAGAGCATGGTAAAAGAGTTAAAATAAAACAGATGTATTTATTCCAAATCATAATTATATAAGTTAATAATGTATAAATAAATGTTATATTAATTGATTCTGCATCTAATTGTTGACTACCTCTCTGCAGTAGCGGCTCCAGGAAGTCCTGCAGGCCGTTGGGGAGGTTTCGCACCACATCACAGGAGTAGCCATCCTCAGGGAGGAGGAAGGGCAGCTGGAGGTCTGGATCCTCCTCCAGCTGCACCTCCCTGCCGTCACTCCTCGCCAGCTCGTCAGCTGTGTTTTCAGCCACTGCCACCACATGGTCAATCAGCTCCTACGCACACAAATCACAACAGATCAAGCCAAAAAATAATAGCAAATGATGTTTTTTTTCCCCAGTGCATGTGTTTGCTTATCTTACAGGCGGGATGTAGGGCTCGTCTGGAGCACAGTGATAGTTGTTCATGAGGGCATGAAGCTGCAGGGAGTTGAGCTTGAAGCAGGTGTTGTGGATGTTCTGCACATCCTGCATGGAGTATTTATCCATCGTCAGCAGGGTGGTGGCCTGGGAGGGACGCAGAAAACAGCCACACGTTCAAACAAACCACATCTACTGATGTATTCTGCAGGTGTTAAAACAAATTCTGGGTTTTATTTGTTATTTTTTTAAATGTGACATCCTTTATCCTAAAATCTTTAATGAGATCACTATAAAAATTCAGACCCAGTTTACATCATTTGCAGCAAGTTATCAAACCTTTCATTTAAAGATGAGAACTCATGATACTACATTTTTTTGCTTTATTTCAATTTTTGATTACAATTGAACCAAGATGGTACATCTGAAGCCTTTTGTTTCTTTAGAGTTAGTTTTCCTCCGAAATTAATATTTTTCTCTGTTTATATATAAATATTGAATATGCAGGAGACAGAATTCCCTGTGAAACATCAACACAAACAATAGTTTAGACCAAAGAGAAAACAGCTGATTAAACCTGAGCCTTGGACTTTCTCAGTGCAGACAGCTTTCTATGGTCTTACCTGCACGATGCGACTCAGATGGCAGTCCGCAGCAAGCTCCAGGCCTTGTTTCTCAGCCCAGGCCTCAATGTGGCTGAGCTGCTGCCGAAGTATGGCCCCCCAGTAGTGACAGCACAGCCCCGAATCACTATCCGTCACCAGCTTGTTGAACAGCCACATATTGATGAAGTGGAAGAGCTGCGAGAAGAGCTGGATGGTCAAAGCGGCGTTGACTCTGCAGCGGCGCAGTAGCGACATGGCGCCGGTCAGTGTGTGCAGGACGTCCTCTGGAAGAACAAGCTGGAACATGAGAACTACTCTTCCTACAAGTAAAACACAACCCTGAGGCTGCAGATTTACCAACCACTGTTACCGAGTCGTGCATCACTTAGAGGTGGGTGTGGTTAAATCATGAAGTGTTACGTTTAGACAGAGATCACAGGAATGTCACATTTTTTTCTGTCAGGAATAAACTGTTCCCACCCGGAGAATTTCGATGCAACACACACTAAGCCTGATCTTTTCATGCGTAGTGATGACACGGGTTCATGAAAAGTTCCTGCTAGTGATGTTTATCTGTTGATTGTGTCTAGTTATGTTCTGTAAACATGACTTTATTGTGACTTTACACTAATATGTAACAATAGATTAGGATTACTAGTAGGGTTGGGCAATTTGTATAATTTTCCCACCGCCGATCGTCAGTCCAATAAATGACGATGGGCGATTAATTCATCCCATCACCCAACCCTAATTCCTAGCACCGTTTTAAGGCTAAAGATTAATTGATACTTCTCCGTCAGCTCCACAAGGCAGAGACACACACGTACGAACAGAGAGGTTTGCTCTCTGACTTCTCCGTCTCCAGGGAAGTGTTGCAAAGCAATTCCCCGCCAGGAAAACAGAGGGCGTAGTGCTGTTCTGTGGTATCCTGTCATGTATCCAGTCCAAGACAGTGCATTTACTATTGTGTTTATATTGTGTCTTTGTATTTAAGAGACTTTTTAACATGGACAAATTTGTCCCTCATTCTCCTCCACCTCTTCATGCGCTCGCCCCCTCTAAACCCACGTTTCCCAGCATTTCCGTCCACGAATAAAACGCTTGCTGCGTTTTCACTTCTCCAGTCATGGGTGAAAAAAACGTTCATATTTTTAGAGTTTTTCCGCTAGGTTTTCTTCAAGCTACTCCGTGTCTGCTGCTAGATGGCTACGGCTCTCTGTGTTTTTAAGGGCGCAATGGCAGTGCTGTTGATGACGGCGGTGTCCTGACCAATCACAAGCTTGCGTTCTCCGGACGGATGTTTAGAAAAGAGAGCTCGACTTCGAACGTCCTTGCGAGCCTGCTGGAGAACCCTTGAAAGGACGGATAATGGCATTGGCGTGCGTCCGTCCTGATGCAGACGGAGAAGCATAAATTAAGATTCAGTGTCTTTTTTTTTTTTTTTTACCGATCTTTGGTCTCTGTGGATTGTGCTCCTCTGGGTCATCCAGGAAGGCAGGCATGTAGTTGTTCAGATCAGCCTGCAGACAGTGGACCAGGTACCTGCAGCCACACATTACGGCTCATTAACACCCCAAAAACTCACAATCTGATTTAATCTTAAGAAAATATCTGATATTTTATTTTAGGTCAAATATTTATTTTGACATAAAGGACTGACTTGAAGGCCATCTGGACGAGGTGAGCAAGGATATCCTGAGCGTCCAGCGTGATGCGACTCAGGTCTCTGTCCTGCTTGATGAAGTTAAGCAGCTCAGAGGCGTTGGCCATCCAGAAAGCCAGTGCTCCTGCGATGTTCTTCTGCTTCTGTAATGTACCATTCACGCATACGGAGACAAAACAAAAAAAGAAAAAATACAGAGGAAGCTGTTAGAGCAGCAGGACGCAGGAAGAGACCGACAATGTTAAGAGGCAGGAGAAAGAGGGCTTTGTGTTTGAGTGGCAGCCAGAAGGATCAGCTGTTACTTTAGGGATAGATTCATGCCTCATCCACCCCTACCTCCAAGCCAAGCCCATATGGAGAAGAAGAGCGGTCATAGACGTTAGATCAATAAACACACCAAAACAAAGTTTCTTCATTTCTTCTAAGTCAAAGATTTACAGTTTTATCTAAAGGTGACCTCTCCTTTTCTCTCCCAGACACACACAAAAATCTTGTTTCTGCTTCTCCAGACACAGAACGTTCCACTCTGAGTTTACTGGGATTAAATAAGATCAAGGTTCATTCACACTGCAAGCAAAATAGAAACACCACCCAATATATATAAATAAATAAATAAATATATATATATATATATAATTAATTTTTTTATTTTTATTATTTCACTTTTCAGTTATGTTAAATTACTTCAGTCACAGAAGACGACACAGTTAAAAGTAAAGTGACTCACAGCAATAGAAACCAGTTCACTGAACTTATTAAAAGCCGTTTTTCATTTGTTTATTGAGTTTAAAATATCACCAAATGGCTGTTTTAGGCGTATTTCAGGTTGTTTTATGTGGTGCTTTTTTTTGTTGCTTTTTAAAATAATGTCAGAGCAATACACCCCAGTCTGCATTTGTATTTCCTCTTTATTAAGGCCTTAACGGGACACCACTGAGAACTACCGCCACAATTTCCAGCTCAAAACATCCCGGACGAGCCCCCAATTTATGTTGATGCCTGGCTTATTGGGCAGCAACATGAAATGCAATAGCAATAAAAAAAACTATTTGTTAAAATAAATAAATATAAATAAAAAAAACACACACCTATCAGTAAATTAAATTAAATATATTGCTGGTTGCTTGCAGAGTGAACAAAAATGTGTAACACAAATCAAATCATTTTTCAGAGCTCAGTGTCTGAGGAGCTAACTGGCCAACAGCGCACTGTTCTGAGAGGAAAATGCAAAGTTCCCCCACGCTCATCTATACCCACCTTAATAAATAAAAAAACAAAAATCAAACAGAGCCTAAACCCTTCATTCAAAAAAGCCAGAGAATGCGAGTGCATCCAAAACAAAAACACATTCAGGACACATTTAAAACACAGATGGATAAACATGTTGAAAATCCAAACCGACAAATAAAGCAGAGGAGGTGAAGGAGGTAAGAGGTGACTTGTCTCTCATCCACACGGTCGAGAAGCAAGACATGATGCCAAACAAACACACAGACGCCAGAAATAAAGATGGAGCAACAATGCTTTGGCCTATCTGGTTTTGTTTTTAGTATCAGGCAGGTCTGGGAAGCTGGATGGAATTAGTCAGGTTCATGTCGCTGTTGTTGCTTAGATTTCCAGCTGTGAACAGGACGTTTGTTTTGTTACGGCTTTTAACATTTCTGTTAGGATGGAGGAACGAAAAGAAGCAGCAGCAACAATGACGGGCTGGTCACAGAAATAAAAAAGCAAAGAGAGAGAGGAGTGATGAAGTTGGGCGATGTGATTTTAACAAAGATTTGTGGTTTTGGTAAACTTTGTTTTAAGCAAACAGGAAACCCCATCCCTTTAACTAACAAATTATAAAGCACATTATTATTTTTATTTACTGCATTAGAATAATCCAAATGAAAATTATCTTATTTTAAAATCTGGTTTAATGTTACATGTTTAGATGTGATGCTAAACAAAAACTTCAAGTTACAAGTTTTAATATTGAGCCGTAATTCTCCTAAATAATACAAGTCGCTCTATATTTAGTTTACAGCCATTTATTTGTTTGCAACAAGCTAATCCTAGAATCAAGTGCTGAAAAAACGAAAACAGATACATGATCTTGTAGAATGGTTTAGGATTAAAAACTTAACTTTTGCTTCTATGCAAAAAGACGAGTGTCTGGCTGAATTTACTCGCATCGCCCAACCCAGAGAGAGAGTATAGCAAAGGTGAGAGGTCAAAGAGCCTTTAGCAGCCATGTCAGGGTGTGCTGTTGTACTGTCCTACCTGATCCCCTTCAGGAATCTCCTGGGTGGAAGGAAGAGGAAGAGGAAGAGGAGGAGGAGGAGGAGGACACGTTTACAGGACAGAGAGAAAACACGTCAACAGCTACAGTATGGACACAGTATGTAAACACACAGCTACAGACACGCTGGCTCACACACAATGTGATCCTGAACACGTTCATGAACGGAGATGTGAACTGAAACACAACTGGAAACATCTGGAAAACACCACAGGTACCTGGAAAGTTTTATCCAAGTGCAACTTGCACTTCCAGAGAGTAACAATGTCCTGTATTACATCATCACCTAACTAAAAATATACATCAAAACCTGCAAAGTAAAACTCTTTTCTGTGTGACATGTAGTACGTGCTCTTAAAGGGTCACGTGATGCACGAACTGAGCTCTGAGACTCCTCATGGGACTTCAGTGTGAACAGTCTACACCCCTGATGTGCTAGCGCTACAGTATTTAAGTTCGTTTGAGCTTCTTGCCTTTTCTGATGCAAAATCAGTCACAATTCAATGAGTCGCAAATCAAACAAAACCTGATTTACAGCGAGGTTGCTGTGGAAAACCTCCACTTTGCTGATCAAGGACCACATATAAAAGGGATATCAGACATGAGTGAAATATGGACAAAGAAGTTAGAGTTGGACCATGCATGTCTTTCCGAGTGTGATCGGAGCCTCAGTAGAGTTGTGGGTTTTGTTAAGTCAAGCTGCAGAAATAAACCACAGCAAATCCCTTAGGTAGAACCACCCTTTGCTGTCTTTAAAGAGTCAGTTTTGTTTCCTGTGACATAAAAATATAAACATAAAACACAAATTTGAAGACGAGGACGCCAGGGTACAATTTATTGACAACTACAAAGAAACAAATCTAACCAAATTCCTGGTTAGGAATATAAATGCTTTTTAAAGAATCTTTTATAGGATGTGTCTGTAGCCCTTTTTACAAGACACACCGTGGCGGCAAAGCCGCGTAACATTGCCATAAAGGTGCGTCTCATAAACGTGCCGTGACGGCATGGCGATGCGCAAAGTTTGCGGCATTCATTCCGCCTAGCTTGGTAGTAATATTGCGGTAATTGTCTGTCTTATAAACGGCGATTGTGCCTTGGCACAACAGAGGGAGGTGTCATGGTGACATGAAGAGTTACTGCTGAGCTCCGGCCGGCAACTATATTAAGAAAGAAACTAAACACGGTTTTGCTTTTGGAACAAAATCAGCTGACATGGCAAACTGGAGCAATGCAGCGTTCCTGAAGCTTTTCTTCATTAGAGCTGGAGCTCAGATCACTAGAGGCTGCACAGGGACTGTGGAGGTCAGACACTTTTAGGAGCGGCTTGTCAAAATAACTCATTGAGTGCAGCTTCGATTGCAATAAAAAGCAAGTTATGTCCAAGATAAACGGAAGTCTGCGGCAGAGCAGAGACCGCCCCCATGCCCCCTCTATGCCGCCATCGCTTAATGTCTTGTGAAGAGCACACGACTGCGCCACATTACCGCCACAGTCTGACCACTTATAAAGGACCCAAGGCTCCCTGATGCCAGCGCGGCGCTGCGGCAAATAGACGTCATTGTTTTGTAAAAACGGCTTGTGTGTCTGAAAAGTTTCTATCAGTTCAAACACAAACCAAACAAAATTAGGAGCAACACAATATCTTTGTGCAGAACTAATAAATGTGCTTCCTACACTCTGAGTAGACCAAGTTATAATACCTGAATATAAAAACAGTGAATCTTTTAACATATTTATCCAGTTCTTTGGATAAAACTTTCATTAACTTGTGGAGTCCCAGCAGGGCACACGGATGTAACCAAAGCATTTTTGTTCCAACACTGAAAAAGAGACTTATCAAAACGCAGAATTCCAAAAATGCTCTAGAATCTTCCGGATGGTTTCCTGGTTTGGTTTGATATCTGAATCCATTTCAGGATTATTAAAAATGCAGACATGGAGCAGGAACTCTGCCAAGGTTTTTATCTGAAGGTGTTCAGATTCCACAGCAGCAAAAGGAATTTCTCTCAAATCTCTCAATAAATATTTCAACATGGAGACCAAATTAGATCTTCTTAAAGCTGACAGCGCGCGTGCGTGTGTGTGTGTGTGTGTGTGTGTGTGTGTGTGTGTGTGTGTGTGTGTGTGTGTGTGTGTGCATGTGTGTTTTCTCTCATAACTTCACTACTTGCAAAAGGTAGGCTGTCTGAGTTAAATAAATAAAAGTATGTCGCATTAAGACACCAACATGGATGAATTCTCACACGTGGAGGATTCTAAAGAGATCTGTGTTTCTTTGTTTTCAGGTTCTCTGCTTCATATTTATTTAATGATTTAACACTGATGAGTAAAATACAAAACTACAAGCATGGAGGAGGCACCCGTGGGACAAAAACAAGCTGCAGAGGCAAACATGTGCAAACGCACCTTACAACTACTGATGTAGTTAGTAAGGGTCCAGTTAGTGTGGAACAATAAAGAACACCCAGAATTCAGCGATCTCAGAAGAAAAGGAAACTTCGAATGACTCCGCAGCCTCACTCACCTGGATGACTCCTTCCATCATGTTTACCATCTTGTTGACGATGGCGATGACTTTGTGCGTCCGCTCCGATGGCGACATGTCTGGACGGTAAGTGGGTGACAGGACGTAGCGGCAGGCCATGTAGAGGACGTAGGTTGGTGAGAGCTTGAAGTGGACTGTGGAGCTGTTTGTGTAGTTGATGATGGCCGACAGGAAGGTGTCTTCAGCTGAACGACACACAAGATTCACGCCGTTAGAGCCAGTCCCACTTTAGCTCTGCAGTGATGGTGCAGAAGCTGGCAGCAGATGACAGAGAGCCTTCAGTTTCAGCTTAGTTTGCTTTGTAAAGCGAATGCAGACAAACTGGCTGCAGCTGATCATCTGAGGCCACTTTCATGGTTTCAAAGTTGCACGTGCATCACTGTACTCTTAACAGTTCCTTGGTGCATATGGTTCTCTCAGTGCATTGTGGGTAAGCAACCAACCCAACCCTCCTCTGTGTAGAATAACAGATGAGCTCATGCTTTGCCAAATATACAGATCACTTTGTGCACAAAAAGGCTAGAGGAAAGTCAACAAACATGAAGACAAAGCAAACAGCTAAAAGAGCTCAGAAGACTGTGGGAAACATCAGGTATCACAAAGAACTACTTCTCATAAAGCTTGGAGCTCAATTATGTTCAATTTAACAACTAAAACTTACATTTTGGGTTATTCAAATATACGTTTGAGCTACAGCGATGTGCAAAAGTTTTACATCACACCCATGGACGTAATTTTTTGGGGGTGGGTGGGGGTGGGGGGGGGTCATGTCCCCCCCACTTTTTCCAAAGTCAAGTTTTGCCCCCTGCAATTTTTACCATCCAAAAACAACATTACGCTATATTAAATTGACACTGGTTGAGCTCTAGGACCAAGCGGAAAACAACCGTTTGTTTTGAAGCCGGTTTCCCATTAGAGCATACTGTAAAGATACCCCCCCCCCCGTGCCCCCCCCCCCCCCCCCCCCCACTTCTAAGGTGAAAATTACGTCCATGATCACACCTCATTTCTTCATTCTTTCTTGTTCTCATTTAAAGTGGTCTAGATGAATAATTCCTTAAACTTTCTGAAAGTCTTTTAAAGTTGTTTTATGACAGCTCATGTTTCAGTGAGTGTTCATAAAAACATTTAAAACAGATGAACATCTGAAAGTCCAAAGAAAGAACGATAATTGATGCTTCAGTTGATAAAGGTTTTCAGCTAATAGCCATTATTACAAAAACTATTTTCTGTGTCAAACTTAATTACTATTACCGTTTTTTTTTTACTTTACATATTTGGACTACTAATTGTTTCAATATACTTGTTTTTGTGTCTAACTTAGACAGGAGTTAGCGGAGACAGGAGCACGACAGTTAAGTCCTCTCAAGCCGGTTTCTTCTAAAGAACATTTCAAAGGACCTGAGTGTCCACAAGCATAGCTGAATACAATATAATGCATGTGTGATTAGTATGCACCTGAGTGCAATGACATTCACATGGTAAATAAAAATTACATTTGATTTCTAAAGTTTTAGTTAGTTTCTGTAACCTGGTGTCTAAATGACCCGTAGACCAGTACCGCTGTGCTCTAAACTGGTCACATTCACTAAATGTGACCCAGAAGAGTCAAAAAGAGTTCATCACTAAATAAATAAAAGTCTGATGAATAGAAGTCTTTTCTAGGTTACCGACATTAACACATCTGTCATGTCAGCCTGTGGCTGGAAAGCATTCAATAGTTTCCAGTTATTGACCGCGCGAGGAGGCAGAAACACTCACAGTTGTCTCTGAACTCGATGCCAGCGGGAAGAGTCAGCTCGGTTCTGTCTGCTGAACTGTCCTGAGACCTGATGGGAAATAAAACACTATGAGGAGGGGAGAGGACTCGTTAAAAGTGTGAGAGGGGGGGGGGGGGGGGGGGGGGGGGGTGGTCTCTAACCTGCTGTCTTGCTGCTCCCCTCTGATCATCGGTTTGACCATTCCTCGCTCCATATCCAGCTTTCCTGAACTCTGAATACACAGAAGATAAAATCTGAATAAAGTTTTTAAACGCTCAAAGATCCTTTAAAGGAATTAAAATCAAAAAGAAAACAACACTTTGTTTTGGAATAAAGACAGTCCTAAAAAAGACAGCACAGCTTTTAAAGTGTAGGTTTAATTATAGATTTCTTAAAAAACAAAAATATACCATAAATGTACTTCTGTGGAAAAAACTGTATGTTTCTTTAATTTATAAAATTAACCAGCTGATTATTGTGACAAATATTATAATAGTATTACAATACTACAGATGTAAAAATCACACATTAACATTTTTCCTGACATACCTCCTCACGATCTTGGGAAATAAATGAATACTTAATGACCATTATTTAAAAATCAACTTTGCAGAATTCAATTCCTAATACATAAAAACTGCACTATAAATAAGGAATTTAAACTCTGTGACCGAAAAAATATATTAATAACAAATGTTTACTGTGATGTAAATCAAATATCTTATATCTAACCTGGGTAGCAAAAACAAGAAAACAACCCTGCAGATTTATCAGTGCAGCTCAGAATAAAAAGTCATTAATTCAGAACAAACATGAATCTGTCACCTTGCTGGTAGGCAGAGCCGCTCCACCGTGGACGTCCCCGTGAAGGTCGGAGGTGGTTTCTGGTATGCTGCTGCAGAAGACACAAACACAGACAAAGACATGAGCTCAAAATTTATACAAAAAAAAAACACACACGCACAGAAACAACTCAGGGTAAGGAAGGAGAGAGCTGCATCAGCCTCAGTAAATAAATGACTCACTAATAGGTGCAGGCCAACATTTTGCTACACACATACACACACACGCACACGCACACACACACACACACACACACACACACACGTTTAATTAGACAGAAGGACAAAAATTCACCAAGCATTTTTCCCACTTTGCAGCCAATTAAACATTTATTTTCCATCTATTTGATTCTTTTATTTGCACATTATGTTTACCATTAATGTTTTCTCTAATGTGTAAAAATAATCTAGTTTTCATCTGGTGTCCAGAACCCTGAGTTGTTAACAACAGGAAGGTGATTTCTTTCATATGATTTATTCCAGGTCATCCTGGGACTAAGCCACAGTCGCAGTGTGATTTAATTTTGTCCTAATTTGTACAAAGTTCCCCTCATTAACTTACAAACCCCTCCAAAGTTTTCATTTTCTCAGCTTTTAGTCTCAGGGGCGGTGCCTCGTTCTGCTTATGTATTCGCACCTCCCGTGCCGGGGACTGGAAGGTCTTTCATTGATTTTTTTTTTTTGCATCTGTCGGGTTGCTCCCGGTGGCTTCCTGGTGGGGTCGTGGTCTTGTCAGGTCCTCGCCAGGGTTGGACGCCCTTGGGTTCCGGGCCACTGGGCCTGGGGGCTTGCCATTCTCATCTCCCAGGGCTCTGGCATGGCTACTAGTTACGCAGTTAAGTTTTTACCGTGTGCTTTTAAGTAAAAATTGTTACTGTTGTATATCCTTATGTTGTGGGCGCAGTGGTGTTTTGGTTTTGTTGTATTTTTGTGTATCCCCTTTTCTGCCTCTCTTTCTGCAGGTCTAGAAGCACATTCTTGTTCATCATTTTTTTATTAGCGACATTTTGGAAACTTGTTTGAAAAAGCTGTTCTCAAACGGTTGCAGCTTTAAACCCTAAACCTGATGCTCCAAGTTCTGCGTTTCTTTTAACATTTTGTTGTCGCTTAATTTATACCAACTTTCTCAGATATTTCACCAGATGTTTTCATCCGCTGGACAGAAGAAGGCACATTACTAAACCTGAATTAAATAAAGCAGTTTTAGTACATTTACAGTTTTAGAAAAGCTGATACATTTAGCATTTTGTTTTAAGTCATTCGTGTTGTCTCCAGAGCAAATATGAAACTAGTTATTTATTGAATACAACCAGTAATAGCTGCAGATTGAGCTTTACTCCAGACTTATTTAACCGACAAATGCTAAATACTGATGACAGCCCTTGTCTAAGTTAAGAGGCACCAGATTAAAGATCCAAACACTCGGTCACTACAAGACTGTCCGTTCAATGGCCAAAACATCCTTAAAAAGCTGCCAAACTGTGGCTGTAATCAGACTTAACGTCCCGACAGAACCCCAGTTTGACTGAAGAAGGTATCTGTGCGAGTCTGGACACAAGCCCAGAAAACCACAGGGATCCACACATCCAGCTCTTCAGAAGCTCTCCAGACAGACTCTCAGCTGCAGCTGATAAAACTCAGACATTCGGAGACTAGACTCTTTCAGCTCGTCTGAAAAACGAGGAAAACTGCAGGGATCAAGGAGAGTGCGAGCAGCTTGGAAATAATCTGGCCTTAATTGTAAATGTAGTGATCTTAAGCAGAAGCAGCAGTTGTTTGTTCATCTGATTATGAAAGGGATGTACAACAATGTGGTTGTCAAAATCTTTCTGTGGTAACTCAAGCAAACCAACTGGCAAAAAAATAGTTTAGAAAGATAAACGATTTCCCTGTCTTTCATTTCAGGATACCTGCGTTTATTTTAGGTGCTAAAAATAAAACTCGTACCTAACCTGCCAGCTGCACAAAAACTCAACACTTGTGGGGGTTTTTTAGCACCGTGTTCTTTGAAACGCCTTCTTCTGAACAAATATCTGAGTCATAATCAAGTTCACTTCAACTTTTTTTGTTGAAAACTGAGGTGAGGAAATATGCAGCTGATAATTCTTCCCAGGTGTGTCAACTCTACATCCCATTTAATAGCGCTCGACTTCTAACTGAAGGAAAGCAGAAACAAAAAGAGCTTCTGAAATTCATTTGCACGTTGAAATAAGGCAGCCCGTAATATACTGAAACACGGATGTTATAGGATGCAAACATGACTTCATGTAGGCCATTAGACTCTGCACAAAGTGTATGGAAAATAAATACCTAGTAGCTCGTACTTTTAGTCGTCCGCCAGAACTAAACACTGAAACCAGTTGATAGTTAAATGACCTTTGATGTTCCCTTCAGTCCGGCTCCAGGCCTGTAAAGCCGTGAGGAAGCACAACTCAGATTATTTTTAACCGTTTCTCCCGTTCCAAAGCCAGAGAAATGTCGAGCTGAATTCAGAAGACAAGAACCCTGCAGGTTTTTGCTCCAGCTCACTCACTGATTACTTCTTCCTCTCTGGCTGTAAATGTGAATCAAAACCACTATAGGAGCTTCAAACTGGAGGGTAAACATGAAGCATAACGCTGAAACTCTGGAAAGCTTTGGCCCACTTATTTATACAGCCAGGGTCACTTAAACCAATATTTTACTAAAGATTAGCAAAAGCCAAACAGATAGGCCTCTATAGAAGTGCAGCTCTCATTAGGCTGATAAAGTTAAAGTTATTAACTCAAGCACAAGCACAAAGGGATACAAGAGTGTCAGATACTTACACACTTCCTCCCACGGTCATTCATGAAGCCATTAAAAACAAATATTTCTCACCCTGAACTCATATTTTACCTTCTCGCTCTCTTGCTTCTCGTTTTACTGTGGAACTACAGCGAGCCGGAGGCCACACCCAGCAGCATGCTGATCAGATTAGAGGGCGGCCTGTTGCTGTAACCCCAGACCTCTGCTCTTCCTCTCCTCTCATTTCCTCATTCTCTCCATCCCTTCCAACCCTGCTTTACCTCCCCCACCCTTCTCAACTCCTAACCTCATCCTCTCCACCCAGTATGTACAACAGCATCCCACTCTTTTGTGTGCGCACAAAAAACTCGATACAGAAGGAGGAAAAAGAAGGAAACTGGAAAATGAAAGTGTAAAAAGAACAAACTCGTGTGTCTGAGTGTTTAAACAGACTCACCCTGATTTGTGTCGACCTCTCATCACGGCTGCCGGTTCTCTCTTCCCTCCCTGATCAAACATCGGGTCCACAAACTTAAATACGTGTGCAGTGCCGAACTGCAGTGTGGAACCTGAGCGCAGCACCGTCGTCTCGGTAACGCGCTGCCCATCCACGAAGGTGTCAGCATCAGGGCCGTGTGGCGTCACAGTCACCATACCTTCAGTGTGCATCAGGTTGCAGTGGTGGGGCAGGATCCCAGGGCCGAGCAGCTGCAAACAAACACACGCACACACACACACACTGCCTCAGCTGGAAATGTGCATGCGACCTGACGTGCCAGCTGATTTGTTAAACAGAAGCACCTGGGCGGGAAGCCAACCAAAGGAACAAGATGGAAAAAACAACAAAACAGCAGATTGTCTGAAACGCCTGTCAAGAACATCAAAACTCAGACCCAAAAAAATTTAATAAAAATACGTCAGACCTATTCAAGTCAACCAGAGCTCAGAGCTGACGGCATGTGTATAACGTGAGGGTTTAAAAGACGATTTAACTATTTCCAGCAAAAGGAGTCACTAGCCACGTTTACATGCGCATATTTAATCGGATTGAATGCCCAATCAGATCGAAAATTCTGCATGTAAACATGTCAATCGGAATATTCTGATACGATTCGGCCTGATCGGATAGAAATTTCAATCCGATTGAGAGAGGTGGTTTATTCCGTTCTTCATTCCGATTGACGTGCATGTACACAGCCATTCGGATTGTTGGGGTAAAATAATGCCCACTGCGCATGTGTGCAACAGCCAGCGGGCCTCTCCGCTGTCATTTGGACTGCCTGACTTCAAAAATGACGGCGTAATTAACGAGCGGCGGCTTTTAAATCCGACGACAAGCCGTCCCCGTTTCAGTAATATTTAATTCAGAACTTGTATTTTGTGGAAGTAAAATATAAATCTGATTATTGCACAAATCATTCGACAAACATGTTCAAATCTGTACTGGAAATACGCAGGACCCCTGTTTCTGTCAGCTTTGAACGCAGCAGCTTCTGCAGCAGGTGATGGAGACGCGCTTGTAAAGAACACAGGATAATACGGGTTTTACAGACCTGATTGGCGGCTGATGTTGGGTAGGAAAACGTCCTCGGTTAAATACTCTGGACGACAGTAAAGTCCGTGTTAAAAGCACGTAAACGCAGATGACCTGAGATGCGGTTCGTTAATGATGAACACAGGCTTCTAAACTTTCTGAACATCTTCTGTTATTTTGTTTGAGCAGATTTTTCTCAACAATTTCAGCTGATTGTCACGTTATTAATAATAAGCCACAACAGAGCTCAGTAATAAAACATGAGTCTAACCCCACCCCCCCACCCCCGCTCTGTGCCGCAGCGCAACAGCACAGCTGTCACTTCAGACCCGCGGACCAGCTGATCAAGAGGCAGAGACATAACCCTCCCTTATTTTAATCAACAATAAAATGCAGCAAAGCATATATCTGTAGTTATTCACTGAAGAAAACATAACTTCTGAGCTAAATAAAAATATTAAATTGAATAAATTGATCAGGAAAGCAGGAAGAATAGTTATTTCTGTTTTTACATTTTTCATTTCGTTTCATGGCGTTTGTTTACAATTTTTCTTTCGTGAAAGGCAACTCTGCGCATGCTCAACCTATTTAATCGGATTAAATGCTTGGTGCATACGTACGCACGGCATGATCGGATCATTTCAGTTCGTGTCCATGTGAACAGAGATTCGGACATTCCGATCAACCAAGATTTCAATCGGATTGAGGAAATTTGGCACATGTAAACGCAGCTACTGACACAATACTCACCTAAATTTAAAAACAAATAAAACACCAGTAATTAGATTACACCAATGCTCAAAGTAATTTCAAAGATTACTTTTTGGTTGTTTTCCGTCTTAAACAGAAAATATCAAAGTATTAAATCTAATTTCAAATGGTTCAAAGTCACGTGGAGCAACTATAGTCATCAGTTGTGTCAAATCTCAAATACATAAACATTTGCCTTTTGGTTGCATGAATCATTCAAATGTAAACATCCACCAATGGATATCATAAGATCAGCTAAACAACACCAAGTTTAGGACCCAAAGCTGCTGCTGATGATGGAATTAATTCAGATTTTAATTAGATTATTTTGGTGAGCAGCTGATTTACGAGGAGCTGATTACCTGGATGGCCCCATCGTCTGTGCAGTCTGAGCCCACCTCAGTGATGCTGTGCTGAAGCCGGTACAGCTTTGGTTTGTCCCGAGAGTCAGAACCATCTGGACACACACAAGTGTACGGGATCAGAAATCTATATACCACCTCGTAACCATCAGACACAAATAGAAAGAGGGTCCAGGCTGATGTTTAGGGGAGTCTGAACCGGTGAACTCAGTTACTGGTTATTAGTAAGCAGGATTAAGTCAAAGCAAAGGGTTTCATTTGTTAACTGTAGAAATAAGGAGACCAAATAACAGCTGCTCTGGGAAAATAAATAGTGAAACCTCACACTACCTTCAAAACTATTTATCAACCATTTATCATCCCCTGGTGCTGAAATCTTCACCAAAACCCGCTGGAATCAACTCAGTCAGCTAAATGACTCCTGAACCACTAGATGTTGGAGCCAGTCCATTTAAGATGGTCACCACAGCTGATCAAACTGCCCACGCCCAGGTCAGTTTAACAGATATTGAGCAAATGTTTCATATCAGATTTAGCATTTTCAAATTTAGCCTCAACTCCATCATTTAGGATTAGAGGATGGCGATTTAAAATGCTCACTGACTCCTTGTTTCATTAGTTGAACTAAAAATTAAAATATGAATATATTTTGCAGAGGGGGCGTGTTCTCTAAGTGTGACTTATACTGGGGGTGGAGGCTGCTGCACCCCGACTCCCACTAACCCAGCAGCCACAGAGACAGAGGAGGTGCGGTACATCTTTACCTTCTTGGTGCCGATAGGCGTAGTAGGCATAGTGATTCCCTCGGCCTGCAGCAGACAGGTAGGCAGGCAGGTACAGAGGCAGAAGGACACGTGCACAGGCCCCAAACACACACACATACACACCATCAGGCGCACACAACCATAACATGCCATGAGAAGGTGGGAAAGAAAACAGACACAAAGCAGAGGGTGACAATGCAGCAAGGAGGAAATATGCAGCATTAACTAGTAATCCCAAACACACTCGACCATTTCCACAGCAGAGAAATAGTCTTAAGGGTCTTTTAATTTTCAAACATCTAATGCTGAGTCTTTTACCCTAAATACAGACAGAACTTCATCAGAACAAGTTCATCTGGACTGGGCCAATTCACAACTACAGTGTTTAAAGTAAATATTAACCTTTAGTCCAATTATAATCAAACCGTTTAATATATATATATTTTAAGTTTAAAAAAATATTCTGAAGCAGGACAAGTAAACAAAAACTTCTGTGTTTGAAACGTTTCACCTTTTGCACCAAACAAGGAGGACTTGAGGAAACGAGGGCTATGTTAAATTAGCTGTATCGTAAGGCTCACGCTGCATTCTTCTAACGAAATCTAAAATAACCCTTAAAGTACAAAAATAAAACACACGTTCCCATTCAAGCGCTCACAAGCCCAGCAAACATTAGTAAAGCCTAGTAATCTACTTTCCATCCTAAATATCTGTCAGAACCGCACAGTGTTAGTATGTTCCTGTGTCGGGCCTGTTGGTCAACTAGAACCCCCTCATCAGATCCGACGGGTTTGTGGGTCACCAACAGGTCCGACAAGTTAATGATATTAGAGGATGGGGGGTCAGAGAAAGGGGTCAGTAGCCAGAAACAAGCTGTTAGGGCAGGAAGGGAAGCTTCTGCAAAAATTTCCTAAAGGGAATTTTCCACAGGAATACCTCTGGTACAATTAGGCATTCCAGGATTTCTGGTTTATTCAAACTTACCTTTAATGCAAAATGTAATCCTTGAACCTGCGGAGTATGCTTCCATTTCCTTGTTTTACCACAAATAGTTGAAAGCAAAACCTCCAAGTCAATCTCGGACTTTCAGTCAGCAAACGATGAACAGGGATTTCATTTTTCCTTAAACATATTCTACTTCTGAAAACTTCAGGGAATGAAAACGAAAGCAGGAAGTTCCTCCTTTCTGTGACAAGGAGGAACATTATTTGGATCCAGACTAAACCTGTGAAATAAATTTCTATTTCATATAATCTGTTTGGATGATTTAAATGATGCAATAAAACTAAACCTCAACACAAGTGATGTGGGACGGGTGCACTTCTACACCGCCATCTGCTGAACGACGTGTGTCGTTACAGCAAACGTCAGTAAATTCAGTTTAATCGACAGATGCTACAGCTGGTGTGTGTGTGTGTGTGTGTGTGTGTGTGTGTGTGTGTGTGTGTGTGTGTGTGTGTGTGTGTGTGTGTGTGTGTGTGTGTGTGTGTGTGGTAGTTCTACCTGGACTAAGCTCCACCAAATATGGCAGTTTCTCCGGAGGCAGTGATCCTCTGAGGCCCCTCTCGTCCATTTTCCTCCCTTTCTTCCCCTGGTAGTCAGGAGGTCTCTTCTTCAGCTGGAACACCAATGCTCCTGATACACAAAGAAATCCATAGAAAGTATTTAGAAAGTATTTAGCACCAACCTAAAAGTTCTGCAACAACAAGCAAAGATCAGCCGTTTGATTCAGTCCAATCATTCCTGTGAGCAGCTTTTGAACACATCTTGCCCTGAATGCAGCGCCGCTTTCTGCTCCTCACACGTGTTTCAGAGCAACCTCACAAAGATCATGAGTGGATTAGGCTACATATTGTGAGCAGACATTGTTTATCAGAGAAGGTAGATGGTTTAAAAACGTTCGCTTGTGTGTCTGAAGTCTGTAAACATGAGGAAGAAATGTGCAGAGTGTCATTACAAACTAAATGCACATTTCTGCTTTAACACATTACATCTGTTGGAAAATAAGGGAAAAAAAACTAACATATGTTTAACTGAAGGCTTGCCTTGCAGCAAGAAGGTTGCAGGTTTGAATCCTGGCTGCAGCTGTTCTGCATGGAGTCCAGATGTTTTCCCTTGCATGTGTAACTCCTCTAAATTTACCTTCTGACTAACTTGTCTTTGGGTGTGAGAGGGTGCATGACTGGTTGTCTCTGTATGTCCCTGTGATGGACTGGAGACATGTCCATATTATCCCCGCCTCTCACCTGATGGCTGCTGGAGGCAGACACCCAAATCGAGGTGAGAGAATTTTAACTGACTGATATAAAAAAAATCCTAATTTTTGTTTTGAACTGAAGGTTCTGGTGTTAGTGGTCAGCTGGTGAAGGCTGGTTGGTTGTGCTTAGCAGAGGTCAATTTCCTTCTATGTCCATAAAACTGTAATGACCAGACATCAGCAGAAGGAGGCAGTATCAACCAACAACAGGAAGCATGTTGTAAACTTTAACAGGTGAGTTGTGGAATTTACCTCGGTCTGTTGGCCAGTCTCTGAAGATCTGCAGCGGACACTCTAAATCATCCAGAATCGCCTCTTTGCCTGACTTTTCATCTTGCTGCAAACCGAATGAGAAAAATAACAAATCAGTCTTTCACCACTTAAACACCATTTACTTGTACTTTACCACAGACCGTCAAAAATATATACATATAGTCCACTTTCAATGACAAGGTCATTTAGATTTTTTTTTAATGCAGAAAATAATCCAAATAAGCCACAAGTGACCTGGACTTCCCTCCTTTTAACCCATCTGAGACACAATTAAGTGAAATGATGAAAGTGGAGGGTCAAGTTTGAGTTTAGTGGCGGTCCAAAAACAAAATCTTGCAAAAGTCCTTTGAATTCAATTATGGGTGGATGCTTCCTGTTTCTGCTGAAGAATCAAACTAATGTGATGAACAACCGATTTGAGCTTTTTAGCTTCGCTAAGCAGGACTGTTGGGTTTTCAGGCAGTTCTGTGGTTTTGATTAATTTGTATTTTCTGACCCAAAAAAAAAAAAAAAAAAAACTCGAAAGGAGCCAGTTGAGGTGGTTTGGGCATCTGGTCAGGATGCCTCCTGGACGCCTCCCCGGGGAGGTGTTTCGGGCATGTCCTGCCGGCAGGAGGCCACCAGGTCGACCCAGGACACGTTGGAGAGGTTACATCTCCAATCTGGTCCGGGAACGCCTTGGGGTCCTGCCGGAGGAGCTGGTGGACAAGGCCGGGGAGAGGACGGTCTGGAGCTCCCTAGTTGGGATGCTGCCCCCGCGACCCGGACCCGGACAAGCGGAGGAAGATGACGACGTATTTTCTGACTGAGGTCCTCTTTTGTACATTTGTTCTGTGTAAAACTTCATAATCCATTACATAGCTCTTTTTTTACACAGCGCACTAAAAAATAGTTGTTTACCTTGAAACTGACATGTTTGGGATAGCGACTCTAGCCATCATCGGAGCTTGCCAGTGTTAGTGCTGTCACTTCCGTTTATCCCGTTCAGTAAGCCCGCGGATCAACGGAAGTGATGCCACCAACACCGGCGAGCTCTGATGATGCTAGAGTCGCTAGCCAAAACACGCCAGTTTCAAGGTAAACAACAGTTTTTCTACATCGCTGTGGAACAATAAAAATAACAAAGTAATGGATTATGACTAAGATCTCGATTAAAAAGAGATTTGAAGGAAATGTGTTTTTCACCCGAGCGATGCAGTACTCCCGGGGGTTCTCCTTCTCCAGCCCGTATTTCTCCAGCGCCTCCACCACAGCGAAGTCAGCGGTATCCCTCGTGGAGAGGAGGATGGTCTTGTAAGGGATGTTGGGCTTCAGACTGTCGGCATAAATCCTTAAAGTGCCTCCTGCAGACAGCAAAGATCCTCATAAAACAATAATGAATTTAATTATTATGTTCAAGCAGTACCAACAACCAGTTATGGATGTCTACACAAAATTAATTCATATTAACTTAGTCAATCGTGCAGCGCTACTGTCCTCAGCCACCCTTATTTTTATTTTCTTTTTAGGTTTTAAGAAGCCAGATTTTAGGTTTTTGAAAACGTTGTGATGAATAGTTTTACAATTAAATAAAAACAAAATAGAACAGAAAGAGGACTGAACATTTTTGTGTCCATAAAATGTTTTACAAAGTATTTTTCATTTGCTATTACAGATGAGGCAAGCTCACAAAATATTCAGAATGATGCTCAAACAGTGTGTTAAAAACATGCATGGTAAACAAATCTGGAAATATATACCTATAATTGTAAATAACGTGTTATTATAATAAGGGAAAGTCATTTATCAGTGAACCGAGTGGTTTTAAATGAGCTTTTGCAGTAGCACTCTAGGAATGTCCATTCAGGCTTATTTAAAAGACAAGCTCATCCTCCTCAGGGAAATCAGATCAGGATGCGTCCAGTAAAAACTGAAGATTTTAAACAGAACTACGTGTTTTAAGTAGCCCTTTCTCTGCAGGAAAAGCGTCACTGTCTGACCACCAGCCGTCCTGAACAAAGATGGTGGTTAGAGCCAGTTCACTGGTCCATCTGTGTCTGGCAGAGCGATTAGGTAACGCCTGAGTCGTAAACCCAACCAGTCAGCATGTTTGTGTCATTCATCCTGCGTGTGCACGCGTGTGTGTAAACACGCCAGTGTGACACTTTTTAACAACATATGGCTCTTCTGGAAACCAGTTAGGATGATGTCAAATGAGGAGGGATGACAACAAACAGAAATATACTAAAAATAAAAGGTAAGTACTAATCAGTGTGTGTTTGGAGCCTTGGGTGAGGTTGTTAAAGGTGACTAACAGCAGCAGAAACCAATAACCATCAGTGCACAGCTGAATTCTGGCTTGCTTGTGGATCCTCTGAAGTCCTGCCACAGCTCATAAGGAGCAGCGGTGACCTGTGATGTTCAGGTCACTGCAGATTAGCTACACAGATCACATGAGGTCCTCTTTCAGCGATACAAAATATGTTCTAAAGCAGCTCCAGCTCTTCTTTGGCTGTACACTTAGGGCTTTAACCACAAAAACATTCATATAATCTCACTGTTACAAGGCTTTATAATCAAAACCGTTTGGAGCCCAGTTTCCCAAATTATTCAGCTGATAACAGCATGTTTCTAACAGAGAAGAGTGGTTCACTGCTTTCCTGATTATGGCTACTTCATTATGGGAGGAGATGAAATCCTAATCTAAACGATTTCTAGACTCAACTATGAAAATTAAAGTTTTGTCACTATTAAGAAATTTACTTTACAAAAACAGAACCATCACATGAAAATTACGTTTATAGTTTAGAATTTAACAAACGTGCCAGACCTTCTAGAATGTGAATTTGAAAGTGTTTAGACAATAAAGCAGCAGTTAAAGTCCCAGATTGTGTATAAACAGCTAAAAAGATGATTGTAAATATAAAAGTGTCTCTGATTTAGACATCCAGGCAGTAAAGGAGATTTGAACTTGATCTGATCAGACAGCTGAAGGAAACATCTTAGAGGTTCCTAACCTATTTCATTCATATTAATGAATCCCATTAAGCTCTAGCAAACACCAACCCTCAGCACTTAAAACTCAGCCACAGAGGTGATGATAAAGTTCTGGGATTTGGTTCTGCTCCCACAGATAAAAACCTCTTTTAGGAAACAATGCTTACAATTTTCCGCAACGCCGAGCCGGCATCAGGGAGCCTTAAGTCATTTATAAGTGGTCAGATTGTGGCGGAAATGTGGCACAATCGTCCTTTTTACGAAAGAGTACACAATGGCAGTCTCCATGCTGTGGTAGATTTCTATTTATCTTGGACTTAACTTGCTTTTAATTGCAATCAAAGCAGCGCTTGTTATGTTTTTTGACAAGCTGCTCCTAAAGGCGTCTGCCCCCACAGTCCTCGTGCAGTTTCTGGTGGTCTGAGCTCCAGCTCTAATGGAGAGGAGCTCCTGGAGCCCCGCATCCCTCTATTTTATCATCTCAGCTGGTGCGGTTTACAAAAATGAAACTTGTGCCCGTGTTTACTTTCATTTTCATTTTTAGTACAGTTTTCTGCCAGAGCTCGGAAGTGACTCCCCACGTGACCATGACACATCCCTCTGTTGTGCTAAAGCGTAAAATTCATTGATAATACCGGCGTTGCAGCATTATTACTACCAAGCGGGGCGGCACAAATGCAGCAAAATTCCCGCAACGCCATGCCGCCATGGTGCGTTCATAAGACACACCGTGGCAGCAGTATAACGCAGACTGCCGGCATGATGTGTCTTCTAAAAAGGGCTTCTGAGGTTATGAAATCTACGAAGCTGAAAGATGCGCAATTAGATATTAAGGACTTGATGTAGGACATAATAAATAAATGAAGGAAATGGATTTAAATTACCTGAGTCGGGCCTACCATCGTTGCTCATAAACTCCTGCATGCGTTTCTCCAGTTTCTGCTGGCGTCTCCTCTTCATCACCACCTCAGGGTTTGAGATGGTCCGGGTGAAGCTGGTCTCTGGCATGTCCTTATAAACCTCTGCTGCCAGATGACTGTTTTCTCTAAATGAAAAAAAAAGAGTGGATAAAGGACAGAAGACAGAGACAGGCAGCAAGACAGATGGAGGCAGAGAAAGGTCAGAGTTTAAATCACTATTCTTTCCTCTTTTGTGCTTTTCTTGGCATCAAAAACAACAAGAATCCCATAAAAGGACAGAGGATGTGGGGTAATGAGCACTAAGACAGATGATGTTTGTGTTACCCGTCCTCGCGGCTGAGGGCCTGTTCATCTCCATCGGGGATCCGAGCAAACTCCTTCTCCCTCTTCTTCTCCTTCTTCTTCTCCTTCTTAGACAAAGTCCTCTTGAAATTCTGAATCACTCCATCCTTCTCCTTCTCTGGACCGTTGCTCTGACTCTTCTGGTGGGTACAATAAAGTCAGCCACAGAATGAATGAGTCTAAAACTAAACGTTTAAGATATGTTAATTTCATTTTGTCAGGATAGACAACTCTGCTCCAATGCTCGACCCTGGTAGAATTAAGTGTGATGTAAATTTTTGCTTTAACATGCAGCAGACGAGTGATTCAGCTCCCCGTTAAGCCTACTGATTCACACTCAACAGATCGAGCGGCTGACCTTGGGCAGGATGTCGTTCTCGTTCTTCAGGACGAAGCGTCCCTCTCTGTCGTCTTTGTTCCAGTTCAGCTGAACAACAAGAGGCTTCTCGTCCAGGTCCAGCTGACGCTCTTCTAACACACAAACAAAAACACCACTTATCTCAATTCAACCCTTCAGTTAAACATCGACTACTGCCAAATCATCTTTTTGCCTCTGTTAGTGTGAGTTCTCCAAATATCTCATGAAATCAATCAAGGGATTCTAAGAAAACTCTCAGAAGTTACATTTGACACATAAATCTGCAAACAATGTTAAGTTAAATTCAAGCTCTTAGAAAACACAATAGCTACAACTGTATGAACTTATACAAAAGCTGAGTTAAAACTCAGGGTCAGAATAGTTGATGCTCATTTCCAAGACTGGGAATAAACCTGCTTTTTAACCTCAAGTTGACAGGCAGCGTGTTGTTCACATGCTGCTGCTGCACTGAACGTAGCACTGGAGGATTTCACTAGGAAGCGCAGCACATAACTCAGACTGGATAGAGCGCCACATTTGTAGGGTACAAACAAAACAATTGTGTTGACAATAGAAAAGATCAGCAGCTTGTTAATTTTCAGATCACTACAGAAAAACTGACGGCACTGGTGTTGTAGCTGGTGTGTAAGACCTCATTTTACTGCTATAGTTCCTTATATGCTATAGCATATTATACCGTATTTACTGGAGTATAAGTGGCTCCGGAGTATAAGTCGCACCAGCCATAATATGTATAATGAAGAAGAAAAAAAACATAAGTCGCACTGCACTATAAGTCACATTTTGGGGGGAATTTTTTTATTTTTCTTACAAAATCTGAGACCCAGCATTTCACATTGCAAGAAAAGTACCGGTAACAATAACAGAATAAACAACCAGGGCGCAGCAGCACACCACGGTCTCCAGCAGGTGATGGCGGGGCAGGGGAGCTCATTCCTGGTCCGCAGCCGGCCCGCATCAGCGCGGTACACATAATTTGGTATACAAGTCACTTTGGTATATAAGTCGCAGGACCAGCCAGACTATGAAAAAAAGTGTGACTTATAGTCTGGAAATTACGGTACCTACTATATATACACTTCATCCATGATATGTTTTAAATTTAAAATCTGGTTTTAACTGCTGGAGTCATCAAAATGCCTCTAGAACCATTAGGGGGTTTTAAACAACACTCAGGAAAATCATCATGGGAAGTACACTTACAAGAGACTTATTTTTGAGTCCAACCAATCCAATCCAATTTTTTTTGAAAAAAAAAAAAACTAGTATGTATTTGTATGTGTATATATGTATGCTTCTTTCTGTGTAAATTGTTTTCTTTTTCAATTTTTTTCTCAAATTCATTTGTTGAGATTTTGTCGGCCAACAGGTCCAGGAACTATATTGTTCAATTTCTTTAAGAATCATATGATTATTTCATTTGTATTAATGTTATTTTAGTTAAAAGGGGCAGACAACATAAGTTTTTCTTCTTTCTGTCCCCTTTTTCATTTTGGCTTGCAGCAATTTAGTTCTGACTGTATTTTTATTTTAATGTCAATAAATGAAAATAAGATTAAAAAAAAAGATGGCCGCTAAAGCTAACTGAAATGAGCAAACACAAGGATAGCTATAACTCAGTCAGTTTTAAGGATACCAAGATCAAATTAGGTGCTATTATTTACATAAATTTAAATAAAACCTAAAGAAAGTAAAAAACATCTGTGACTGAATGTTTAACACGTCTGAGACTCACCGCCGCTGACATGCACCTCATACAGAGAGTACTTTGGTGAGGAGAGCATCCTCATATCTGGTCTGAACTTCTCTGCTAACGTCTCGATGACATCCTGCGTCGTCGCTGTGCTGGAGACTCTGATGCACTTGGTGGCAAAGTTACCGGCGACCCGGTCCTGGAAGTAGAACCGCATCACGCCATGAAACTCTAGGTCCTTTAGGAAGAAACAAAAGGAGACGAGAGTCTGTTACCAGTCTGTTTGAACCGTGAATTACCGACATGATCAATGAACATTTGTGCTTACATGGAAAATACTAAACTGTGTGATCACAAAATATAAACAAACAAAGCAGAGGGAAAACTGGTGAGTATGCAGCAGCACAGAGTGATAAAAAATAAAAAGTTGCTGAGAGCCAACAGCTGGAGACAGCATCAGTAACCCCTATTCCCTCTTCTCGGGTGACTCCGAACTCACAAGAACAGATCTGTCTCGGCCTTCACACCTCAAACTGATTAGATGTTGAAAATAAACCACGAGTGCGATTAACCGCCAACTCCAGTTCCCGAGCTCCTCATGCCACGTCAAAATTAGCAAAACAAATGTAATTTATTAGAACCTCCACATTTTAGTGAGCATTAACAGAGCCTGGAGATTGTGGGATTCAAGTTTCTTTAATTAAATCAAAATTGAGCCAAAGATTTAATAAATAGATAGATGTCAGTCCAAACCGTTTTAGACGAGACCTCTTTGTTTGCTTGGATTTGAATGAAGTTTGGTATGTGAGGAAATGTCATAAAACCAGGAAATCCACTCACTTCCTGACCTGTAAATTAAATCACCACATTCTGCTTTAGCTTTATTGTCTAATTGAGCTCAGCTGAAGCTCCATGTTGACAGAAATGTCTCACATAACACATGCACGCACGCGCACACACACACACACACACACACACGAATAAGCAAGGCCAGCTCAACATTCCCAGGGTGGAAGTGTAAAAACATTCATTTCCAACATGTCAACAGTTCCTCGTGTAGCAAGAATGTGTGAACAAACTTCCTGTCCTGTCCTGATATATGCCTGCAACTGAAGCAGCACCTGGACTCTTATATGGACACGTCGAGGCAGAACAGCAAAACTCTCGTTTTTCATCGAGACTGGGGTCATGGAGATCTTAGATCTACCAGCGGTAATTTTATTCCCTACACACGTGATTTTATAGAAAATGGAAGAGCAGGTAATCCTGAGCTCATGGACAAGAAGCTTGAAAGTAAACAAAATGCTTAACGAATTGCAAAAAACCCAAACATTATGGTACCATACAACACCAATTTTGCCGATGTAGGCAAAAGTTTTGAGAATACCGTTATCCCAAAATAATTTTTTTTAAAGTGACAACTCAGTCGTTTTTACCTTTTGTGACTGTTTATATTTGGCTCCTTCATTGACAGAAAGATCAACACTGAACCAGACTTCAGAAAAGTCGATGAGATCATGTTTGGACAGATTATCCCGTAGGGACTTGCTGGAATTTGAATATTCTAATAAAACAAGGGAGGGAGTAAACCACATTTGAATGTCGCTGTGGCTTCCTTAAAAGAAATTAAAGCATTCTTTGTCCCGTCAGGAAGGCTAGGACAAAACTCCAAAGACATACCAGAGGAGACAGATTTTATTTTATGTCCAACATCAATTTTTTTTCTTGAAAAAATCCATAAAAGCATTTGGGGAAAAAAAAAGCCAACAGGCCAAAGACATCCACAATTATGAAGCTTTAATAGGCTTGGATTACATTCCTACAGAAATGTGAAAAAAATAGAAAAATATTTTAAAAGTTTGATGTTTTTTCTTCAAGTTCCTGATTTGTTTGTCCTGTTCAGAGAAGACAAAGTTGAGCAGAGTAAAAACAATCTGAGCACAGTTTCGATAGACTGCCAGGGTGGAGTCAGGAATGTGTGTGTGTGTGTGTGTGTGTGTGTGTGTGTGTGTGTGTGTGTGTGTGTGTGTGTGTGTGTGTGTGTGTGTGTGTGTGTGTGTGTGTGTGTGTGTGTGTTTGATTTAGTGTTAGAATGTGGGTCATCGCGGGTTGCCGTCGTCGAGCTTTTGTAACCATTAGTAACTGTTACCGTGGATACCAGTCCTCTTGGTTTCAAACAAAGCCTAGCTTAGAGTGAAGCAGTGGATAATTAACGCGGAGGACAGTAAAACTACAATCAACTCCTGGCTGCTGGGAACGGCCAAATACAGAAACATGTAGTTCAACTTCAGTTCTCTCTCTCTCACAAACACACACACACACACACACACACACACACACACACACACACACACACACACACACACACACACACACACACACACACACACACACACACACACACACACACACACACACAAGAGTAGGATATTGATCCAACATAGATGGTTTTTGCACATTCTTTCATAAAGATGATGTCACACTTTACACCTGAGGTCATCAACTACACTAGCTCAAGGCTGAGATTTTCTTTGTTGTTTCCGAAGCAGACAGCATGAGGACCAACTTGATAAAAAGTTGTTTTAACTCAGATCATTTCACTGACATCAAGTTAAAATAAGGATTAGGGCTAAGGCATATTAGCTAAGACTCACCCTCTAAACACCCCTGGGACACTAATAAATCACATGACGCATTTGCCTAAAAAATTCTTGTCCGAAACCGAAAACGAGGAAACCAAGGCCAAAAAACCGAAAGCAACGATCATGTCGATAACTAGAACCATAGCTTTTATGGCTGCAATGTGTACTAACCTCACTAAAAACAAGGCATTGCAATAAAACAACAAAACCATGGAAATGTTGACATAACAACAATGCACATTATAAATTAAAATTCTAAATAAAATGTTTCACTTGACCCTGCCTGTTTACATTACATAATAAATTATAAATAAAAATGATCTTCTTGCTTATTCTTTGCGTCTACCCTTCAAACATATTCACAAACACCTCATCAAAATTTAAAGGAGCTGAGAACACAGCACAAAAACAAAAAATAAAAATAACTGAATGGAGCAGGGAGCTCAACTGAAGACCTCTCAAAGATAATAAACCCATATTAAACCAAAGGGCTGAACAGGTTAAAGCCCAGCTATAAAAGAACAAAGAAACATTGTTGACTTGTTTTATCAAATCTAACAAGGATGTTTAGGAATTTCTGGATGTCCACAATACATCCAGTAAGAGCACTCCCTTTCTACCAACCTTGGCTCTTAAGCTCTGATGCAACCTTCTGCAAACCACTTTATAATTGTTTTACACATGAAGCGTTTTTGTCTAGAAGACAAGAAATAACACAGGCTGTCAAAATCAAAATGTTATTAAACAACCTTCCTCATCCTTTTGCAGAAATATGGCACTAAATAACCATCTGACTTGTTGTATTTTATAAATAATAAACTTTTGTCTGTATTTCCAAACAAGCTGAATCAACAGTTTATTGTGAACTAAAGCAACGTAATTACTGTAAGTCAGTCCTTAAAGGGCAAAGCAAGGCTATGTGTTTACATCCTAATCCCTCTTCTTCAGAATTATTAGCGAGGGCATTCACACGCTATCAGAGATACTTCAAATTAAACGTGTGAGCTTGTGAAACGGAACTATTTATGACTCATGCAAAAGTAGGCCAATTCTGCAGATGGCTGTTACCAGTCTGATGAAACATCACGGAGAACCAAAACAGTGTCTTGAAGGTGTGAGTGAGAAAACAGCCAACAACGTCTGCTATCAACATGTTTACTGACTTGATAAGACAGCTTTCACTGAAAAACACTGGAGGATTCAGTCTGAGCTTTCTCAGCTGTTGCTGTTCACACGAGCCTCACACAGTAAAAATCCTGCAGTTGGCTTACAAGAGGCTAAACCACAGGTTTTGCTTTATTTACCGCAGGTTTAGAGTCCCTCCCATATCCAGAAAGTTAACATTTTATCGTTTTTGTTAGGCTACATGGTGGAGCAGTTGGGAGCAACATTGCCTCGCAGAAAGAAGGTTGCAGGTTTGAATCCCGGCTGCAGCCTTTATGCATTGAGTTAAGTTTGTTGTTGTCATGATGTGAAACTACTGAAACGAAAACAGAAAATTCTGCAAACAATGCAGTAGTGGTAGCAGACAATTATTCTGACTTTGGTTTTAAATGCGGTTTTTGAATTCCTGACATTTATGGAACAAAATTCTTGCACAATCTGTGTTTTCTGTACACACACACACACACACACACACACACACACACACACACACACACACACACACACACACACACACACACACACACACACACACACACACACACACCTAATTCTTAAGTAGCTTTCATTTTAGCACTAAAATGTTGTAGATCTAGTTAGTAAAGTAAACACAAAGTGGTTGAGTGACTGTGGAAAGTGTGAAAGAAAGCACTTAAATCTACCCATCAAGCTTCCTGACAAACACCTCAGGGTCATGGAGGAGAGTTCAAAGGTCACATCTGCGTTTGTATGAGAATAGTAAGTCACACTCCAACTGTAAAAAACAGCTTCCACCTGGCACTCGTTTCTCACTACTTTTAGAGGAATGACGTGAAATTTTCTTTTTTTTATCCAACTATATCCATCCATTTTCTTTACCCGCTTAACCTCGTAGGGTCGCGGTGGGGCTGGTGCCTATCTCCAGCTGTTTCCCGGCATGCAGGCGGGGTACACCCTGGACAGATTGCCAGTCCATCGCAGAGTAACACAGAGACAAACAGGACAAACAACCAAGCACGCACGCACGCGCGCACACACACACACACACACACACACACACACACACACACACACACACACACACACACACACACACACACACACACACACACACACACACACACACACCTAAGGACAATTTAGAGAGACCAATGAACCTAACAGTCATGTTTGTGGACTATGGGAGGAAGCCGGAGTACCCGGAGAGAACCCACGCATACACAGGGAGAACATTCAAACTCCATGGAGAATGACCCCAGGTAGGGATTTGAACCCAGGACCTTCTTGCTGCAAGGCAATAGCGCTAACCATTGCACCACTGTGCAGCCCCAGTCCAACTACATGAAACTATAAAATCTAAATTCTTAGACATTGACTATACTTCCAGAAAATGATGGTTATGAACAAAGGCCTGATCCATCCATCCATTTTCAGCTGCTTATCCGGAGTCGGG